GTCAAAGGCTGAAATTGAAAAACATGGTTTGGGTGCGTTTGATATGTTATTTTTAGGGTCGGGTAAATGTTCTAGACAATTTTTATGTAACTATAGCTCTTTAATTAATGCATCTGGGGTTATGTTAGCATAGAAACCAAAAAATTATTATTTACCTTTATGTGCATGACTAAACTTTCATTTTACCTACTACTCAATACCTTTACCCGGTACCACGCAGTACAAGTTTTTTGTTTTGTTTGCAGCGTTGCTTTTGTAAATTTATAGTGTTTATATGAAAGTTGATATTTAGGGTCCTTATCTTGACATGTTCTATGATATTGTGAATGTTTAATGTCTTTTCGGGGATCACAAATTAATATTCTCATACATTGCAAAAACAACTTTTTCACTTATAATTTTGGGGTTTTTAACCGTTTACTGTAGATGAATGTTTGGTTCACTAATGTGGGGCAGGGTGACTTTGATGTGGCTTGTTTAAAAATTTTAAAAAAGTGAGGGGGTTTCGTAGGGTTAGAGTAAGGTGCAAGGCGACAAGTATGAAGAAGCGTAAAGTTGGATAAGGGATGCTTTGATTCAGAGTAGGCTACAGTAAGGTTACTGAAAAGTTGAGGTTAAGCATAGGGAACGTAATGCTACAGCAGGACTAGAGTAGGGTATGCTAGGGTAGGGTTTGCTAGGGTAAGGTTCTTCCATTAGATGATATATTGCTACGGTAGGTTTATAGTAAGAGTGGATAAGATTACTGCAAAGGTAAGCTAAGGCATAGACAAAGTAATACTACGGTAGAATTATAATAGGATTAAAGTAAGCTGAGGTATAATTATAGTAGTTTTCCTACGCATTAAGACTAGGTATGAATTGGTCAATGCTATGGCCGGGTAGGATAACGATAGGGTATGGTTGTTATAGCTAAAAGGTATAATAACGTTATGTGTCATAACTATTAGGGCGTTGTTAAATCTAGTATATTTATGACCGATTCTTAAAAACTCAAACCAAGTACTATATTTTGCATTTTCAAGCCAAATTCCTCCTTGAAAAGTTACAATCCTCGTCTCAAGCAGTAATTAACGCCCGCTGAATTGTAATTTATGCAGCAAAGAAAATTAAATTTCCGTTAAAAATAATTTTCTTTACTAAATTTGGAAACGGTTAATAAGGTTAGTTGATTAATATAAGTTGGTTGGCTATTTTCACCTGTTCGTATCGGTGTTGGATTAGGAAGCCCGGATATACAAATTAAGATGGAAAATGAGTGGAAAACAAATTAAGACCATTAAAATATGTTTTTGGGGAGGGAGGGATTGGTAATTTAGTTTTCAAGGTCAGGATAATTTGGTTTTTAAAAAATATTTTTTAGTCTGTAAAGAAAGTTTTGCCATTTTTTGTTTTGTAAAGAAAATTCTTGCCATTTTTTGTTTTGTAAAGAAAGTTCTTGTCATTTTTTAATTTGTAAAGAAAGTTTTTGTCATTTTGGTTTTGTAAAGAAAGTTCTTGCCATTTTTTGTTTTGTAAAGAAAGTTCTTGCGATTTTTGGGTTTTGTAAAGAAAGTTCTTGCCATTTTTTTGTTTTGTAAAGAAAGTTTTTTGTCATTTTGGTTTTGTAAAGAAAGTTCTTGCCATTTTTTGTTTTGTAAAGAAAGTTCTTGCGATTTTGGGTTTTGTAAAGAAAGTTCTTGCCATTTTTTGTTTTGTAAAGAAAGTTCGTGCCATATTTTGTTTTGTAAAGAAATTTCTTGCCATTTTTTGTTTTGTAAAGAAAGTTCTTGTCATTTTTTAATTTGTAAAGAAAGTTTTTGTCATTTTGGTTTTGTAAAGAAAGTTCTTGCCATTTTTTGTTTTGTAAAGAAAGTTCTTGCGATTTTGGGTTTTGTAAAGAAAGTTCTTGCCATTTTTTGTTTTGTAAAGAAAGTTCGTGCCATATCTTGTTTTGTAAAGAAAGTTCTTGCCATTTTTTGTTTTGTAAAGAAAGTTTTTGCCATTTTTTGATTTGTAAAGAAAGTTTTTGCCATTTCTTGTTTTGTAAAGAATGTTCTTGCTATTTTTTGTTTTGCAAAGAAAGTTGTTGCCATTTCTTGTTTCATGTTACCTGAAACGTTCTTTGTTTTGAAGGTTGCACTTATGGGAACCAAAGATCTGTGAACTCTTTTACTATGTTATACTAGTAATTCTACCTTTTTTGTTTGGTTACAAGTTTAGGCGGAATGAATTTTAAATAACACTTTCTTTTCTTGGCTTCTTTAAGACTTTGAAGTTGTTAATTCTTGTATTATTTTGTTTTATCTTATTATTCTAGCTAATTTTTGACCGTATTTTTCAGTTTTTTAATTAATTTTCGACCAGTTTTTGGTCGATTTTTTTGCTGTAAAGAAAGTTTTTGCGGTTTTTGTTCTTTTAAGACTTAGAGATTGTTAATTTTTACATTATTTTGTTTTATCTCATAAATCTGACTACTTTTCGACTGTTTTTTTTTTTTTTTTTATTACTTTTGGACGGTTTTATGGTCGATTTTTTTAGCTGTAAAGAAAGTTTTTGCAAATTTTAAGATTTTTTAGAAAAGCGGATGATAAGGCATTTTTAAGTTTTATTTTTACGAAAAAGAGCATTTTTATATTTTTTTCAACTGCAAAAACTTTCTTTACAAAGAAAATAGATGCTTTTTAAAAAAAAATTCGCATTTTTTGAAATTTTTTAAAAATTTTTAAAACTCAAAAATTTTTTTTGACAAAAAACAGCTGAAAGAAACTTTCCTCCTTCAAGAAATGGCAAAAAACCGTTATTTATTTATACTTGTTGGCCTAAAAAATTCCCTAAATGAGGGCTTTTGTTTAAGGAACGCGGGGGGTGGGGTGGGCTTACTCTTTGTTTATTTATTTCTTTGCTCTCAAAGTATTCAAATAATGTTGCCATCTTTTTTTATAGTTTTTTTTATAGTTTGGTTTTCTCACGTTACGTTATTTTGATTTTTTTAAATTTAAAAAATTTTTTTTTTACGTTTATAAAAAATATTTAAAATTTAATTAAAAAAAATAATTATCTCATTGTATATTCGACGTATTTTACATTTAAAAATGTTGTGTTTTAGCAAAAAAAACTTATTTTATGATAATAAAGGCAATTCCAACGACTTTGCCAAAAGCCCGCAAAAATCAGAATTCAAATTTTGTTTTTGCCATAATTTATGTGATATTGAAAATTAAAGTGTCGAATACTCAAAAGTAGGTTAGACATATTATGTCAGTTCTTAAAAAAAATTTTTTTTTGCTATTTTGAGACAATGCCAAGAAACCACGAAACCAAAAATTCAAATTTATTTTTGCCATGACTTATTAGATATCGAAAATAAAAGTGTCAAATACTCAAAAGTATAATAGAATTAGTGCCTATGTTTTTAAAAATTATTTCTGATATCATTAGGAGTAATGCCAAAAAGACCGCGAAGCCGAAAATTCAAATTTTCTCTTTGCCATAACTAATCATATATGTAAAGTTTAACTATCAAACATTCAAAAATACGTCAAATTCGAAAAAAACTAATTCATACTTTATATATTTTACAATTCAGTTGCAGCGTTACTATAACCTTCTACTCTGATATTTACATTACACTGGCGGTCTCGTGTTGCATAAATTATTTTTTCTCAATTATAAAGGACCTCCTACTCGTTTACCCATTTCTCTTCCTTCTTGAGTTCAATTTTGGCGGCCAAAGATGGCCAGATATTAGTTTTTGATATAACATCAATTCCAAGTTTAATTGGGTCTCTATGGATAGGGAGAGGGGGGGGTGGGAAAGGGTAAAGTTATTTAAATGTCATTTTTTGAACTTATTTTTAATGGTTAGGGTAGGGTTGCTAACTTTTTTAATTTGATAAGAACTGTAAGACAAAGTAGGCTTAGCAGTACTGCGTAAAGGGTAGGGCTAAGCATGAAAAAAAGAGCGGACAGGGTAGGGTAGCTTTTGATATACATAGTAGGGTAGAGTAGTTTTTTTGAAGGGTTAGGGGGAATGGCTAAGTCAGGCTAGGAACGCTTAAAATAGGGCAGCGTAGAATAGGGTAGGGTAGAGTAGGGTAGGGTAGGGTAGGGTAGGGTAGGGTAGGGTAGGGTAGGGTAGAGTAGGGTAGGGTAGAGTAGGGTAGGGTAGAGTAGGGTAGGGTAGGGTAGGGTAGGGTAGAGTAGGGTAGGGTAGGGTAGGGTAGGGTAGGGTAGGGTAGGGTAGGGTACGGTAGGGTAGGGTAGGGTAGAGTAGGGTAGGGTAGGGTAGGGTAGGGTAGGGTAGGGTAGGGTAGGGTAGGGTAGGGTAGGGTAGGGTAGGGTAGGGTAGGGTAGGGTACGGTACGGTATCAACTCGCCCTTAAATAAAAAACTAAAACATGTTTTGATAGTGTATTAAGAGTGTAAACGCACTAACATACGATGGGTTACTGCTTCTCAAGACATCTACGTCATTTCCATGGGATAATACGCTACGGGAGAGATTTTTGGTTCTTGCACGTTTAAATGCACTTTTATTTTTTAAAATTTTAATTTTTTATAGTTTTTGGGCTTGTAATGAAATTTTATTGTGTTTTTAGGCTTTGCTAGTTGATAAATGTTAATTTAGAGTAGTTATAACAGAATGCCAAAAATGGCGGAAAAATAAAAATTTAAAATTTTTTTTGATTTTTTGGGGCTTCTAACTACTTTTTAATGGTTTTTTAGGCTTCACTAGTTCATATATGTTGTTTTGGAGTAGGTGAAACAGAATGCCAAAAATGGCGGAAAAAATTAAATTAAAAAACTTTTTTGAAAAAGCGGTATTTTAAGCCTAAGAACCTTATTGTAAGCCCAAAAAAGTCATTTTTACGCCATTTCCAGACATAAAACCATTTTTTTACTTTGTTGTAATACCCTAAATCACTGTCATCCACGTGACATTACTTTTCTAATACCCTCCAAACCAATGTTGTAAGGCAAAAACTGTAGGACGATAAAGCCTTGGTGAGATTAGGACGATGCAAGATACTGCCAATCCTAATCCACCGGTTCACGCCTTCGCTTTCTGTCTTGGCCAAACGGATGGCGAAGGGGAAGAAGCGTGCATCTTAATCTGGTGGCGGATGTTGAGGGTGATTTTTAGTGGTTTGTAGGGCTTTAACGGTTAAAAAGTGGTAATGTTTGGAAGTTTTGGAGGTTTTTAAGGGAAAATTGATTGGAAAAAAAGTTTTTGCCGTTTTTAAAAGATTTTTAAAAAGTTTGCATTAAAATTGACTATGCCTTACCCTTTAGTTTAAGGCACAGTATGTCAGGGCAGAGTAAGTTTGAGCAGGGGATGGAAAAATTAATTAAAATTTTTAAAAATCAATACTGTGTAGACACAATGTAAATTGTTTTATAGATGCAAGCAGCGCAGAAAGGGTCTTGCCAAGCGGGGTATGGCTATGACTAAGACTGGAGATGGGGCTAGGGCTAAAGCTATATCAAGGCAGGGTAGGGCTCAGTAGGGCAGGTAGAACAGACTTAGGGCTAAGGCAAGGCAAGGCAAAGTAATTAACTTTACACCTTGTCCCAACAAGTTCTGAATGTACTATTAAGAAGGCGGTAATTACAATTTAATTTGACTGTTTGTAATGTCATTTCGTATACATTCCTGCTATTTAAAAGTGCGTGCCGACTGAAATTGGCAGGTATTTTGACCAAAACTTTGTCTGTTTTTACTTTTTTTTTACTATTTTTAGCTGTTTGTAAAGAAATTTCTTTCCATTTTTTGTTTTATAAATAAAGTTCTTGCCATTTATTGTTTTGTAAAGAAAGTTCTTGCCATTTCTTTTTTTGTGAAGAAAGTTCTTGCCACTTCTTGTTTTGTAAAGAAAGTTTTTGCCATTTTTGTTTAGTAAAGAAAGTTCTTGCTATTTTTAAGCTATTTTTAGCTATTTCAGCGATTTTTAAAAAGCCAATAATTTTTGTGACATTCCGTCACATTTTTCAAACACTTAATTTTTTGATATTTTAAACAGTATTTTATGTTTTTAAAGTTTGTAAAATACGTTTTGGGTATCTATTGGGAATAATTTTGATAAAATTAGTACACATTTAATGTCACAACATACATTTACAGCTTATAAATTGGTTAAAAGTAGCTCTTTACTACAATTTTTGCAAGTTTTAGCCATTTGAAAACAACTTTTTTAATCACTTTATAGTTTTATATTGTATATATGTCTATTTTTGTTACTTCCTACAATTTTCTCGCTATACTTGATATAGCTTTGTATCATAAAACTTCAAAAACAGTTATATTATAGTAGGTTTGGGGGCTGTAAAGTGGTGTTTTATATTGTTTTACCTATTTTTATATGACTAATGTTGTTTAAAATGTCATTTCTAAGCCTATTGACATTTATTTTTGGTCTACTGCTTGTTAAGTGACATTTTATACGATGAAACGTGTACAGGCCATTAACTATGCTCAAGTACCTACTATAATATAATTTTATTCCAGATACAAATGGAGCTGGTGACGGAAGCTCCAGCGGCCGAACAGCCCTTCGAAATGGGCCAAGATGGAGACCTAGTGGTACCAGAAAGACTAATTTCCGATTGGATAGAAATGGCTCTACTAACAATGATGATCACCATTGGTGCACCCTTAAATGCCTTGACGTTGTTTAGGCTTAATCGACAGCTCAGGAAGCAGAAAAGCAGTGCTAGGACTAAGGTATGTTTATCCACTCTTATATACTGTACCCTACCGTATCCTACCCTACTCTACCCTACTGTACCCTACCGTACCCTACCCTACCCTACCCTACCCTACCCCACCCTACCCTACCCTACCCTACCCTACCCTACCCTACCCTACCCTACCCTACCCTACTATACTCTACTCTACCGTACTTTACCAAAACCGGCCCTACCGTACTTTAATTTTTCCTGCGTTACTAAAAATTACAGTAACCCTTCAATTTCAGCAAGAAGCAGCCCGAACCTCATTCATCTGGCTTAAGATCCATCTTACAGTAATCGACCTTATCGTAATCCTGATCTACTGCCCCTCGCACATTGGCTGGCTGATCAGCTATACCTGGAATGGTGGCGAGTTTATGTGCAAGGCAGTACAGTACGCATGGGACTTTTGTTTCCACTTAATGTCATTTGGAGTGGTCGGAATTGCGGTCGATCGGCTTCGGACGGTCTATCGGCTTATGCACATTGAGAAGAACGGCCAACGTGCTTCGATCAGGCCTAACGATCAGCTTCGGTTTGTTAGGGTGAGTTTAATAGTGTAATTACTTAAGTATAATAGTATACTTACTATGTAATAGGCTTTACTTTACTATGAAATTTTATATTTGAGTAAAACCATTCACTATATACAATTAAAAATGGCATTCGTTGAGCCGCGTCAAAAAGAATTGAACTTTTTTGCTATACAAATGCACTGAAAATAGATCAATTCTTTTTGACGCGGCCAAAAAACTTTATCAAATAATTTTAAGATATTCTATGGACTTTTTGACCGCCTTTTTTATACTTTTTAACTTTATTCTACATACTTTTTGACCTTATTTTCAAAACTTTTGGCGTTTTTTGGCTATTTTTGCCTAATTTTGCCCAAATTTTACGATTTTTTACCACTTTCTACGAATTTTTTGACTGCTATAACAAATAAAAACAAAAATCTTTGTTAGCATAACATTCTCCATACTATAATGCATAAAAATGGCTATTTGCACGTTCCTAATCCCAAAAAACAAAGCGGAAAACAACAATATAATTGGATGGTACTCGCGGATACTGAAACTTTCAATGTTTAGACAATCTTTTTTATATTACTCATGACGAAATAGCATGACAAAGTTTGCTAGGAAGCTTATGAGGAAGTAGAACTTGATATTGACATAAACAGATGTTACTAATATAGTATATAATTGGCTTAAAAAGTGTGATTTTGGGCCGCGTCATAAAGAATTGGATATTTTTGCTATGGAAATGATAGGAAAATAGGTCAATTCTTTTTGACGCTATCTTAAAAATAAAAAACATTTTTTAATAACGATTTTAATGTAAAATACGAGGGGTGAAATGTAGTTATTAAAAATTTTTTTAAAAAAATTACAGTATCAAAAGTTACAGTATCTTTACTTTTCAGAAATTGATCATGAGCTGTTACATGGGAGCGGCCATGTTCTCCGTACCACAATGGTTTGTGTGGACCACGGTGAACATGAAAACGTGGAGTCAATGTACTACAATATGGCACAAACTTAGAGCTTTACAATATCTGCACAATCAGGAGATTACGGTAGGTATAGACACATGATTGCAGGAGTTACAGTTGGACTACCGTAACCTACCTTAACGTACTGTACCTTACAGTACCTTACTGTATTCTACTGTGGTACACCATACTCTACCCTACCCTACCCTACCCTACCCTACCCTACCCTACCTACCCTACCCTACTAAAAATTACAGTAATCTTATGTTTTTAGGAAAGTTACATTGGAGAACGACTGTACACAATGTTCCATTTGCTTACTGTATTCTGGTTCCCTTTCATCATACTGTTTGTAGCCTACTTGTATATTGTAGTATACTTGTTCTGCTACTCATTACGACCGTATTCAATATCGACCGGTGGGCCTGGTACTCTTTTCAGAATGGGATCAGAAACTGATTCGAATTTGAAGTAAGTGGTTACTGTAATATTATTTTTATTATTATTATTAAAGGTAGGGTAGAGTAGGGGTAGGATGGGGTAGTTTTAAGTTATGGTTCAAAAAAATTTTTTTTAGTTTAAACCTCTGGCAAAATGCGAGTACACCCCCAAACTCATGTCTAAATGGCTCAGTAAAGACATCTTTAACTACAACTACCATCCAAGCCCCAGCATGGCGGATGGAAATGAGGTCCAAGATGTTCCGTACTACTGTGTATGTCATAGCCGCTTATTTGATATGCTGGATGCCATACAACGTACTGGCGTTGGCAACATTCTTCTCCGGCGAACTTCAGATTCTGATTTCAATGCATTTGGAGCTGATTCGAGTTTGTGTTCTACTGAACACCGTACTCAATCCTTTTATTTATGGCTTTAGGGACAGTAATTGAGTTTTATACTGTATATTCATTGTCTGTCGGTATCATTTTTGTATTTATTAGGTGCCGACATAAAGAACCCGCCATACTTTGCCTGTAATTTCCTGTAAAAAATAGCGGATTTTTTATGTCGGCACATAATAGTAATGAATAACTTAATACTTACTGTTATATATTAACTATATTTAGTCCGTAATTGTTGTTTTAATTTGCATTTTATTTTTTTTTTTCACTTATTTTTAGCCTAAAATTTTAAAAAATATCGTTTTAGTCTTGCACGGTGCAGTCAACTTTTAAAAAATTAAAATTATTGAAATTATTAAGAACTTTTGACAAAGTTTAGTAAGACCATTTTTAAAAATCATAATTTTTACTATGTTTTTTTATTGTACTTTACTCCATAAGTTCTCGGACAATTTGTAATTTAAAATTCATTTATATTTGACTGCACAGTGCAATGAAAATCAATTCGACTGCACAGTGCAGTGAAAATCCATTAGAACATGCACTGTGCAAATTGTCTCATAACTTTTGAACCACTTACCCAAAATTTCTAAAATTTTGATATTTGTTTTGTAATAACCTTGTACATATTATACATATCATTTTACTTAATTTTAATACAAATTATTTGGTGTAAAATGAGTTTTAATTGAAAATGTTACAATGTTTTACGGTCTTTTGGTGAAAAATTGTCGTTTTTAATTAAAACTAATATAATAACTGTTTGTGATCTCAATATTGTAATGCAAAAATACAAAAACAAACTGGTATAGTTGTGTTTGCCTTTCACTTTACTTGATTTTAATAAAGTTTGTTATATAAATAGGCTTGTTGATATTTTTCAAGGAGTAATGAGTGGGGGAGGTGAAAAGAGGAGTGGATGGAGAGCAGGGTTGGATAAGGTAAGATAGAGTAAGATAGGATAGCGCGATTTTATTGCCGTAACGCTTGTTCATCTTTTTTATGTTATTGATTTGACACTTCGTCTCAATCAATAATATGTGGCACTTCGTCGTAAAGAACAAAAAAAAAAATTAAATGGTCATAATACCCTATCTAAAAAGATTTTATCTGTTTATTCATCTACTTTTTTAAAATATTTTAACACTTTCTCATAATCAATATGATTTGCGACACTTCGTCTCAATCAATACTTTGTGACATTCCGTCTAAAAAATAAATAAAAATTTTAAAAAATTGCTTTAAATACTCTATTTGAAGAGCTTTTATTCTTTTATTGATTCTTTAACAAATAATTACATTTTTTAATTCTTTTGACACTTCGTCACAATCAATAATTTGTAATATTTCGTCAAAACAAACAAAAAACTTTATAATTACATACAATAGAAAATTGATTATAATGCATGAAAACTGCCAAATGTAGATCAAGAGCTATTAACAAAATTGTCAAATTACATTTTAGCTTTTGTCCATTTGGGCATTCGCTTTTCGACGAATGCCATCATGCCTTCTACACGGTCTTTCTGAAAGCAGTTACAGTATGTTACAGTAATTTGATCAAAACTTGATTAATTATAAACATCTATATAATGCCTTAAAATGGCAGTTTACAAATTTTGATGTTTTTGCTACATTTACTTTTGGCATTACGCTAATTTTTAAATTTTAAGCCTGAAAACTTTAAAATTTCATAAAAGTTTTAAAATGGCGTTTTTTTCAAAAACGTTTAAAGCTAGGCTTTTTGGTGCTTATTTAAACCTATTAAACGTATAAACTCAATATTTTTGATTTTGAGTTTCTACTGTTTAAAACGACTTTTCACTTTTTGGTACAAAAACCTATAACAACATAAAATTTCAACTTAAACACTTACCAAACCCATGCCAGCCTGATTCATACGTCTTTCGAAGCTCAGTCCTTCTTCTAATGACAGCTCAAACGCTTTATTAGTGGCTTCTTTAATTAGTCTGACAACTTTTGGCGATTGTTCGGCGATCTTCTCGGCCAATTTGATGGTTTCTGGCAACAATTTTTCTTTATCCACGACAAAAGATATCATTCCAACGGCTTTGGCTTCAGATGCTGATATTGATTGACCACTGAGAAGTAGTTGCATAGCTAAAGATTTGCCTACAGCTCGAGTTAGGCGTTGAGTACCACCCCAACCTGGTACTGTGCCTACGAGAACTTCCGGTTGGCCGAAGCGGGCTGATTCACTGGCCTAAAAGGTCATATTAGTTAGTACTGAGTACTTATCTTATCCTATTTTACTCGGCCCTACCCTACCCTACCCTACCCTACCCTACCCTACCCTACTGTAATTTTTAAATTTATATTAACCTACCACAATAATATCACACATCAATGCCAATTCACATCCACCACCATACGCTACGCCATTTACCGCGGCAATAACCGGTTTCTTGGCCGAATATATTGCCCTAACCGAAGCCTGGTCATCACCCAAGACCTGTTCAAGATCAAGTTGAGAAGCCTCTTTTAAATCAGCACCAGCGCTAAAAGCAGTACCATTCCCAGTAATTACTATGACATTGATATTTGTATCTTGGTCGGCTTCAGTAATTTTGCTGGCTATGGCTTTCAATAAATCTTGACTTAAGGCGTTTAGTGCTTTTGGTCGATTTAGTCTTATTAAAGCAATATTGTTGTTGGAGCCTAGTATTGAATATTCTACTAGAGACATAGCTTTTGAATTTTGAAGCGACTTTTGAAGAAATAGGTAAAGTATGATTAACTAAACGGGTGGTAGTACAGAAGAATAAAGTTTGTTGTAGTAGAAGTTTGTTATACAAGTGACGTATATGATAGTATACTTAATAATAACAGTTTATAAGACCTAAAGTAAAATAAAAACAAAGGTAATATAACTAATAATATGCTCTTAAAGCAAAAAACAAAAAAAAAGAAAATGAATATATTTTTCATTTGATCAGACTACACTATATGTAGGTATCAACAAAAAAGCAAAACGTTGCCTTTATGCGCTTTAAAATTGTTAATTTTTTACTACAGTAAAGAGTAATTAAATTGTATACTTTACCCTAGGCATATAGAAAGGGCAGGCTTGACCCTGCCGTCGGACGGGCTTGAGCAAAATATTAGGTTCCGACATAAAGAACCCGCCATACTTATGCTATAATTTACTGTAAAACATAACGGGTTCTTTATGTTGGCACCTGAAAAAAAAGCTTTAGGCCTAAAATTCACCCCTTGAAGGCCGGGTTTTCATTTTTACCCTACCCTACCTTACCTTATTGTACCCTATCCTCTAACTTACCTTACTTTATCTTATCTTACTCTGCCTTACCTTACTCTACCATATTTTATCGAACTCTACTCAACCTTATCCTATCATATCCTGCCATACAATTACACATATGTTCTGCAATAATAACTAAAAATTTATTAACCACAGTACAAAATATATTAAAATATCAAACATATTAAATATTAAACAACATAGTCGACAACACATTTTCATACACTACCTAATACTAAATTGACTAAACCTTGAACTAAATTCTGTTCAAGTTGGTAGTTACATAACTACATCAGACTGAATGGTCAAAGTACCATTTTCCATCTGAAACGTTATGTAATGACTGTCTGCATCAATATATTGCTTATATTCAACTCCCCGTAGCACATTTGTGAATATTTTAGTATATCCAACCACATGACACCTTTTAACGTTTTTGGCCGATCGAATCACAGTATTCAAACCAAATTTGTCCACCATTTCGGTAACCAACTCCAAGTTGTTGTAGGTATGATCTTTTGTCTCAGTCGCTCGTGCACCCCATCGATCCATAGCGTCTCTTCTAGCTGGAGTTGATTGTAGTATAAGCGCTTCCAGGTTTGGACACATGGTTTGTACTGCTTCATAGATGTCGTCCAATGCTTTTTCTGTGATTTTTAATGTCAGGTCTAAAGCAAAGCCAAATGCCTTTAGTTTGGTGAATGGTGACATTTGGTATTTCACAAACATCCAACGAAAACGGTCGATTTTTTCAGGAATGATGAAACTGTTTAGCGACAAGTCTTGAAGTTGGAAAAAGTCTAAAAAATATAAAGCTTTGATCTTCTTGTTTTAAATTCAAGACAGACCAGTAAGCCTAAACCTATAAAGCTTCAGCTTACTAATCGAAGTCTATTGTAGACTTCCGAAACAAAAAAAATGAAGTCAAAAGTATAAATTACTTACAATGAGCAGCAATGTCATCATACGATTTAAATGCTTCAAAAATGAACGATTTGATGAGTACATTTGCTTGGCAATCTATCAGATGTGGAATAAAGTCGTAGTTACAGAAAACTGTATGTAGTCCACTCTTTAGTTCGTCGTAAAGCACACGCACAAATAAATAAGGATAGGTTCCTCTTTTAGTTTTGCTTGTATCAAACCATATTTGCGAGTCAGAGAAATGTTCTGAAATCATATATTGTTATTAATGGTATTGAGACAGGGGATAAGCCCTAGGAAAGCCCACTAGATTACGCCGAAGCAAATTTGAAAGGGACGGGCCGTTTGGGCCAGAAGGCCGGAGCTCATAAGCAAGGTCCCAGAGTCCATTAGGCTCCCCTCCCCCAAGGCCCCAGGGTCTACTAGCCCGAAACAGCTCATGCACACCCAAAGGCCGCGCTTAAATAATTATCCCAGTCAGGGCCGGGCGGGGACTTTTGGTCTGGGGGCAGGGGTCAAAAAAAATCGGCACAGGTAGCACCTGTGCCGATTTTTTGCAAAATTTTTTTCCGAAAATCCACAGGGGGGACCACCTTCAACTTTTTTCAAAAATTTTTTTCTGGGGGGGGTACCCTCCCCCCCCCCTCGCGCCCGGCCCTGATCCCAGTGGTACAACATAGGTTCCGCAACAAAAGATTTGATTTTTAAAAAAGCTTCAACTCACTCAAAATCATTCGTGCCAATTGATAGGCAACTTTCATTTCGTATCCGGAACTATGAAGTCCTCCATGTGTTAATACAATCCTACCAAAATTTGTGAATTTTTTCGCTTTTTTAATGTATCGTTCTAGCTCATCGCCATGCCTTGATACAAATTGCTTAGCGTTCTCGTAATAAATCCTGATACCGTCCATGTTTATATGCAGTTCAATAGTCGAAAATTCATTTATTTTGGCTTTTTTGACACATTTGCTTCTTCCGTCTTTTGATGTTGCGTTTCTTTTTCTTGGCCGCAGCTAAAACAACAATTTTTTTGTGATAGACAAAGAACAAAGTGCATTTAAACTTTTGTATAAAAAAGTTATTCATAACAAACGGTCTTCAAACCCCCAATCAATGTCTTTATATTAATGGTACCGAGCTTGCAGGAGTTTCACTGTATTTAATACCTCGACCTGCCCTGCTCTGATTGAATTCATACTTTTTTAAATAGCAAGATCATGTAAATATAAAGTCTGCGACAAAGCACCAAATCGCGATCAACAGCCAACCTCAAGAAAATAGAGATAAAAAGTTACATTTTGAATTTCCCGCCAATTTGGCATTGTGTTTCAAGCTTATAACTTTGTTGTTTTTTACATGTAATAATTTTTCTTTGATATAATAATTGAAAACCATTAAAAAGACCTATATTTTTTTTAAAATTAAAAAGAAAGTGCTTGAAACTCAAAGCCAAATTTGCCAAATTGGCGGGAAACTCGAATATTTAAATCTTAAACTCAAAAGCGCGAGCTAAAATCTTTTATGTGCACTATTAGTGGCACAAACAATACACATAAAAATTTTGAGTTGATTCGGAGTTGGGCAGGTTGGGGACTTTCCTTGTCAATAATAAAAAGTTAAAAGCTAAAACTTACTTTAATTTGCGACAACATAATTTCCTGAAGCTTCTGTTGAGTCAGCGAGTGTCCACTTGATGCCGACCTTATTAATAGACTCCTTTGCTGAACAAGCCAACGCAAGCCAAAAAGAACGCTGCTTACGTAACAAATTTTAGAGCCCAAGCCCGCTATATACGTCATATTACAAGTAGCCCTATCAGGGCCGGGCGCGAGGGGGGGGGGACGGGGGTACAGAAAAGAATTTTTGAAAAAAGTTGAACGTGGCCCCCCCTGTGGATTTTCGAAAAAAAATTTTGCAAAAAATCGGCACAAGTAGCTCTACCTGTGCCGATTTTTTTGACCCCTGCCCCCAGACCAAAAGTCCCCGTCCGGCCCTGGCCCCTATTACACCTTTAGTTTAATATACAACACACGATGGACGGTAGAAACTATATCAATGACTAAATCGGAAAGCAGGCCCACTAGGCCGACCCATCATAATTGCGACGAAGTGTCACAACATTGATTGAAGTCAATATAAAAAGGTTTTTCTTAGTCAGGGTAGAGTTGGGTAGGGTATGGTAAGGTACGGTAAAATCATAAATTTCAATAAAAATCATTTTAAAAGTCAATTTTCAAAACAATTTCAATCGTTTCCCAAAAAAGAATTTCTCAAATCCTGCTACCAATTTACCGGTCGATTCCCCCTCATTCCCTTCGACAGTTTTATTGAGCGGCGGTTGCTGAGAATGCCGCGACATCATGACGACGCGGGCCCCATCGAACTGCCGCAGGGCAAAGTGGTGGGCAAACGGTGGAAGATTGTGGACAAGCTGGGCGAGGGCGGCTGTGGGGCGGTGTACCTGGTGGAGGACCACAAAAATGGAGCCAAAGCCGCGATGAAGGCCGAGAGCAATTTCGTGGCCGGAGGCAGTGTTTTGAAACTCGAGGTTCAGGTGCTGAAGCGGATGGTCGGTCGGAAATACGTGGCTCAGCTGATCGCCGCCGGCAAAAAGGAAAAATACAGCTACATGGTAAGGCAGGCGTGGTTTTATAATAAGAGGGCCATTTTTGAAGGGGTAGGGATAGAAAAAGGCAGATTTCAAATTTTGTAAAAAAAAATTTTTGGGCGGGGTAAAAAAATTTTTTTTGAAAGTTGGGGTGGTTTTTTTTTAAATAAGCAGAGTAAAGAATATTTTTCAAATTTTTTAGGTAATGACATTGTTTGGACCCAGCTTGTCCCGACTTTTTAAACAGTGCAAAAAACAATTCAGCGTCTCGACTCAGGTACGATTGGGAGTCCAAATCTTGTATGGCCTAAAACAAATTCACGAAGTAAGTTGGTATTTTATTGTTGAGTGTTCGTTAGGGCAAGGCGGGGTAGGGCATGGTAAACTAGGGCAGGCTAGGGCCGGACAGAACAAAGCAGGGCTGGTCTATGCTGGCGAAAGGAAAGCAGGGCAGGGCTAGACTGGACTGAGCTAAGGTCGGCTGGGTTAGACTAGGCAATTATGCCAAGCCAATTCAAACCAGGCTAAGACCAGCCAAACCAGGCTAATATGAGCCAAAGCAGGATAAGACAAACCAGGCTAAGGCCAGCCAAACCAGGCTAAGACAAGCCAGGCCAAGACCAACCAAACCAGGCTAAGACAAGCCAGTCTAAGCTAAGGCAGAGCGAAAATTTTTTAATTTGTTTTTTTTCAAAATTTTTTATTTTCAGGCCGGCTACATTCACCGCGACATAAAACCAGCCAATTTGGCCGTAGGTCGGCGTGGAAGAGAATCAAGAATATTACATGTTCTAGACTTTGGACTGTCTCGAGAGTACGTGGCGCGGAATTCCAATGGTACAGTTGAAATGCGACGGCCAAGAGAAAATTGTCTATTCAGAGGCACCACCAAGTACTGTAGCATAAGGACACATGAGAGATATGAACAGGGCCGGTCTGATGATTTATAGTGAGTTTACTGTAAGCTACTGTAGAGGGTAGGGTAGGGTAGGGTATGGTGGGGTAGGGTAAAGTTTATTAAATTTTTTTTAAGTGTGGTAGGGAATGGTAAGGTAAGTTAGAGTAGGGTAATTTTTTCTAAATTGAGAGAGTGTACGGTAGGGCAGGGTAAATTTTATAAAAATTAGGGGGGTGTTATAGAAATTTTTTACATTTTTTCAAAGGCAGAGTAGGATAGGGTAGGGTAATTTTTTTTAAATTAGGGGGTGTTTTTCAAAAAAATTTTTTTTTTAAATTTTTTTTAGCTCAATGATGTACGTACTATGTGAAATGCGCAAGTCTTTACCGTGGGACCGTTTACGGTATGTTTTGTCGTTTTAACAAAATTTTTTTTTGAAAAAAATTTTTAATTTTTAAAAAATTTTAATTAGTACTACCACTCTTCAGAGACAAGCACGAAATCGGCCGAATGAAGACCTCAACCGACGTGGACACCCTGCTAGCCGACAGCCCCAAGGAGTACAAAAAGATCTTTGACCATCTCAACGAGACCAAATACGAACAGCGACCGGACTATGCCATGATTTACAAGACCTTTGCCCAAGTCATCACCGACAAGGGCTTCAAGTTCGAAGAACCGTACGATTGGGAGAGTTTGCCCGAGAATCAGTTAACGCCCAGCGAGGAGAAGAAGAACATCCCCACGCTGAATGAGGACGCTTCGATGTGAGTTTTTGGGTATTGCCAAGGCTTTTTTTGATAGGATGGGCAAGTTTAAAGTTTTGAAAAGGCTTTTTTCGCTAGTATTGGCAAGATTAAAGTAATATACTTTCAGTGACAAGACCAAGACAAAAGACAGCACGGCAAAATCCGAGGAAAAGTCATCAGATAAGGCAAAACCCATTACCAACGGCGTCATGGCCTTGTTTCCGCCCGAAGAATTCGAAAAGAACGAGCTGGGCTTCTAATTTTGCATGATTAAATCTGATACTATAAGCTGTTGGAGTGGTTTTTTCATATTGATTAATAATTAGCGTGATATTATCATTTCTTGTTCACCACCTTTGAAGTAGACAATAATACCGGTATACCGTGAGATAATCTATAGCGAATATAGCTTGTAAAAGGTCTGGCCTAGCCTTGGTTTTTAGGTCTGGGTCCTCGTCTTTTTCAAATTTGTCTTGTTTTTTATTTTTTGCAAGTCAAATCTTTCGTTGCGAGACCTAAGCTGACCTCCTGAAGCTTTGTTTTGGAACTCATCTTCCGGCCCTACTACATGTGCAAGCCTGTCCCTTTTTAAATTTTCAATTAGCCCTTCATATTTAGTTGGAATTGGCTGAATGGTCCTTCTTTCAACTGTACTTCAAACGGATTTTGTGAATTTTTGTTATGCACGGTGCAATGACTGTTGTCAATTTTTGATGCACGGTGCAATGCCTAATAAATTGAAGAAACTTTTTGTTTGTCAAGCCTTGAAAATGATTATTGCCAAATTTTTGAACTGATCTTGGATAATATAGTGGTCGGTTTCATGGAGTATGTTATTTTTTTGGAATTTTTAAAAATTTCAAACTTTTATTTAAAATTTAAATTTCATTTTTTTTTGAAAATACCGGTCGAGTAGACATGAGGTACGAGCCGGGTCTACCATCGGGCCGGACCTGACCCAAATTTAGGTCGGGAGTTTGAGTTTGTGACGGGTCAAGTCTTATTTTGAACATTTAAATTCATTTTTTGAACTTTCAGAGATCTGACCCTACAAGCCAAGCCCACCTGGTTGTTCGGTCTGCCTTTCGAGAACAAGGACGATGATGTTGACTACGAGTTTATTTCTTTACCAGTTCTTTTGCTTTTGTAGGTCATATTCAATGTCATATAACTCTGTATGTCATGCATAATTTGATTTTAACTCTTGTATCATGGATAATATAATTTGCACTTGTGTTTAATGTGTAATATAATGTAAACCTTTATTCATGGATAATATATTGAATCCTGCGGTTTAGCCAGTAGCATAATATAAATCTGTATGTCATGGATAACATAATGAAAAGCAATTTTAGACAATTGATCTTTTTCGTCGTTCTGATCTTATTCGTCACGTTGAAGGTGGGAATCACGATTCATAGAGTAAGTCAAGCTTTTTTAGAACTTTTCATGTTTTAGGACGTTTATATAACAAAAATCGAAGTTACAATTGACTATCATATCTAAAAAAGCTTTTAAAAAGAGAATTGATCCATTAATTTCAGCGCCGAATGCTCCGTAGCATGAATCAGAAGATCGACAAGGAGAACTTCCGCCTCTTGGACCATGCCCATTCGATAGATCGTCGTACCGTGATTATAAAGCAGCTGATGGTGAAGCAAATCAAGGCTTACACCCACGGGAACCGCCAGAAGCTGACCAATCACCGCAATCACTTTGCCAATGTTTATTCGTACGAAGTTATAGCTAATGCTCAGTAAACTTACGACATGAATAAATAGACTTACAAAATACGGTTTAAAAATACTACTTTAATCCATTTACAAGACTTTACAAGATGATTTTGATCAAAATAATACAGCAAAGTACAAGAAATCAAAGAAAACACCTCCTTGATGCCTACTACAATATAGGAAATTTACAAAACTGAGAGATTGAAGATATTGAACATGAAATTAGGAAACAGGTGGTTTGATTTAACTCATGTCGTCAATAATAGTGTCCGCAGCATCTTTGTTGACTCCTTTTGACTTGTTGTTGTTGATCATAATCTCCGACGAAACATGTTTCTCCGCCGACTTCATCAACAGATCATTGTTGTTCACTGAAGGCTTATCTTTTCCATTGTTCTCTGTAATGTCTTCGTTTGTAACTTCATTGTCTTGTTGAGTTTTGTCATCAGCGATTTTCAGGGACTTTTCGTTGTTATTCTGAAAAAAATAGTGTTAACCTTCAAAAATGGCATGAAAAATATAATTTTTTGAAAAAATTTGAAGAGCATACTTATCCTTAATGTAAAATATTCTGTTCTACACATTTTCTTAAAATATCATACATATCTGACAACTAGTTTTTTAGTTACACCAAAATGAATAAGAGTGGGTGTAGAAAAACATGGTTAATATAAAGAAAAAAGTCATAACTCAAGAAGTTGCAGTATAAACAATTTGATCTTTTTTCACAATATTAAGTACTACCTATTCTTACTATGTTAAAAAGGTTTTTAAATTTCTTCTACAGTTTTTCAAGTTTTGGATATTCCAAAAGTCCTTACCTCTACCCAGAAATTGGCAGGTCCAGATTGCTGCGGTTGAATGTTCACATTATTTAAAATGACACCAAATCCTAGCATAGCCAAGGGAAATGCAATATCAGTGTAGGCAACAAGTCCAACCATCATGAGGCAGGTGGAGATGAAAGCCTAAACATGGGTAATATAGGTAATAGTTCGTGATATTGATGTAAATTTCTGTCAGTTATGATTTAAATGCTTTTCTATAGGCGCAGTAAATCTAAGTTAATTAAATTTTAGATAAAACTGAGGTGAAAATATAAATTTTATAAAACTTTGACCATGGATAATATAACTTTAAGCCAGTTTTCACAGAAAACCTGGTTTATTTGATGTAAAAAGCTGCTTTAGATGTTCCTTAACACATATCTGATCCAATTTTAATTATTTCCTTAATCTAAACGTGCAATTCTACTAAATTTGCCCTTATTACCTTCAGAATCTGATAACAACTTCCTAAAAACAACAAAAACAAAACGAAAAATGTTTACCTGGATGACGAACAAGCACACATTGTGAGGATAGTAATTTTCCGGGATTATGTACAACAGGTAGCTTTGATAACAACCTGAAAACAATATAATTATCTACAAGAACATTGTGCGTCAAAAAGAAGTGGGCGAGTTCACTGGAAATTACGTTGAAAAGTGACCAATTCTTTTTGACGCGGTCAAATAAACAAATTTTTGCAGCAAAACAAGCCGAAGCCGAAACAGAGAGAATTTCGGTCGACAAAACAGTGTGAAATGTGAGAGGGTGTAGACAAAGAAGAAAACGAGAGAGTGCAAAAACAAGAAACCGGCCGTTGGAACGCCGTGAGACGCCCGACAAAATTTGTTTTTATAAGAAATAAATCAGAAGCAGATGTAAAACTCACTCAAATAGTAAAACGCAGGTATCAACAGCAGTCCAACAATTCCCATCATCAAGAGAATAGTCGTAGCTAGCACATCAGTCGGGATTGGACCAGAATTGTGTCGAGTTTTGGCCATTTTTAATTTAAAAATGAAAAATTCGAGGAAATTTGCCAAAAAACGGGCGATTTTCGGAGAAAAATGAGTTTTGAGGTGTTTTTGCTGGGATTTCTTGCCGTATTTTTATCGTATTTCGTAATGTTTGTTGATAAAAATGATTAGATGACTTACATTATTGTTTTGCCGATGTTTGACATGTTTGTAGAGCCGAAAATATGATGTTTGACATCTGTTTTGATAAGATTTTGGTGTGAAAAGGTTGGAAAACGCGGTTTTTTGGTGATGGAAAGTTAATTTAGGTATAAGTTCAAAAGGGGTAGATCAAAAATAATGATTTTTTGGACAAAGAACAACAAGACCTTACTTATTTCATTCAAAAAAGTTAAATTTAATTTAAACTAGTTTGAAATGAGTAATCGGGCAAAACGCTCACGTCTACCTCAATATCCACTGTTCCTTGCCGTATCTTAGCTCAAACTTAAAAATTTGACAAAACCTAAGGCTAACATTACAAAATATGAATTTTCCAATATTTTTCCTTTACTTTTCTTCTAATTTCTTCTAGCTCATTACCTATTATTTGTCCTTTTTTGCAAATTTTCTCCAACCAAACACCAGAAATCGGGCGAAAATCTGAGGACTTGCATTGTTAAAGGACAATATATTTAGGTAATAATAAAGTGACTGGACTTGAGTTCACCTGGTTTTGATAGCAAATTTAATGCTCTATGTTAGTATAAAAATGAATTTTTAATTTTTGAAGGTTTACATTACTTTTTGACCGATTTTTCATGATTTTTGCTTGTTTTTTAGCCATTTTTCGCGTTTTTCGACCATTTTTTATTTTTCGACCACTTTTTCAAAATTTCTGCCATTTTTAATGTATTTTCAATTCAAAATTTCAAAAATACTAAAGAAATAAAATTTCGCAGCCAGAGGGCAATTTCATGTACATATAATCACTCATGGTGGTCTAATATATTGTTTATTGGTTATGTATTGTCATGTCATTTGTTATTGGTGGTCTTCTGAAAGCGGATTCACGAATGTATTCGAATTGCTTTTCAAAAGGGGGTTTTAAGCTATTTGAATAGGTGGGGGGAGATGATAAATTAGGCCTTAAAATGGTTGGATATATTGGAAGTTCAGCTGTTTTTAAGATAAAGCTGAGCTTGGTTGAAGATTGTTTTAGGCTTATGTTTAGGCTTATTTTTTAGTTTTTTTGGGAAGTTCTTGCTATGTAAAGAAAGTTCTTGTCATTTTTTGTTTTGTAAAGAAAGTTCTTGCCATTTTTTGTTTTGTAAAGAAAGTTCTTGCCATTTTTCGTTCTGTAAAGAAATTCCTTGCTATTTTTTTGGAAAATGTTATGTATAGTCCAAAAAGTGATGTGGGTTTAAAATTTTGGTATATTTAGCTCAAGATACGATTTTATTTACTTGTTTATTTACTTTTACTGCTATTTTATGGTATTTTGTACTATTTTGAGGAGGTGTTAAATGTGTAAATAACTTAATTAACTGACTTTATTGGCCTATAACGTAGGTATTTTAGCCATTTTGACTGGGACTAGCCGTTAAGCTTAGCAGGCTTAGGCTTAGTAGGCTTAGGCTTAGTAGGCTTAGGCTTAGTAGGCTTAGGCTTAGTAGGCTTAGGCTTAGTAGGCTTAGGCTTAGTAGGCTTAGTAGACTTAGGCTTAGTAGGTTTAGGCTTAGTAGGCTTAGGCTTAGTAGGCTTAGGCTTAGTAGGCTTAGGCTTAGTAGGTTTAGGCTTAGTAGGCTTAGGCTTAGAAAAAAGTCATTATAAGCTCAGAAAGGCTTATAATGACTTTTTAGTACTGTGTTAGTTCTATGATACTAACCAAGAACTCTCTGTTTGTTTTTACTTTACTGTCTAAACTCAAAGTCAAACACATACGATGTGATGTGTAATATAATACACTCCCACGACGGCTAACAGCACCGTATAACAAATTTTGATTAGTACGACGTTTTTCAATAATTTTGTGTTGTTCTGGCATTAGTAGGCTTATGCTTAGTAAACATAGGCTTAGGCTTAGTAGGTTCGGGCTTAGTAGGCTTAGGCTTAGTAGGCTGAGGTTTACTAAGCTTAGGTTTATTTGGTTTAGGCTTCACGGTCTTATTCTTAGCAGGTTTTGTCTTACGCTTAGTCTTACATTTAGTAGGCTTAAGTTTAGTGAGTTTAGTCATAGTAGGCCTAAGCTTAGTTATCTTTGGTAGTTAAGAATGCTGAAGAGAAAAGTTGTGTTGTAAAAACGTAACATAAGATTGTCATACTCGCAGTAAATTGTAGTAAAATTGAAAACACTCGCAGTCATTTGTTGGGTCGTTTTACATCGAGGCAAATATTAAAAAAGTGAATAATATTGCAGAAGAAAACGTTGCGTAACACAGCTCCTTGCAATTTCTCTAAGGCCATTTTATGATATTATGTCAAGGAATTATATCACAGAGCCAGTATTTTTGATAATAACTTGCGTATGTTAACAAGCAGGAGGCTTAGGCTTCGTAAGCTTAGTAGGCTTAAGTTTAGTAGGCTTAGGCTTAGTTGACTTAGGCTTAGTAAGCTTATTCATAGCAGGTTTAGGCTTACTAGGCTTAGTCATAGCAGGTTTAGGCTTAATAGGCTTAGTCATAGCAGGTTTAGGCTTAGTAGGCTGAGGGTTAGTACGGTGGCTTAGGTAGTATTCTTATTACTTTAGGTTTTATAGGCTTAGAGTTGTTTTTTTAGGCTTAAATTATATATAATATATTTGTATATTGTAAACGAAACATTGGCTAGACGCCTACGCTTTCTCCCACTGCAAATGACAAGCAATGTACGTATGAAACGTGGTTATTTAGGTACTTCCGATCCAAATTTGCATGTGGGAAAATACAACATGGTATTGTTTCACAACTAAAAATACGTGTTTTCTCTTTTTAAAACAAATGTTTTATAGTTTAGTTTTTATGTAGGGCTAGGCACGATATTACAGTATGCCGGAAGGTGTGGGTTTGAAGTGCTAAAGCTTTGAGGTTGATATTTTAATGAGTTTGAGGTGGGTAAGCTTAACTTGATTAGGCTTAAAATTGCGTTTTCAATAAGTAGTGTAAGCTTGGTCTTACGTTTTGGTTTTGCATACTGAGGTTTAGTACGCTTAAGTGTAGTAGGCTCCGTAGAGTTAAGCTCAGGCTTCGTAGGCTCAGCCTTGGTGGGCTTAGGCTTAGTAGGCTTAGGCTTAGTAGGCTTAGGCTTAGTAGGCTTAGGCTTAGTAGGCTTAGGCTTAGTAGGCTTTAGCTTAGTAGGCTTAGGCTTAGTAGGCTTAGGCTTAGTAGGCTTAGGCTTAGTAGGCTTCAACTTAATAGGCTTATACTTAGTAGGCTTAGGCTTAGTTGGCTTAGGCTTAGTTGGCTTAGGCTTAGTAGGCTTAGGCTTAGTAGTCTTAGGCTTAGTAGGATTAAGCTCAATAGGTTTAAGTTTACTAAGCGTAGACTTAGGAAGCTTAGGCTTAGTAAGCTTTGGCTTATTAAAGTTTAATTAGTGGTATGTAAATGAATTCAATATATATGTTAATATGATAACTATTATTATACATACTCAAACCACGTCATCATGCAATTTAGTACACTTAGTACTATGAGGTGACAACTTATACGATGAATTTGTCATAATATTTTAAAACATGCCCAACTGTCATAATATCCTTTCTGATGGGCTTGTCACATAATGCCTATTTAATTTAAAGTTAGCCGAACCGTAAAATTCTAATCATTAGCCGCTGGCAGTCAATACGTACTTTCTTTAAACAAAACATGGTTATTACTGTGTGTAATTAGACTTTAATGGCAAAGCAAACGGAAAAATTATTGTTTTGGATGGGGGTAGGGTAATGGGGGGGAATTATGAGTTAACTTGAAAGAGAGGTGTGGGTAGACATGAGAAACGGCGCGGCCTATCGAAATTTTGCTCAAGGCCGGCCCGTTTCTTATGTCTAGAGGTGGGGGGGGTGGAGGAAAAGCGGTAGGAGTGGGGGGGGTGGTATTATTAGAGCTTAAACTGATCAGGGAAGTGGAGATAATCCTGTGTTAAAAATTTACTTTCATGACTTTTTGTCAATAAAAAATGGCACCGCTTAATTTTGAAAAATTTAAAAATTAAAAAAAAATTTTGAAAAAAGTTTTTAAATATCAAAAAATGATGTCCAAAGCAAGCGTAGGCGATTAATATTTACATATGTTACATTTTTTACCATGATATAACATGCAACATACCATGTGTAATATGATATACTGAAGACCAAATTTGGCATGTTTCAATACTTTTTTTGAAAAAATAAACAGAGTATTGTCTTACTGTGCCTTGTTTAGGTTTTACTACTCTTTTGATGCATTTTAAAAATGGGTTTGCAATGTTAAAACCAGAAATCAGTTCTCTAAAAAAAAAGAAAGTTCGAATTTTGAATTTCGCGGGTTTTTTGAAAAGTCTTGGCATTGTTTTTTAAGGGGTAAAATACGAAGTACTTACAATTCATTGTTGATTTTAAAACAAAAGTGCAAGGCAAAGCTGTTTTTACGGGTAAGGTACGGTAGAATAGATTAAACTTTGGCATGATAAAGTAGAGAAGAGTAGAGTGGAGCTGGGTAGGTTATAGCGGGGTCTTGCAAGGTAGGAAAAGGTAGAGTAGGGCAGGTTAGGAGGGTATGGTAGGGTAGGGTAATACGTTTTTAGTGTAATCTCTAATTTTTAAATTTCACTTTGGCGGGATTTTTGAAAAATTTTGGCATTTCGTTTTAAGTGGTAAAATACGGCGTCTATCCTTCTTAACAATTATTGGCTAAATTATACAGATTTTCAAAAAAAAATAATTTTTTAAATTAGCGGGTTTGCTAAAAAAGCTTGGCATTCCGTTTTAAAGTGTAAGATACGAGATTTAATGATGCTAAAATGCAACATAGAGCTTCATAAGCCATTCTTGACTAAGCTGTACCCATTTTCAAAAAAAAAAATTTTAATTTTTAAATTGGCGGGTTTTTTGAAAAATTTTGGCATTGTGCTTTAAAGGGTAAAATACGACGTTTATACGTACAGTTATTTATTTTTAAAAAGTATTTCAGGTGTCTAGACTGCCATTTTAACCATAAACCACTATAATTATCTATAAATACGATGAAGTGCACTTTTTTATATCATAGTACCCCATACCTTCTTTCCTTCTGCTTATCATACCTATTATTGTACGTAAACCTTGAACCCTTAATTTCAACCTTAATTATAACTATGTAGATATAATTTTATTATGTAGGTATAGTTTAAATCTCGTACTTTGAGCTGTTCGTATAAGTAAACAGTAACTTAACTCGACGGAAGCCACGCCCACTTTTAACGGCCATAAATGTTGGCAAAAGTGTTGTTATTCGAAGACATAACAAAGTTTCGGGTGACAGTTTCAGTACGTGACGTTCACGTCGCTTGACGTGCTTCGGTTTTGGGTTTCGTCGACTTTAAAAGGGCTATTTTAAGTGGGGCATGGTTAAGTTACTTAAGTTGGTTGTGGTTAAACAGAGCTAGGTTTTTAAATAGAGTAGAATAAGGATGAGTAGAGTAAGCTAGGGTAGGGTAGGGTAAGTCAGAGTAGAATTGGGTCAAGCATGGTAGGGTAGTGAAGGGTAGGGTAATGTAGTTCAAGGTAGGTTAAAGTAAAATACGGCAAAGGCATTTAAGTTTTAAGGAAAAGCATGGTATGGAAATATTTTTGGTCGTTTAGATTTTGTAAACTTTTTTTGAAGCATTTGGACGACCGGTCGAAAAATTTTTTACAAAGTTTGAACGTCTTAAGGTCTTGAGCAGCACCTTACTTAATTTGGAAAGGTACTGTGAGTGGTTACGAGACTGGAGTTCTTCTTCTCTGTTCATGGGTGGGGGAGGGTAGGTAGGGTAGGGTAGGGTAGGGTAGGGTAGGGTAGGGTAGGGTAGGGTAGGGTAGGGTAGGGTAGGGTAGGGTAGGGTAGGGTAGGTTAGGGTAGGGTAGGGTAGGGTATTTTTCGTAGATATTACTTATTTTTTTAGCAAAATAGGATTTTTTTAACGTGTAACTAATGTATACATTTTTAAAAATATGTGAATTTTTAATTACAGTAGGTGGAATGGCTTCATGTTTGGCAAAGCTGTTGTGTGTATTCGTACTATCATTGTTCCTACACTACGCCACAGCTCAGTGGGACTTTGATGATGGGCAAGCTGAAATGTAAGTTATCTAAAACCCTTAGGAACTGTAGTTTAAAGCTCAATAAAAAATTTTTATAGTAAAGTTTTTAAAAAAAATTGTGATTTTAAACTAAAAATATTGCTTTAGGAGCCAATTCTGGCGCCCAGCCCGATCACAGATGGCTAGATTTGGGATGCCGTGGTCTCATCGTGTACGACCTAATGTAAGTACTGGTTTTTAACTAAAATACAGGCTTTTATCTACGTTTATTCTTATTGTATTACCGTTGCACCCACCCTACCGTTCTACAAAATGAAAATTTTTACTGTAATTTGGTATCATTTCCTTTACCCTACTACACCATCGTTTTTTTTACCGTACTTATCTATACTTTTCCCTACCGTATTAGCCTACCCTACCGTACACTACCCTACTTGACCCTATACTACTGTTCACTATCTTACCGCACGGTACTCTATCCTGCTGTACCCTACCTTACACTATTCTACCGTACGCTATCCTACCGTAACGTAGTCTATTTTACCCTACTCTACCCTACCTTTACTTACCCTCCCAATTTCAGACCAACAACGTACCCCAATGTTTGTTCTGTTGATTGTGTAAATTACCGTAACTTCGTAGCATTACCCGCCGTACTCAAGGGCTATCGTGCATTAAAGCCATCCTCATGATCTCAACGTCCACTCTTTATATTATTGTACATTTACCCACGTTTGAGGCCAATAATTTAATAAAACGAGCATAATATTACCCTGTTTTGTGATGTTTTGGTACAATGTCGTACCTTTTTTAATATTTTTTGTGGTTTGAAATGATAAGACAAAAGATTATGTACCAGTATTATAACTATAGTACTAACTATAGTACTGTAAAGTGTAAGTACTATCTTTGCGGTACCAAAAATAGCACTATTATACTTAAGTACTATTTTAGTACCGATAGTACTATGAAAAGTAATTACTAGTATCAGTACCAATAGTACTATGAAAAGTAATTACTAGTATCAATACCAATAGTACCAATTGTATTATGAAAACCCACTTTTAGGCCCCAGCAGGCCCAGTCATCATAACCACGGAAAAGCCAAAAGAAGCCAAACCCGACTACGCCACCGAGCTCAGCGACAAGATTTGGCACCCCCCGGATGAGATCTAGAATGTTCTATTAAAAATATTAAAAAAACCTCCATTCAGTCAATAAAAGTTCTATTTTTAAATGAAAATGCTCTTTATACTGTATTAATAGTAGGGTAAAGCAGAGGAAAGTAGGGTAACGTAGAGTAGGGTAGAGTAGGGTAGGGTAGAAAAGTAAAGTATTGTTTGTTAATATTTTTAACCTTACTTTTATTTGGATGTTCAAATAATTCTGTACCTTCTAACCCCAAAAACTTTCTTTTAAAGAGGCACACGATTATTTGAACTTGCTTTGAAAGAGGCGCAGAACTATTTGAACTTTATTTAGACGGAACACTGAATTATTTGAATCTTTTTTAGAAAGGCCCAAATTTATTTGAACTTTCTTTTAAAGGGCACAGAATTAATTAAATTTGTTTTGCGAAGAGACACAGACTTATTTGAACTATCTACTATTTACTCAGTAACTTCTACTTTACTACTTCTAAATATTTTTACTTCTTAAAACCTGCTAGCCAACTTGAAAAAGTTGTAAACTGCTTGATTATAACAATATTCAAGTTAATTTTCGATTTTTTTTTAAATTTTGATGGTTTTCGTGACTTTTTGATGACATTTCTAAACGAAAGTTCGGGGGGGGATAGTTAAGAAAGGTAAACGAGTAACCTTTTATTGTTTTAATCAGTTAAGCAAAACTTGTTTTTTTTTAAATTCGCGCGAAAAAAAGTGAAACCAATAACAGAGTTTACTACTACGCTTTATCGTATGTTCCATGCTTTGTTACGTTATATCTACTATGTCGTATCTTGTTATCTTCTCTGATAAATAAAAGTTACTTTGTTTATGTGATATTTACTATGTCGTATCTTTGTATCTTCGTTACTGTTGGTCGTATGACCTCGTTATCACCTTATCATTCTTTGTTCTGATGTCTTTAAACCTACTCTACCCTCCCCTTTTGTTATGTTCATCACCACCCAACCCTCAGTTACTACCCTTCCCCCCTCATTCCCCCCCCCCTCTCAGCTCGCCTTTCCCCCCCCTCTCCCCCCTCCCTCCCCCCCCCCTTCCGCTCCCCTCTCCATTGTCATCCCACCTCACTGACACCCCTATATAAACCCATCCCCAACCCAGTTCAAGTCGTATCAGTCCCTGGTTCCAGTAATCATGGACGTGGAAAACCGCCTCAAGGCCTACCGCTTCGTCGCCTACTCGGCCGTCACCTTCTCGGTGGTCGCCGTCCTCTCCGTGTGCGTCACCCTGCCCATGGTCTACAACTACGTACACCAGGTGCGCAGACAGATGCACAACGAAATCACCTACTGCAAGGGCTCGGCCAAAGACATCTGGGCCGAGGTGCATCAACTCCGCAACCAGCCATTCGGCGCCGCCAACCGTACCGCCCGTCAGGCCGGCTACGGAGACTCCGCCGGAGTTGGAGGTGGAGCCGCTGCTGGCGGCGGTGGTTGCGACGGATGCTGCTTGCCCGGTCCACCAGGACCAGCCGGTACCCCAGGTAAACCAGGTCGCCCAGGAAAGCCCGGAGCTCCAGGTCTGCCAGGAAACCCAGGAAAACCACCAGTTCAACCATGCGAACCAGTCACCCCACCACCATGCAAGCCATGCCCACAAGGACCACCCGGCCCACCAGGCCCAGCCGGACCACCAGGAGACGCTGGTGCTCCAGGACAGCCAGGAAACCCAGGACAAGATGCCGCCCCAGGAGAGCCAGGACCAAAGGGACCACCCGGACCACCAGGACAACCCGGTCAACCAGGTGCCCCAGGAGAGCCAGGAGCTCCAGCCGTCTCGGAACCAATTGTTCCAGGCCCACCAGGTCCAGCCGGTGACCAAGGACCACCCGGACCACCAGGCCCACCAGGACAACCAGGAGCCGACGCCGGACCAGGACCAGCCGGACCAAAGGGACCACCAGGCCCACCAGGACCACCAGGAAACGACGGTCAACCAGGTCAGCCAGGACAAGCTGGACCACCAGGCTCAGCCGGAGAAAAGGGTATCTGCCCCAAGTACTGCGCCATCGACGGTGGAGTGTTCTTCGAAGACGGTACCAGACGTCGTTAAGCATTTCTTTTTGAGTCTAGAGCAAAATAGAGTGGGCTATGCCAGCTTTCTCGGAAGCGTCGGCTTGGCTTACTTTGTTTTGTTTTCTATGGCCAAGGTTTAATTTAAAAGGACAATAAAGATCTCCTTGCATTCAAATTCTGTCGGAATTTTTGAGTTTTAAAATTTAAAATATTTAAAAAAATTTTTTTTTTTTATTTTTAAATTTCAAAAATATGTTTTTTGTTGTGAACCACTTTTTGGTGAGGCGATCTACAATGAGTATATCAATAAATGCAATGAATTCCACTGTTTCCACTCCTAGTGGTGTCCTAGTTATGATGTCTCGTTGAACTCGCCCAAAATCCACTGTTGCTGTGTTGCCAATCCAATGAAACATCACCAGTTCCAATTTGTCCTACCCCGCTGTATTGACTATCCAAGGAAACAGCGATCCAAACGATAATAGCCCAAACTATCCGAAATCGTATTCAATAGACTTTATTATTTAGGATTCAATAGACAATTAGGTAACAATCAATAGAAAAATGGTAAAATCAAAGTTTCAACAAGAAATACAAGACGGTAGTAGTAGTAGTAGTGAGTAAAGTGGCTGAAGGTCCAACTTCAATATAAATCATCTCTTGCCAGAAGGGCAAAGAGATCAAAGTTCAAAGAGAGAGGCAGAATGTCTCGAGAAAGAAAACAATTATTGATAAGAAGACTTGACACATGAAATAAATCATTGGACAAGATTATCTCTAGCGACAAATATTGAGATTCAAATAATTCTTCTTCAACTCGTCAAGTAGTTGACGACATTTTATAAGTAAATATTTTTTTTAATGTTTGAAATTTAAAAAAAGAAATACTTTTTTTTTTAATTTTTCACCTTATCACTCACTATTTTTACTAACAATAAAAAACATAACATGTCTATCAACACGCGGTAATATTAATAAACCGCTCGAAAATAGCAACTCGACCCTCAGTAAACATCGCTTTATTCAATTAATCGCGTAAAACCGGTAAATCAAGAGCTACTTCAACGTGTTTGTTGTCTTTTATTGTTTTATTCGTGTCATACTGAGAGTATATAAGCCATGATAGACATGATTGGGGCATCATAAGTTTGTTGGCTTTGTATCAAAGTAAGTTTTGTAAGGTTTAAGCAATGGTTTAGAGTGAGTTATAAATGGAGTTTTTAAGTGTAAAAAATATTTTTTCGATGTACAGTAGTTGGAAGAGTTCCACAACGCCTGGCGTGGCTTGGCTTGACTAGACTTGACTAGGCTTGGTTTGGCATGACTTGGCTTATCTTGGCTTAACTTGGCTTGACATGGCTTAAATTGCCTTGCCTGTGCTTTGTTCTGTGCCTTGTCGTGTGCCATGCTTTGTGCCTTGCCTTGTGCCTTGCCGTGTGCCTTGCCTGTACCTTGCCTGTGCCTTGGCTTGGCTTGATTTGGCTTGGCTTGGGTTGGCTTGGCTTGGCTTGGCTTGGCTTGGCTTGGCTTGGATTGGCTTGGCTTGGCTTGGCTTGGCTTGGCTTGGCTTGGCTTGGCTTGGCTTGGCTTGACTTGGCTTGTCTTGGCTCGGCTTGGCCTGTACAGTTAAATTTTATTTTTTTTGTAAAATACGAGCTTGTATGATATCAGGATTTAAAAAAATTTTTTTTAGATAAAAATGTCTTCAGTAAGCCCAATCGTGCTCTTCTGCGTTGTCATTTTGGCCTTGAACTTAATTGTTGAGTACGCTAACGCACAGTACCTGACCTTTGGCGGTGCTCCGGTGTTGGGTGCTCATGGACTTGGTTTGTATGGCAAAAGAGCTGCTGGCTTTGAGGATGGAAACTCTACTTTGTAAAACTGGTAAATGGCAACGCTAAATTTTAAGACTGGTACATGGATATACAGTACCTTATGAGAGTACTGTAAAATGAAATTTTGTACAAATTGAAGATGATTTGTTAGTTTTCGTTTAAAAAATAAACTTTTTTATGTATCATGAAATAGTTTTTTAACAATTTTCTTGTTTGGTACTATAAACAGTACAAACCTTCATATTGCAGTGCGTAGACAGTACTAGATAAACAACGTAATAACAGATTACTTAGTACTATCTATGTATAATACAATAATGGTCACTCAATACTATTTGCGCACAGTACCGCACACCCAGTGCTATATATGTACGGCACTGAGCCTACAGTACTATTATATCGATTACATTACTGATCAGTGATCACAATAGTATGTTATTGAGTACAAATGTTTGTTTACATTAGTAAATATTCAGTATCTAGTACTATCGGTGTACAATACTGACAACCCAATTCTATCTATGTGCAATACTGATCTCATTGTACTATTTATGCGTTGGAACGATCACTTAGTACTGTCTATGTGCAGTACTGATTATTAAGTAGTATATTTGTACAGTACTGACTACCCAGTACTATCTATGTGCAATAACGATTACACAGTACTATTAATGTACAGTACTGATTACTCAGTATTATTTATGTACAGTACTGACTACCCAGTACTATTAATGTACAGTACTGATCACCTAGTACTATCATTGTACAGTACTGACTACCCAGTACTATTAATGTACAGTACTGATCACCTAGTACTATCATTGTACAGTACTGACTACCCAGTACTATTCATGTACAGTACTGACCACCCTATTCGAATGTTTTCGAGTACAATCCGAGTATTATTGGGTGTCGTCCCGGGTTCTTTGAATGGCATTACTTCCTTCCGTCCATTCTTCCGTTCAATTCAAACTTTTACCTCGCCCGCGATAAGTGGTCGTACACGGCGGCAGGGAATGCTATTCGAATGGTGAAGAAATGCTACTCAAACGGTAAAAACCGCTGGTTGAATGTAAAGAAATAGCTATTCGAACGAGATTTACTCAGTCAAGCATCCCTTGACCGCTGTTGGTAAACAGGCCATTAGACCGACCGGTCACAATTCCTATTTTCGAATGTCGCGCCATCAACAAACGGACGAGGACAAGGTGAGGTTTGGTATATTTGGGTTTGTATTATTAAATTTAATTTTTTTTGAATTTTAAAATTTTAGGTTTTGGGAAGGGGGGGGGGGGTGGTTTAAATTTTAAGATTTAAAGTAAAAACTTTGAAATTACAAGTTTTTTATTTTGGAACTGCCTATCAGGTTTGCTTATTATTTTTAGGTTTAAGATTATTCAGGGTGTAATAAGCGTAGGCTGAGTAGGCTTAGAAACTTAGCGTTAGTGAGTTTAGTAGGCTTAGACTTGGTAGGCTTATTGTTAGGCTTAGTAGGTATAGCTTTGTGAAGCATTACGTGGTTTAACTTATGTAAGCATAGATTGTTTAGAGTTTTATTAGGCTTAGACTTGATAGACTTAAGCTTAGTAAGTTTAGGCTTAGTAGGCTTAGGCCCAGTAGGCTTAGGCTTAGTAGGCTTAGGCCTAGTAGCCTTTGGCTTAGTTGACTTAAGCTTAGTAGGCTTAGGCTTAGTAGGCTTAGGCTTAGTAGGCTTAGGCTTAGTAGGCTTAGGCTTAGTAGACTTAGGCTTAGTAGGCTTAGGCCTAGTAGGCTTAAACTTAGTAGGCTTAGTTTTAGTAAGCGGAGGCTTAGGCTTTGTAGGCTTAGGCTTAGTAGGCTTAGGCTTATTCGGTTTAGAAATAGTAGGCCTAGGCTTGACAAAACTACGTTTAGAACTCTTACGATTAGTAGGCTTAGGCTTATTAAAGTTTCACTAGGCATTAGGAACAGGTAGGGCCTACCATCGAGCCGGGCCGAGTCTGACCTATATTTATTTTATGTCGGGCCGGGCTTAAGCAAAATTTTTTTTTAGACTTACTTTCTAGGCCTGGCACGGCCCGTTCCTCGTGTCTAAATCTCATTTTTAACTTGAAAATTTTTTTTTTGAAATTTTATTTTTTTTTCACATTTCAGGACCACAAGAAGTCGGTAGCCTTTGTAGTGGACTTTAACTCAAGCCCCACCACTTCTTCCCCACCGATAAAAATGGCAGAAACCCCAACCCAAAAGAAGAAAACCGTTCCGCCTTTGGCCAAAAAACCTGGAAAAACGCTGAAACCAAATCCAATTGATGAACTGGATCGAGTGGCCCTGACTGGCATTGAAGAGGTAAGGCATTTCTTATTTTGTGGTTTTATATCACTCATCAGATAAATTTGATAGAAAAATAGACCTGTAAAAAAACCAGCCGGGTCCAATTTTTTTCTTTGTTTAACACTTTTTACAAGTCAAATCTTTCGTTGCGGGACCTAAGCTAGAGAACCGGGTAAGGCCGGGCGGCGACTTTTGGTCTGGGGGCGCGGGTCGAAAAAATCCACAGGAAAAGAGGGGGAGACCACTTTCAACTTTTTTAAAAATTTTTTTTTGCGGGAGAAGGGGAAGGGGGGGGTATTTTCTACCTTCGTGCAGAAAGTAGGGCTGGGGTCTGTTGGATTTTGTTTGGATTCTGTGGCTTTCAATTTAGCCGGCCCTAGAGTCCGCATTGTCTGGCCGGCTTTTAACACATTTGTAAAGGCCGGGACTGGCTTAATCAAACAGAATTAGGTTTAGTGAGCTTTTTTTATGTCTAAAAAATGGCGTTTTTTCCAATTTTTTTTGAAAAATTTGTTGAAAAAAGAAAATTAGTGCCATTTTTTATTGTAACTTGTTTCAAAAATTAGGTATTAATTTGAAAATTTGTGGATTTATAGACTAGTACGTTTATCAGGCTTTAGTAAAAGCAAATTGTAAAATACTAAATAATTTTGAAGTTACAGTGATTTTAAGGTACCCCATTTTTTGAATTTTTTTGAAAATTTAAAAAAAATTGAAATTCCGAAAAAACTTATCAACTATTTAGAAATCATAAAATCTCCAAAAAATAACGTTTAATTTTCAGCTTGACTCAGATTTATTCGACAACATCAGCTATTTGGACTTGATGACCAAGAAACATGACCGAGATGAGAGGAAGCGTCGTGAGCACCTGGAGAACCTTCGAAGACTTCGTGAAGGGTTAGTTTGTAGTTTTGCTTTTAAAAGTTTTTAAAATTTAAAAAAAAATGTTTTAAAATTTTAAAAAATTAAAAAAAATTGTTTTTGTGTTATCATAATTAGAGATTGAAAAAGTCTTGTCGTTTTTTAATGTGCAAGCCTGTGCAAAATTGCGACATAACTTTTTAACGTTCGTTTTTTGAAAAATTTCGGGCGGGGTAGGTATTTAAAAATGATTTTAAAATTCAATAAAATTTTTAAATGTGAATTTTTGATTTTGTGTTATCAGATTGACCACTTAAAAAACCTTGTCGTTTTTTAAAGTGCGAGCCTGTGCAAAATTACGACAAGACTTTTTGACATTAGTATTTTCGAAAAATTTAGATTAGGGTAAGCATAAAACTTTAAAAAAATCATTTTGTTATCTAAAAATTTTTATTTTTTTTTATTTTTAAAAAATTTAAAATTTTTAAAAATTTTGAAATTTTATAATTAAAATTTCAAAATCAGTGAGATTTGAAGTTCCCTTGGCTTTTATTAGAAAAAGTAAATAAAACCGGAAAAAACAAAAAATGACAGTTGAAGCAGAAAATGGCTAGTTTTAGCCGGAGGCTAACGGTAATAGTTTACACAACATTAAATTCCGGGATTCATGTTGTTTTACCCAACTGTTTTCCTTGTTTTGTTGTTTTATCAAGCATTGTATGTTTATTATATTCTGGAGTTTGCAGGGGTGAATTTAGAGTGTGAAGTTGAGGAAGGGGGAGGGGGGGGTAACATACTAAATTTTGGTGGCGCAGGGCGGGGTATGGTGGGCATGAGGGCATGGGGTGGGGGGTAAATTGGACTAGGGCAGGTATGACAGGACAGGGTAGAATAGGATAAGGTAGGATAAGGTAGGGTAGGGTAGGGTAGGATAGGGTAGGGTAAGGTAGTGTAGGGTAGGGTAGGGTAGTGTAGGGTAGGGTAGGGTAGTGTAGGGTAGGGTAGGGTAGGGTGGGGGTAGGGTAGGGTAAGGTAGGGTAGGGTAGGGTAGGGTAGGGTAGGGTAGGGTAGGGTAGGGTAGGAGAGGGTAGACCTTTTCTTTTTTTTATTTTTTGTTTGGACTATATGTACTACATAGTACGTACTACTATCACAATATAATACTTGCTTTTTTGCCTTCTTTTATGGCCATTGTGTCTGGAGATTTATTGTTATGACCTTAGAATGACCACTTATTTCCCTATTACTTTGTTCTGTCATCTTTTGGTTTTCTGTCTACCTCAATATACCTACTACAACATATTATTCATAATATTTTACTTTACTATCCAACTAATTATGTTTTATTATACTATCTACTATGCCTAACTATAACAATATCTACTATTCCGTATACACAATTAGCAATCCTATTTGACTATATGTTGTACACATCGTATGTCCCGCTGTGATTGTCGAAGCTCGCCCTTCGAAACATACGAACACAAAGCACGGCGGGGCCATGAGCGAACGTACTATAGCCACAAAACATCAGTGTAAACCAGCTGTATGTTTGCACTTTACAGTACGGCGCCAGGACATACCGTGTTGTGAAGGTGGCGCAGAAGGGTTACCGGGCTGTAAAGGTGGTGTAGACAGTACACCGTACTGTGGATGTAACTCAGGTCGAGTTACTGAAGTAGATGAAGATTCGATCGAAGAACAAGGATTAGGAACGAGTGATAGTAGTACTGGAGAAGACAGAATGGTGACAGTACGAAGAGATGAGAACGGAGATGCTTGCTGGGAATGTAAGGCGGGAATGCTTATTTTATATTGTGATGTACTGCTTTTGTTTAGTGTGTGTATAGTGCTGTATATATAACGCTTGTCTATGTTTTTAAATAAGTTTTGTATATTGTGTTCTACTTTTCAGTTTTAGTACGGTCTTAAGTATTTTTTAGTACTCTTTTGTACTATTTTCAGTATTTTGAGGACAAGTCTAAGTCTAAGTCAAATTTTATGTTTAAGTTTAAGCCTAAGTTTTTGCTTAGTTTTAACTTTAAGCTGCAGCTGAAGTTTAAGCCTAAGATTATGTATAATCCTAAGCTTGAGCTTAACTTAGAGCTTGAGCCTGAGATTGGGCTTAAGTTTGAGCTTGAGATTGAGCTTGAGTTTGAGCCTGAGCATGAGCATAAGCATGCGCATAAGCATGAGCCTAAGCCTAAGCCTAAGCCCAAGCCCAAGCCCAAGCCCAAACCCAAGCCCAAGCCCAAGCCCAAGCCTAAGCTTAAGCCCAAGCACAAGCCCAAGCCCAAGCCTAAGTTTGAGCTTGAGCCTGAGCCCAAGCCTAAGCTTGAGTTCAAGCCTACGTCTAAGTCTAAGCCAAAGTCTAAGTCTAAGCCTAAACTTAAGCTTAAGCCTATGCCCCTGCATATTTCTCTATTTCTTATTAAAGGATATGTCTAAACCTAAAATTGCTTCTAAATTTAAGCTTGTCATACTACCGTAAACTTACTTATTGTATTTTATCGTATTTTACTCGTAATAACTTCATCAACCCCTACTCTAATCTAATATCAGATCCAACTACCTCACGGGTACAGCATTCACCGCCATTGTTTCATAGCGTGCCTTATCGTTCCACAACTCCTGCTACAGTAAGACGAAAGTCATCGTTAAAGTCACGCCGTCCTAGCTTCGTATCTTCAGATCTACGCGGTACATCGTCAAGTCTACATCATAATACAGTAAACTCACATCGCAACAGCATCACAACTTCCGACATGACCACAAAAGTGCCGTGGCGAAAACGAATCCGAGATTACGGTAGCCAAAACGAAGATGACAGTGCTTCAGAACAGGATACAGTATCCGATGAGTACGATAAGTACAACAAATGGTACTGGGATTCAGATTCTAGGCCGATATTACGATCAAAATCAAATTCTCGACCACTTTCTAATTCTACAGTACCCAATAGGCCATTTGGCAGAACTACAGTAAACCGTAGGCCATTATCACGATCAACCTCGGCTTCTCGATGCTACTCGAAGCCAAGCTCAAGATATGACAATTCAGATGCCTTCTCACGTCTATTTCCATCGTCACGACCAAGTTCAAGGCATTTGTCATCATCTAGACCACTATCAAGGTCATCTACTACAATATCAAGACCAAGCTCAAAGCACGATGCTGAGAGACATCTGAATCTAGGCTTATCAGCACGACGACAAAAAAGCTTAAATGGAAAGCCAAGAAGAAGTGTACGATACCTTGATGACTATGCTCTTTACATACCACCACCAGATGATACTGAGACTGATGAGCCCTATATTACTATTAAGACACCTAGCAGATTGTAGGTTCAAACTTGATTTACTGTAGTTTATACACGCTTTAAACACATGTTTTACAAAATATTGTGTGTATTTTGTAAGATATTAGGCTTAAAAAACTAATTCTTAAGGGTTTTAGGTTTTGCAGGCTGCGGGAGACATGTTATACGATGAAACATTTTTTGCTATGGGCAGTTTTTATCCTATAAAATGTCTTTTTGCAAAAAAAATTATTAAGAATTAAATAGTTTGGAGCTGTTTTTAGTTTTTTACTTTTGTAGGTAACGGGTGACAAGTTATACGGTGAAAAATGTTTTTATTATGGGCACATTCCATCGTATAAAATGTCCTTTTGATAAAAAAAATGAAGAATTACATTATCAGCTATTACATTATTTGAAAAACTACTTTATAATACGTTTTTTTGCTTCTGCAATCTGCGGGTGACATGTGATACGATGAAATATGTCGTGTCAAAGACATTTTTCATCGTATAAAATGTCGCTTGGCAAAAAATATGCTGAAAATTAAGTTAACATAATAAAATGATGTATTAACCATAAAATTATTTAAAACTACGTTTCTAAACTTTTTTTTTTTTTACTTCTGCAGGCTGCGGGTGACATTTTATACAATAATTTTTTAAACTTGTTTTATTGTATAACTTGGCACTTTAAATATAAAAATGCTTATCTTTATGGAATTCAGCAATTTTTATTCAATAAAAAATTATTTTTTTGCTTAAAAAGTCAATTAGTAACTGTTTTACGTTTTGCAGGCTGCGTGTGACATGTTATACGATGATTCTAAACATGTTTTACCGTATAACTTGACACTTTAAACAGAAATATGCTAGTTTTTTTATAAATTGAGCAATGTTTGTTCAAATAAAAATGAACAAATTTTTTTATTCTTTGCAGGCTGCGTCCGACATTAATTTTTAAAACTTTTTTTTAAAATTTTTAATAAATTTTCAAAAACTCATTAGTACCAAAGTAATTTAACCCAATATAGGTATATCCTGTTTACCTAGGCCTCATCGAAGACTATATACATTTTACATTGTAATGTTTTTACCACCACATATAGGTGGTGTATGGGCGATTAGGCACGGCCTTTTATTGGAAGTAGATGCAGTAAATACCGGCCCAAAGTAACCCTACTTACGGAAATGGCTGTCTGGAGAGATTGCTTCTGAAGTGGTCGTTTTTACATATCCTACATTAACATGGCATTTCATGTTCGATTATGGGGGTTGGAGGGTAGGAGTGGGTGGGAGGGTGTGGTAGGAGCGAGTGGGGGGGGCTGGAGGGGTGGGGGTTGGAGAAAGTGAGACGGGGGAAAGTAAAATAGTTAAAAAAGAGGCAGGGGTAAAAAAAGATAAGGCGATCAAAAAATTTTAAAAAGAGGGCGAGGGCTATCCAGGCATGAGGAAGTAGTATAGAACAATGCAGGGCAAGTCAAGAACGGCTTGCTAGAATAGGGCAGAGCAGGAAAGGCAAAGAAGGGTAGGGTAGGGTTAGACATGGAGAACGGATTAGGCCTAAGCAAAATTTAATTCGGGCCGGGCCTGGATATTGCGAAAAAGCCCAGCTTAACCCGAAAAACCTGCCCGTTTGCAATTAAAAAAAATTCAGGCTAGGCCAAAGTGGGGCTGGCTTAGCCTGTTCCCCATGTCTAGGTAAGGTAGGGTAGGATAGGATAGGGTAGGAAGGGTAGGAAAGGGTAGGGTAGGGTAGGGTAGGGTAGGGTGGGGTAGGAGACGGTAATGTTAAAAAATGACATTTATTCCTAAAAATCAAACTTTTTTCAAAATTTTAAATTTTAAAAACAAAAACAAATTTTAAATTTAAATTTAAAACTCTATTTTTAGTGCCGAAAAGCTCTCAGCCCGAGGCCAATCAAACACCAACGAGCTAGAATCATTCACAAATCCGGAGCCAGCTTCCGACGCTACCGCCAATTCGGACGAATCCACGGATTTGGCTTCGGATCCGGACGGAGCCGACAACAAACCTCCACCAGCACAAGCCCCAACACCAACAATGGCAGTGGATCCGACCATTCGGCACCTTTGGAACGACGCTATTGACTTGGCCGAGGTCCGGAACGTTGATGATCAAGCCGAGTTCCGGTCGTTATTGGCTCAACTTGGCATTGATGTGGGTTTATCTTACCCTGCCGTACCCTACTATAATTTATTTTATTCTGCCTTACCCTACCTTACTTTATTTTAGCCTACTTTATAACAAAAAACTTGAGATTTGAGGCCGCGTCAACAAGAATTGGACGTTTTGCTATGTAACTTCATAGCAAACCACCCAATTCTTTTTGACGCGGTCGATAATATGACTTTTTTTGGTTTTGTAAAGAACGTTCTGCCATTTTTTGTTTTGTAAAGAAAGTTGTTGCCATTTTTAGTCTTGTAAACAAAGTTCTTGCTAATTTTATCATTTCAGCAAATCTCAGCAGCAACTCTATCTCGGTACAATGTCCGAGGCCATATGGATCACTACGACCATCCAGCTCTTTGTTACCCAAGATATCGCGGCTCAGCTACACGAAACAAGATTCCATGTGGACTGAAGATCATCAGATGTCTGGGTGATAAGTTGGAAAAAGAAAATTTGCCAGATGAGGATGTAAAGTAGGTTTATTTTACTAAAAACTGTTTTTCTACTATAATATAGGCAAAAGTTTATGGGTGGAAGGGCTTTTTTGAGTTACTGTGGGATACTGTATTGTCAGAAGTCAGTAAAATTTAGTGTGAAGATGTGATATACTGTGAGGATTGTTTTTGTAATTACAAATTTTTTGATTGGATTACTGTAACATTGCGAAAATTAAATTTTTTCTGGAAAAAATGTGATTTTTGGAGGAAATTTGACGTTTTTTTAAATTTTTGAAGTTTTTTTTGAAATTTTTAAAATTTATAATTTTATTTTTATAAACTACAGGTTATTTTCCATTTATTTTATTACAATATTATCTAAAATTCTACGAGGTTTAATTAGTTTTGACATTTTATGTTTGAGGTTCCAAGTCCAAAATCCAAAAAAAGTTCGAGTCCGCTCGGCGTCAAATGCCATTTTTGAATGAATACATCATCGAAGGCTGAAATTTACAAAATAGTACATTATAAGTGTAGTACAGATAAAATGGCATCTGATAATTTGAAAATTTTTTTGTTTTTGTTTACCCTTAAGCTTAACATTAAATTTTTTCCAGACCAAGCAAGTTTTCCGGAATATTCGGCTACCACATGATCACCCCTTCCGACAACCGTGTCGTCCTCACCACAAACGAACGTGACGCTCTAGCCGTGTACGATTCAACCAACGGCATCCCAGCCCTCTCTTTACCGTGCGGTGAAAAACTTGACCATAGTGTCATGTCGTATCTGGAGGACTTTGATCTGATCTACCTTTGGTTCCCATTGATCCACGAAAAGTACGCCAAAGACTATGCATCGTACTTGAACTCAGCACGATGTTACATTATTACTAAGCCGGAAAGACCGGTCGAGTTGTTGCGAGATGAAAGAGCCGGCGAGATTCTGAAGGGAATTCTGGAGGCGGTGAGAGTACGATACCGTGGTTTCAGAAGTTTGATTGATATTAGAGAGGAAGTGAAGAATGAAATCGTTCAGAGTAATTCAAGAACTGTCGGGTTTGCTACGGTAGGCGAATTTTGTAATTTGAAAAAAATTCAAAATTTCAAAAAATTTTGAAATTTTGAAAAACAATTTTATATGTGAAAAAGAGTATAAATATACCAAAAACATGTCTACATACGTTTTTTACCATGTTGATTTCAAAAAAAGTTGAAATTTTACTCTTCAGTTACTGTACCCTACTGTACCCGTAAACTATCAGAAAAATTTCCCAGGAAACCTAAAATGAGCTAAAACATATTCAAATCAAAATTTTTGTAAAAAATGTTTAAAAATCCAGAATCAGCACAAAATTTGACACTATAAACATGTAAAAAATTTTTAAAAAGTTTTTTTTAAAAACATGCGGGTTAGTATAGTGGTAGTGCGCTGTGCTAACGTTCTAAAGCAGTTAGGTTCGATACTTTCACGATTTAAAATGGTTTTTAGATGGTAAAATACGAAACGTTATAAATAAAATTCTAAAAACAAATTGATTTAATACTGTTTTAGTAATTTTTCAATAATTTTTTGTTTTTGGTACTAATGGAGCGCTTGGTACTATACCAATCGGTGCTATAAAAAATGAGTGTTTTTAATGCTTTAAAATTGTATTTTTGAAGAAGTTTACGTTTTTTGAAAAATTTTTTAGTTTGGTACCATTGGTACACTTTTTTCACTTTTGGTACCATTTGTACTATTTTAAATTTTGATCAAAACTGCCAATGTAAATCTTCAAAAAATCAATATTAAAATCTAAAATTACCGTTTCAGTGGAAACGCCTGGACGCTCTGAACCGCTACCTCCGAGGTTTCCGACCGGGCGAGTTGACAGTACTAACAGGTGGTACTGGCTATGGCAAGACCACTTTCTTATGTGAATATTCGATGGATTTGTTCAGCCAAGGGGTTCGGACCCTGTTCTGTAGCTTTGAGATGCCTGATGAGAAGATTCTGAAGTGGATGTTGGTGCAGTTCGCGGCGTAAGTGGTGCTTTTGATGTAATATGGTACTAGTATGGATTTAAAAAGTGGTACCATATTGGCTAAAATGGCTTGAAATAGCATTTTTAGTTATAAAAATGACATTTTTGATAGTAACTATGGCCTTAAGCATAGTAAAAACGCTTAAAATACGATGATTTTTGGCTGTAAACAAAGTTTTTGCAATTTTTTTAAATTTTTAAATTTTTTGAAAAAAAAATTTTTTTTTTAATTTTGAAAAATTTTTTTAAATTTATGTTACCCATGCCCTAACAGTACCAATCTTTGTTAGGCCTGCCCATATTCGGTCTCTGGCACGGTCGCGGACTTATCACAACGGTCTCAAGTACGGTAGTTTCTCAGTGTGAGAGTGTTTGCAGTTTCTGTCTTCCAAAAGTGTCGTATATTGTCGGAATGAAGATGTTGTAGTGTCGTTTTCTAGCGTGCTTAACATCACCTTGTTTGTGGGCTTTTAAGCTTAAACGTGGGGTTTGAAAAAAAGTACAGTATGCTTCATTGGGGTATTGAAAAAGGTATATATAGGGGCATCGCTAGGGGAGAGAGGGAGTGGGGGAGGGACAGAGGCAAGGGAAAAGGGGGGGGAGGGGGTAGTTTTAAATCCCGGCCCTCTCTCAGAAAAAGATTTTTAACAAAATCCGCATTTCCCTCTGAAAAAAATCAACTCCTCCCTCCTCCCCCCCCCCTTCCTTAAAAAAAGACCATCCCCCCCCCCTCCTTCCTAAAAAAATTCCTCAGGAAAACCCCCTCCCCCCCTCTCTCCCTCTCGAAAAAATCCACCCCCCCCTCTTAAAAAAAGCCCCCCCCCTTAAAAAAGCACACCCCTCCTCTCTAGAAAAAAATCATATTCCCCCTTCTTCCAAAAAAAAATCTGAAGTATTACTTTTTCTGACCTGTACTTACTGTATTAATATAGTACGTACTCTATCCGTGTTGACCAAAAAATAGCTTTTTCTCTGAAATTACGGTCGATTTTCTTCTGTTTTTTTTTTAAATTCAAAATTTCTGAAATGAAACTGCAAACAACTACCTAAAGTTTTCGAAATTGTAGAAACGACCGCACTTTGACGTGTCTTTTACTAAGCCTTTTATAATATAATGTATTCACGCTGTTCCTAACCAATGCTTTCACTGTCGTACAGCTTAAAGAGCACTGTTTGTTCAACCATTTAAACTAAAAATTTTTATATCATGCTATTCTAGACTTCCACTCCACCGAATCGACCACCATCAAACAGTCGAAGCTTGGTTGGACAAGTTCGAACGTTCTCACGGCGAAATGATCATTATGAAAACGAATGAATTTAGAAATAAGACTGTTTCACAAATGGCTGACGTGAGTTGTTTTACGCTACCGTACCCTGCCCTACCCTACCCTTCCCTATTCTACCCTACCCTACCCTACCCTACCCTACCCTACCCTACCCTACCCTACCCTACCCTACCCTACCTTACCCTACCCTACCCTAACCTACCCTTCCTTATTCTATCCTACCATTCTACAAAGCCTTGCCCTACTCTACCTTTTCTTGGCCTACCGTACCCTATCCTACCTTGACACACCCTACCCTAGCTTGCTTTGCTTTACGCTATCTTGGCTTGCCCTAACCTACCGTACTGTCCCGTATGGTACTCTACCCGACCCTAACATACTCTGCCTTACCGTAGCCTACCGTACTCTGACCTATACCTCTATAATCTCAATTTACTTTCAGGAAATCCAAGCCCAAGTAGTAGCAGCCGGTATCCAGCATGTTGTCATCGATAATCTTCAGTTTCTGGTCGGTATGGCCACACTGACCAATGAAGGGTCCACCGCTCAGGACAAGTACAACACCCAGGTTGGTTAAATTACTTTATTACCTAAAAAATGAAATTTTATAAGCCAATTTAAAGAATCTAAAAATATTAAAAATTGCGTTTCAGGACCGATTTATTGGCCGTCTACGTCGCATGGCCAATGACTTGGGGATTCATATTACTGTTGTTGTTCATACACGCAAGATTACTGATGTAAGCGGCGTTTTTAATAGGTTAAAACCATTTTAAGGGTCTTTTTGGGGAGGGGTAATACATTTTTTGCATAGGGAAGATTTTTTTTCGGGGAGGGTTTTCCGGGATTTTTAAGAGGGGGCGGGGATAATTTTTTACGGAGGGCGAAGGGGGAGGGGGCCTTTCCGGAAGGGGGGGGAGGAGAGAGTTTTGTTAGAGGGGGGGGCGGATTTTTTTGAGAACAGGAGGAGGGGGGGGAATTTTTTAAAATTTAGAAGAGGGGGATTTCTTTCGATGGCGTAGTATAAACCACCTCTCATCCACCTTTCCCTCCCCTCCTCTGTAGTCCCCCCCCCCGCCCCACTCCCCCCCCCCTTCCTCCCTAACGACGTTTCTGCCCCATTCCATGAACTTTTTGACCTTTTTTGCAATTTTTGGGCTATTTAAATCTCTTGAGTTCTATTTTAACACTCTAATCTTAAAATGTCATCACTTTCAAGGCCGAAGACCTAGAACTTCAACATATTGGCGGATCGGCCCGAATCACCCAAGAAGCCGATAATGTCTTGGCCATACAGCGACGCCGCGACCCCGTGGATCGAAGCCGTGAACGCAAATTTCTTTACGTATGTTATCAGAGCCTTTGACAATCATTTATATATTCAAAACTTTAAAAAACGGCTAGCCATTGGCTTTAAAACACTCAAAATACCTAAAAATTATCCATATTTCGCGGAAAAACTGCCATTTCTAAATGAAACCGACTTTGAATTTTTTAAAAGTTATCATTTAAAGAGTTAAAACTTTTAAAAACGACCAGTAATTGGTTTTAAACCACCAAAAACACCTAAAAATCAGCCAAATTTCGCGGAAAAACTGACATTTCTAAATGAAATCAGCTTTGAATTTTCAACAAATTAATACGAAAAGTTAGGATATTCATTTCCAGATCCTGAAAAACCGTTACGGTGGTCGTAGAGTTGAAAGTGATCGTCTGGAGATGATTTTCCAACAAGCTACCTATACCTACTCCCTTGTGGATCATACCAAGGGCTAAAAATGGTCATAACTCGAAAAGTAACAACAATAACATAATAATATTAACCTACATTACAGTATAATCTTCAATTCACCTTATTTTCACGTTTTCATACATTGGTCCAAAAGTTCTTGGAATTTCTGCACTGTGCAGTGGAAACGGCTGCACAGTGCAAAATCTTTTAAAAAAACCACGCCCAATGACTTTTTCCCCAAACTTTTGAACCACTTATATTAAATATAACCCAATACATTGATTTTTGTCTTTCGAACAAACCCGAACGTCTTTCAACGACAATAATAATATTTTAGTTCAGTTATATTATCCATGATGAAACCTGATCTCATAACATTAATAATTTGATATTTTTTGTGACATCCTTGATATACTCCTGATGATAATCGATTTGAGCTTATTTTTGGTAATAAACTTTGGTTTTCAAACATTTTAATCGGGCTTTTTGTTGGTATCGTTCGTATAACATGTCGCCGCAGGCTGCGGCGAGGGTTTTTTTCATTTTTTAAGCCTTTTGTCTAAATTTTTTGTAAAATACGGGCTGACTGGTTGAAAAATTTTTTAAAAAATCAGTTTTTTGATATCCTTACCAACTTTTTTAAAAATTTAATATTTCCGATATTACACTGAATATCCACCTTATTTTAGGTCGTTTTGACCCATATCTCCTCTAAAACAGATGCCAAATACCTTTAAATGCTTCTAAAACATGCTGCATAGTATTATAAACGTATTTAATTTAAATTTTCTCCAGTTTGAACATGAAAAATGTTTGAACTTTCGAAATTTCACAAACTTCTCAGCCTTTGCGCCGCGGTTTTTCCGAATTTTTCCAGAAATTTAGCTAGCGAGGTTGAGCACGGACTGAGTTGGCAATGGAAACAGACTGTGTGGCGACAGCGGCGGCATACCTGAAAATTAATTTAAAAAAAAAATTTTTTTTCAAATTTCAAAATTCCAAACCAAAACTTAGGCCTTACCTTTAAATTAGACGAGTATGGATCAGAACCCTCTTCTACACGACACATTCTACATGGTATCTTCAGCCTGGCCTCGTCCAAGAACTCATCGTGAGCCAATTCTCCTTTTTTAAAACTGAAAAATTGAAGTTCAGTAATTTTAAATAAAAATTTATATATAGAACTATGACTTACAGTACTATATAGTACCATAGAGTATAGTAAAAGATAAAGTTTTATAACTATTACTTACAGTACTTCATGGTACTATATAATACCATAACTTATGTTATACGTACTGAAATCCAAAAAAGACACCCCCTCCACCTCCTTCTCCAAAAATTCCTTCCCCCCAGGGACTCACTCAATGGAAATAAAAATTTGGTACCCTTATAATGTTACATAGTACCAACTCCCTAAAAAAATGTAGCCCTCCCCCCCCCCTTCCCAGAATAAAAAAACCCCCTCCCCCTCCTTAAAAAAATGTAACCCCCTTACCCTCAAAACCAAAAAACCATACCTTGCCATAGCCTCTCTGATCAGATCCGCCACCACCGGGTCCACGGCCTTATCATAATAAGTGGCGAAGTGAGTTTTGTCCACTTCTTCCGCCTTCATTATAATCAGTGTGCCTTGTAGTAGTCTTAGTTTGGTCCTCAAGTTCAGACCATAGTGACATGAGACATCTAGCATTTGAGCCAATTGAAGTGCCGTTACCTCTTTGAATAGGAATGGCAGTCTGGCGACGAATAACTCACAAGCCGTTCGAAGCTTTGCCACTTCGAATTGTTTTGATAGGCGGGCTAGGATTGCAAAGGTATGAGCTGAAAGGCTTGATGTTGTAGTAGGTATTGAAAAATTAGGTAATAAAAATCAAAAAAATGGAATTGAAAAAAGTAAAGCTTTAAAAAATAGTACTTAATAGTACCAAACTCTTTTGTTAACACAAATAGTGCTGCTTTTATTACGACGCTGTAGATGACAGAACCTAGTACAATCTACGGTACCACTAGTACCAAAAATAGTACTATGAGTACTAAATACAAAAATATTTTATAGTACTACAATCTATCCTACCCTGCCCTACTGTAACCCACCGTACCCTACCCTGCTTTGCCCTGCCCTGCCCTGCTCTACCCTACTCTACTCTACCCTACCCTACACTGCATTAACCCTACCCTACAGCAACCCTACCCTACAATACAGTAACCGTACCACACCCTGAAAGTACCTGAACACCCAAAAAACCGTACCTACCATAATCCCTATCAAAAACAGTACCAACTGTACCATACCCACCAAAAGATAAAGTACCAATAGTACCATAAGCCCTATCAAAAAAGCACCCATAGTACCATATCCACTAAAAAATAATAGTACCAATAAAAATTAATAATCCAACTCCATTTACCTGTAACTGGCGATGGGAACATGCCCAATTCAGTTGGACACAAAGTTTTTACAGCCTCGAGAACTTCATCGAAACAGAGATCTTCCAGTTGAGGCTCGATCGAAGTTCGGCCATGATGAGTGAACTCTCGAAGAAGGAAGGCCGAGACTTGAGGTGACACATCTTGAATATGCTTTGGGTCCACGAACAAGCTCTGGTTGGCTACACGAACTTCGAGATGCCGGCTTGGGTCTGGGATACGGTAGTCTACCTGGAATTTTAAAACTATTACCTACAGTACCCTACCCTACCTTACCCTGTCTTATACTTCCCTACCCTACCCTACCCTACCCTACCCTACCCTACCCCACCTTACCCTACTATACCTTACTACCCTAACTACCGTATCCTAAATGTATCGTCCCCTTTTTTCTATCCTACCCTGCCCATTCACACTCCTATCCTGCCTTACCTTTGCTCGTCTTACCCTACTCTTTTTGACCCTTAACTACCGTACCCTACTCTACCCTACCATAAGGTAAAAATAACCAAAAATTACCCTATCGTACCCTTACCCTATTTTGCCCTACCTTACTCATACTTTAAAGCCCTACCTCCTCAATGCTGTTGTTGATGCCATTCCCCAAGCTATTGAAGACTCTGTTCAAGTCACGATGACTTTGATTTCGACTGTGTGGATGTGGACTTGGAGACGAATGCTTATGGTGAAGATCGAACCTCTGTGGATGCTTTTGAAGTCGATGAGGATGTAAATGAAGACCAGAATGATAACCCTCACCCGACTTGTGACGATGACGAGATGGATATGTGCACCTGGAGGGGGCTTTTGAGGCTGGCGTGGCTATTGGTACACTGAATTTCAGAATTTAAAAAATTTAATTTCAAACTTTTAAAATTTTAAAAATTAAAAATTTTGAATTTACCATAAATTCAAAATAAAAATATTTTTCAGAATTGCCATTTCCAACTCAAAAACAAACAAAATTTCAAAAAATTCAAAATTTTGTTACCTAAAAAATTACAAAAAATTAAAAATTTCGCCATTACAGTAAACCAAATGAACTTTTTAATATTAAAATTCAAAAATTATATTAATCTACTCTTTAATCACCTTAAATTTACGAATTTGATCAAAGAACTCTAATCATTTCACGTGAAATTCATATAAATTAAGCCTGCAGGCTGCAGCGGGCGTTTGGCAGGTGTGGCGCGTGCTGCCGAATGTAAAAAAAGCTTTTCGAAACTAGTTTTTATGGCTTTTTAGGCTTATTTTGGGCTTTTTACGCTTTTTTTGGGTAGTAAAATAATTTTTTTTGTAATTTTGACCTTTTTTTGGGGTTTTATATTAATTTAGGTAACAAAAAATTTTTTTTTAATTTTACAGATTTAACCAAATTTTAGATACAAAATCCTTTTAAACTTGACTTATTTTGAACAGTAAAACCATTTTTTGAATAATTTTTACATTTTTTTGAAGTTTTATATTATTTTAGGTAACAAACTTTTTTTTAAATTTTACAGTCTTAACCAAAATTTAGTTACAAAATCCATGTCAAACCTAGTGTATAATGGTAAACCTGATAGATAATGTCAAAATCAATCTAAACTGACCGTAAGTTATCATGACTGGCGCTGAAATCCGAAACCGTTGAGTTTGGAGTCGAAACGAACAGACTTCTCGTCGATAAAGTTGGGTTTAACCTCAGCGACGGTGGTCGCTTCGCTCTGTTTCCATTTTCCATTGCTGAAAATTGAGTTATATTAATATTGTTTTGTTTTTCAATCAAGGTAATGTTGAACAACGTCATTTTTATTGAGTAAATGAGAAAGAAAATGAAAAAATTTTAAAAATTGAGCAAATTTGGCTAAAACAAGGTCTAAAACAAGATAAATTAGTTCGTATCTAGCTTTGAATAACGTTGAACGTTTTATATAAAGCTAGCTGCTTACAAAACAAACTGGGTTTTAAGTTTACGGACCTTTTACTAGTAATATACGTTAAACTATGGCTATAAAAAGCCCCCAAACCAGACCAATTTTGCCTAAAACAAGGTTTAAAACAAGAGAAGTTGGCCCAAAACAAGGTCTACAACAAAAAATTAGCCAAGTTTTTGCCAGATAATCAATGTCAAACATCTTTTTTCTCTTTTACTTCAATCAACTTCAATATACCCCTAACATTATTACTAATATCAGTCATTTTCATTCATAAATCTTCGTGATTTTCATTGAATTTCGAAAAAAGTGCCATTTTAAAATCAAAATGTCAAAAAACTAAACTTTAAAAACATGCAAATTGACCTTTCAACTCATATAACCCATCAACTATAAAATTAACTAAATATTAATCAAAAACTAGCAATATAAACCTCAGAACATCACAAACATTGCTTAAGCTTCCTAATAAAGAACTACTTTTAAGCTGGACTGATAAGTGTTTTTGGTGTTTGTTTTAACCAAACTGTTTTTATTACAAATTTGTTAAAAATGGTTGATCAAGATGTATATAAACCCATAACTTTTGTTTGAAGCTATAAATTGAATATCAAGGTCAGAAGCCGATCAGAGTTGATTTGTAGGTCTACTACAATATAATTGAAGTAGCGTTAGTATTTTTTTGTGGAATTTTTGTTGGCGGGTTGATAAGAATGAGAAAAAGCGTGTTTTTCGTTTTTTGAATGACCAGTTCGATACGAAAAGAAACAGCACATCGACGGCATATTATAGTAGATAAGGATTGGTCATTGACGTTGGAAACCGAAAATAGGTAATAACTTTTTGAGTAATAGATTACTGTGGTTAAAATTCAATAGAAAAGATGAACATCTTTTCGGAATTATTGTCACAGTAAACTTAACTCCAAAACTATTTAATTTTCTGTTTTAACGTCAATAACCAACCGTTACCTACTATAATATCAGCTTATCTACTATAATATGTCGTCGATGTGCCATTTCTTTTCGTATCGAACTGGTCATTCGAAAAACAAAAGCTTTTTTTCCATTCTTATCAACCCGCCAACAAAAAATCCACAAAATCTATAAAAGCTAGTCCGATTATATTGTAGTAGACCTACAAATCAACTCTGATCGGCTTCTGACCTTGATATTAGAATTTATGGTGTCCAACAAAAGTTATGGGTTTATATAAACATTGATCAACCATTTTTCAACAAATTTGCAATAAAAACAGTTTGGTTAAAACAAACATCGAAAACACCTATCAGTCCAGCTTAAAAAGTAGTTCTTTATTAGAGAGCTTAAGCAATGTTTGTGATGTTCCGAAGTTTATATTGCCCGTTTTTGGTTAATACTTAGTTGATTGTGTAGTTGATATTGTTGTATACAAGTTGAAAGATTAATTTGCAGGTTTTTAAAGTTTCGTTTTTTGAAATTTTGATTTAAAAATGTCACTTTTCTTTAAAATTTAATGAAAATCAAGGAGATTTATGAATGAAAAGACTGATATTAGTGATTATATTAGGGATATATTGATGTTGGTTCAAGTGGGTAAAAAGATGTTTGTTTTTGATTATCTGTCAAATATTTGACTAGTTTCTTGTTGTAGACCTTGTTTTAGGCCAATTTATCTTGTTTTAAACCTTATTTTAGGTGAAATTGGCTTGTTTCAGGCCTTTTTATAACTAAACGAATAATTATACTACTTGAAAAATAGTTTTAAAGTTAATAATAATAACCTAAAAACGAGTAAAAATTAAAAAATAGCCCCATTAAGTCCCAAAAAGACCACCAAAACCATACATTTCCAACTTCTGTTACGTAAAATTACACTTCTACCCCAAAAACCACCAAAACCTTCACTTCACATGCACCTCAACTGACATATTCATCATTACAACACTTAATTCATTGCTCACAACCATTTCTCATCGGCTTGCAAAACCGCCCCTATCACAATATTATTCTTGACCCCGAAGTAATGTTTACAACAACATAATACTATCAGTCTTGAATTTGTTTTGGCGACGGGAATGAATCACGAAATACGCCGGGAGATACCTATTTTTTGATGATAACATCGATTTTAGATATTATAGTACAATATATTATACTAGGCCAACGTTTGAAGCTTATAGGTATTGGTTAGTATTTACATTATTGTATGCATGGTTAGCGACCAAGAATGAAAGTATAGACCACACAAATGAATAGAGCTTCATTCCAAGCAGCTTAATGTAATCAAAAGTTGACTATTGTTAATTACAATACTTATCAATCATTTTGAAACCCGATTTCAACCACATTTTCACAAATATTAATCAATATCATGGTAAATAAGAAAGATATTAGTCAAACACATTATCTGTAAGACAACCCAATTACCCTAGCTTAAACTGAAGCTTGTTCCAACATAAAACAGTCCAAAAAAGCGGCCAAAAATGCAAAGAAATCGACAGAAATCCAAGCGGAATCGAAATTTTTTTAATTTTCGACATTTTCATCTTATCATAACTCTGCCAAAACTTAATGGACAAGTCTCAAATTTTCAAAATAGATAAAAAATTACAAACTTTACAAATGGAATATAAGCTCGTACATCCACTTCAGTGATATTGACAACAAAACGGCAAAAAAATCGCCCCATCTCCAAGCGGAATCGAACTTTTTTGGGTTTTCGACATTTTCAACCTATCACAACTCTGCCAAAACTTAATATACAAGTCTCAAATTTTCAAAATAGATGCAAAATTATATGCTTTACAAATGGCATATAATCTCAAACAATATACAACCTCAAAGGTGTACAAACTGAATATAAACCAAAAAACCATAAATGTACCAAATGTAAGCAACAAATATACCAAATGTAAACCAACAAACACATGACAAAGCCAAAAAACCCCGCATTCGATACAATAAATTTATTTGGGATGATGCATGGTAAGCGGGTATATAAATATTTGTGTTATCACATTATGGGCGATAGGTGCCGTTGATGATGGCGAGTTGCAAGAGTTGCTGGCGCTTGTACTCGTCGTACTGCGGGGTGAGAAGGCGGCGAACACTTTCGACCGCTTCGTCCAGACGCTGACGACGACGGTTTGGGTCAGGGTCGGAGGAGATGACCAGGACGTGGAGTTTCTCGGTCAAATGTTGCCAGCCATCCTTGTTGCGGAGCTGGGACTCCTTGCGACCGTCCTGAAGTTGTATTGTGTTAGGGTAAGAACGGTAATGGAAAAAGTTTAAACTTTCAAAAAATTGACAAAACTTGAAAAAAATTTGGGCGTGGTAAATTTAAAAAAAATTGTACGGAGGGCTGGGGAGGGGGGAGAGGATAAAAAATATTTTTTTACGAAAATAATGAAAAAAAACTCAAAACTTTAATAAAAATTTTTGGGTGTAGTAAATTTAAAAAAAATTTTGGGGCGGATAAATTTTTTTTTTTCAAAATTTTTAAATGTTTTAAATTCTTCATAAATCACTGTACCATACCTTAACAGATCCACGACCACGAATCAAAATCTTGCACGAGGTCTCATTCTCCAGACGGCGAACCGAAATTCCACGCGGGCCAATGATGCGGCCGATAAAGTTGTAGCCCTCCACCTTCGGGATGAACAGCTTGGCGCACTGAAAATGAAAAAAAAGTTAAAAATTTTGAGCTTGAAAGAAAATTCTTGCCATTTTTCATTTTGTAAACAAAGTTCTTGCTATTTTTGGTTTTGTAAAGAAATTTCTTGCCATTTTTGTTTTGTAAACAAAGTTCTTGTCCGTTTCCTCTCAAAATTTCAAAAAACAACCCTCTAAAACTTTCACCCCACCCTCCATCAAAACCTATCCTCCATACCTGACTCTGACTAATCGGGATGCCAATCTTCTTCAAATAGTGCAGGTCCTCGGGCATTTCATTCAAGAACTTGGTCTTCAGCTCCGGGACCTGGGACGCCTCGAGGATTGGGGCCAGTCTGGTCTTAGAGTGGCTGGACTGGGTCGAGGATCCAAGCGAGGACTGGGGGCTAGAGTTGGCCGAGGATTGGACATCGCCGGCCGGAGTCGACTGTCCGTAGGCCTTGAGCTTGTACTCGGGCATGGTGGAGACACTGTAGACCGGCTCTTCGTTGGCCTAAAAATTATTTTTAAGTCAATAATCTCCTTTTTAAGCCTAAAGCTTTCATTTTAAGCCTAAACCCAAATTTTTATACCTAAAATCTCATTTTAAGCCTAAAGCTTTCATTTTAAGCCTAAAAACCTCATTTTAACCCTTCAACCCACCACAGCCTCCAGCTCTTCCTCATTCGGCTCCAGAGCCGTATCCGCTTCAACCGAAGTGATATCCGAATCATCAGAATCCGAACCGGTAACACTCTTGTCATCCGAATAGTCGTCCACAATGTACGCCTCGGGGCGAGGAGCCGCACGATGAGTACGGTTGAGAACGGCGGGTGGAACGCGGAGTGGGGGTTGACCAATAGTGCCCAGAACCGAGCCTCCGGAACCGAGCTGATCACGAAGCGGACGACAGGGCTCTTGGCGCGACACGTACGTCTCGACACGCTGCAGCTCTTGGGTCAGCAGGCGACGGGCGTGGGTAGGGGTGAAGTCGACCGTGCCCCAGCGCACCAGCTCGTCCAGGCCGTTCATTTCGGCGCTCAACTCGCGGCAGTAGCTAAAAATAACTTTTTATGCAAAGATTACTCTACTTTCAATCAGTTTTCGAAAAAATTTGAAAAAATCAACTTTGTAATCATTTTTTAATTTTCAATTTTTCGACCGGTCAATAAATTTTTTCACGTTAAAAATCATTTTCAACTCAAAAATTACATTTTCTTGTCAAAACAAACTTCCGATATGCATTCTTTTGTTCAAAAAATTATCAACCGGTCGATTTTTTTTCTTCAAAAAATTCTTTAAAAATCAACCGAAAAATCCTTCCAACCCTCATTACCAACTTAAAAATTGCCCAAAAAATTACTTTTTTGCTCCTAAAATTATCAGCCGGTCGATTTTTTTCTCCGTTAAAAACCCAAAAATAGGACAAAAATCAATCTTTCCCTACTTTCAAATTCACCCAATATCACCAACTTTTTCATCATTTTTTCAACCGGTCGATATACACCATCCCTTTCACTTACTTATGAAGGTTGCTCTTAGAGCTAGCCGTACCAGGACTTCCTTGAGACCGTTGGGATGACTTGACGGTCGGCTTGCGAGTGAATACCACCTTGTCGCGAGAGCTTCCACCAGTCGAGGGCGTGGTACGAACGGTTTGTCTTGGCCGCGCCAACGGCGTATTCGGCAAATTAACCGAAGCCGGAAGGCCGACGTTGAAGCCGTAAACACTTGGGTTGAAGCCGGCATGGAGTTGGTAGGCCGAAGGAGCCGGAGGCGGATGAGGAACGGCAGTTGGAACAGCGGCTGATCTTTGGCGATAGCCGTGATAGTCGTGGGCTTCGTTGGAGGTAATCGAGCGAAGACGACGGCGTTCGGCCGCGGCGATGGAACAGCGTTGGAGAGCGGCCAAAACGGCTTCGGCGTTCGGGCTTGAAGATGGGGAGCCTTGCTGAAATTTATTTTGTTTTTTTTAGATCAAAGTTACACTACCTTACACAAAAATCTTTTTAAAAATATCCATAAAGCATAAAATAATATTACACTTGGCCTTACTCTCTCATTGGACGAAACATCATGACCGGTCGCGGTGGGCGGGGTGGTGGGGGTCGTCTGAGCTGACTTGACATCACCATGGGCATGACGTGGAGTCTTGTCCAGTCCATTCAACATGTTGGCTCCAGATTTGGTTGGAGTCCGAGACGGAGCTAAAAAATCGAAAATTTTAGTAAAAGATGAGGAACTATTCAAATTTTTGATAGTAAAACAGAAGGTAGCGTCTTCGCCATGGCCTGCATAAAATTAAGCATTCTTTTATCGTTCTTTTCAACCCATATTTTCTAAGATTCCGCAAAATATTCACCTTAAAAAGATAAAAATTTTAAGCAACACCTATAAGTTTCGAAAAAATCTCTTAATTTTCAAATTTTCACAACTAAACTAACATCCAACAACCTCAAAACTACTTTAAAAGCATTCTCCATTCTTTTCCCTTCAATTTAAGCCCAGAAACACGAATGACAACTAGCATATTCACCATGATCCAACCTAAAACATCAACACACCATAAACATGAATAACATACCAAGAAGCGCAGCAGCATCCCAAACGTCATCCTGAGGCAAAAGCTCGTGGTTGTCCATTCCAACAAGGCTTGGAGCTGCGCTGAGGAAGGCTGAAGCAAGTGTTATGCTAGTCTAGTCGAATTAGGCGAGAATTGACGGCCAGCCGCAATTCTCAAAAGCAAACTTTTGAATGATTGTTTCGACCGAGTTGCCATTTGAAACGAGCTACAGAAGTACATCCTTTGATTGATTTATGCAAAAATCTGAAAATTTCGCAATTTTAGTTCATTTTATGCATTTTCAATCACGTTGAAGGTAAAAATGGTCGATTTTCAAGTGTTTTAAAGTAAAAAACGTCCAATTCAAAGCAATTTTAAAAAAAGTAAGATCAATTACAATATAGAAACATAAAAACCAAATCAAAAAATAATATATTAGTATCTAAACCATCAAAAACCCTCAACAAATTATCAAATTCGAACAAAAACCCGAGAAAAATCGCAAAAATCGGCAAAAAGCAACGAAATGCCACAAAGTTGTTCGTGGCGGGACAAACTATTATAATAATGCAATAGTCCACTTTCAAACAAATCTACTCTACCCTATCCTATCTTACCCTACGCTTTATTATCTCTTGATCTGCAAGAGAACTACCGCTTTTACAAAATCAAACGTAATAGAAGCATACATCCTTAAAAATTCGCGCGTGTTTATCGCGTTCATTTAGCGCTGTATACCATTGCCACTTTATAATTTATTCTTCCTGAATTTTTACGTTTGGGATTGTTGGACTATACGTATTGAAGATGAATACGCTATTGCAAATATTTCCACGTGAAGTAAGTTAAAAACAATTTTTTTAATATAATTTTTATTGTATCATTACTATTATTATTATCTATAGTATGTCTCTTTCTTATTCTTACAATACTAAACAGTTTATTAATTACTAACAAGAAAAGTACCCGACTAGCCCCGCTCTGATTGAATTCAAACTTTTTATATAGAAAGATCATGTAAATATAAAATTTTCAGCAGAGTACTAAATCGCGATTTCTAGTCTCGAGAAAACCGAGATCAAAAAATTCCGTTTTAAATTTCCTGCTAAGTTTACATTGTGTTTCAAGTTTACAACTCTTTTTTTTGACTAATAGAAGTTTTTCTTTGATATACTAGCAGATTACCTTTTAATAAACCTATATTTTTAAAGTTGTAAGCGTAGCTTGGCTGGAAAATTGAAAGAAGTAACTGGAACACAATGCCAAATTGGCGGGAAACCAAAATAATTCAAACTTAAAACTCAAAAACGCGAGCTAATTTTTTTTATGGGTACTATTGGTGATAGTAGGAATTTATAAAAAAAAATTTGAGTTGATTCTGACCGGTGCAGATAGTATACTTTTCTTGTAAAAGTTAATTTTCGAAAGAGCAGGGCGGCGCACCCTGCTCTTTTTATCCCTATCTAACCATTCTCCAACCCATTTTAACTTTATTAAACGTTTTCCTGCTCACTGTAGACTTCCTCAAGTCTCCTCTGCCCATTTCAGCTTTATTGAAGCCTACTCCTGCCATTTCATGTTTTGTATTCTAGTTATGGCAAAAAATTTTCAACTACGTTGAAAGCATTGAAGACGTGGCGGCTATGGCAACAGTGGATAAATTTTTTTACAAATGGATTGATCAAGACTTCAAAGCGATGTGTTACCACGACAAAATATACAGGTTAAAAGGAGAAACTTGGGCTACAGCTTTCAGTTTGTAGGTTTTCTTTAGTTATTATTATGTTTTTAAATTTACAAATGTAAAAGCGTTAGGCCTAAAGTTTGTTGTTGAATATAAAACTATGCCCTTTCTTGATAAATTGTGTGTCAATGCAAAGATTCTGCTTTTATTGTTTGCTCTATCCTAAATTATCTGCTCAAACAGTGTTTCAATTCTAAAATTAGAATTTAAACACACCTTTTGTGCTAAGCCAAAAATGTCGACGAGCTTGTGGGTGAAGAGGAAACATACCAGAAGCTTAAAATTGTGTACTAAACCTGGAACTCTCATATAAACCTAAAACCTTCTAATACGCCTAAACTTACTTCGAGGTCTGCGACTAAAATTATGTGCCTTCTGTTAAAACTGTCTGTTGTGCTTACATTGTCTCCTAAGCCGATTGAATACTCATCATGAATAAGCATCTCACGTCAAGAAAAAATAAAAGAAAAACAATTATCCAGAGAAAATCGCTTGGCATTCCGCAACAAGGAGGAAATAATAGTATGTTAACTTCGCAATGTTTTTTCGACATGTTAAAGTACAGGTATCACAAAAGTGTTTAATAACAATTAAAAAGCAACACTTCAGTTCCCTAATTTAAAAAATCTCTTTGTGTTTAAGCGCATAATAAAAATTTGGTATTCATATTAAAAATACGCTTTTCCAAACTCTAAAATACGTCATAACTTTGCAACGAGCACATGAGCAGCTATAGCGGTAGCAACAGTTGGATTAAGGAGGAAATAAGGAATAATTTGATGCTAAAACCGTCTAATTCTATGGAGTAGAACTTGAGTTATCAAGAGATATCAGTTTCATATTATCCATACAGAAATTTTTCATTAATTTTTTGGCGAGATTTTCCTCTGAAAATTATTTTCTCTTCTTTTTTATTTAATATGGATGCTTAATCGTTGCATTTTTTATCTTCTTTATCCTTAAAAAAACCTCGAAACTACATTAACAATAAACCCGAAAGGCATTTTCGAAAAAGAAAAGCTGAAGAAAAATTATTTTTCCGCTATTTGAGAAACGCCAAAAATCTGTTCAAGACGCAAAAGCAAAATCGTTTTTTCTTGACGTGCATCTTATATTTGGAGTACTCAAAGTCCGAATAGGCATTGCTTTCAATCATTCAAGATTTAAAAACCGTTACTTAAAATTACTTAAAAAAGTGCTTTAGGACAAGTAGCCGTGCATTCAATTTATGTGGCAAGCGAGTAGTCAACTGCCGTCACTCAGGAAACATTTTGTTTCACTTGGGACCACATCATGTCATCCTTGCTCATATTGATTTTGCCAACTTTAAATTTGAGTTTATTGACTTTAGTCAATATTTTGAAGACGAAGTCTCGGACATAATTTTAATAAACAACGGAACCCGCATGATAGTCAAATGTGGAAATTTTTTCGACCACACTGCCTACTTGTACGATATTGCTGCTCAAAAAATAATTCGAAGGTTCAGAACAGATGACTTTTCTACACGCATATGTTCAGAACCCATAACAAGCACGATACTTTACGATCCATACAGTGATATAGAATTTGAATTGCCGCAAAACACGATATCGATTTCGTGCATGAACACCAGCTACGATAAACATCGGTATTTAGCATTTTGGTCATGGTCAAAAGAATTGTATCTGCAAGATACTAAGACGGATTATTTTTTTAAACTGTGCCGCATTACTGACACTGTATTTAGCCATTATATTTTTGAGGACATCGGCCATGTTTTTATTACAAGTAAGTAATTTTTGTTTGAAACTAGAGCAACATAGAACACATGTGAAGCTAGGATAAGACGGGATAGTGATAAATACAGAACATATATATATAGTCGAGCATAACCATTATGGTTAGGCCGGCAAACTTAAAACCACAAAAAACTGACAAAACACAGTTTGTCACCAACGTGTTTTTAGGTGACTCTTATGGACCACAGTATCACATTTATTTTTACGACATCAAAAGTCAAGTAAAAGTTTACGAACGATCATACATCGGAGACCGCAATTTCTGGCATGTTTTTTCGAGCAACTCTATAATTAATACCAATACCGAAGAAGTAAGCGCTAACAATTTTTAATTTCAATTATTTTTGTTTAAATATTTTTTTCTTTTTAAGTATGATAATTTAAAAAACTATTATGTGACAAAAAAGTAGTTGTAAGAAAAGAGTTAAAACCAAATTATTTCAGCTAATTGTCTATAATGTACAAAAGAAACAATTCTTTTCGAGTTTTATTAACTATCAGCATTCACTATCACCTAATGTCAATCCTCAAGAAGATTGTAATTTCATAACATCATCTAGTGCTGATGGTCGACGATTAAAATGTTATAAACATCGTGGTCAAATTCGCACATTTTTGTGCAATTTTAACAAAGGCAAGTCTAACTATGTAAAATACGTCGGTACCGTCACTATCATAAAAAATTATTATTTTTCACAGTTATTATGTCAATTTAAGGTGCTTAATTTTGACGCAGCTTCAGATTCTGTGAACTAAAGGTGTTAGCCTAAACCAAAAGCCAAAGATAACACTAAAGTCGCTTCAATCAAATAAATTTTTCAGATAGACTAAGATTGATGACAATGTGCACAAATGAAACATCGAGTGTTGATAAACTATGTCATCGTACTTCAAAATTGTTAAATGAGCCCCGTGAAGTGTCACGTGATAGTATTAATTTGGCCGATGAAGCAACAAAGTCCTTCCTAACTAACCTGCAGTTATTGCTAACACGTCCATCGGTGCCAGAAGTAACAAGAGTTAACTATTTTAGCCAACAACTAACAGAAACATTTAGTCATGTTTTACATTAAATTCACTAAACGTAAGAAAAAAAAACTATTTGCAAGAGAATATTATAGAGATCAAAGGTTCATGCAGCTGCATATTATATTATTTTTAGATATTTCTTTTTTTTGTTTTTCAGATAAAAAATATGAATGTTAAAGCAGTATAAAAACAATATTAATGTATAATGTGGGTTTTGATTTTGTCGTTATAAAAAGAATACTAATTGTTATGTGAAAAGCTATAGCTTAGTGTTGAAAACTTAGCTAGAAATAGGATTTTGTTAAGGACCATAACTTATGGTATACTTAATTTCTTAGGACTATGTTTTAAAATTAAGCCTACTTTACATTTCAAGAAGTTATGGTTTAGGCTTGTTAAGAATGGTGAACTTTTTCGAACTCGGTTTTAAAAATTTGCGCTTATTAACTATGGTCGATTAAGCAAATTGGGTCATTATTTTGTCGTTTTCGTGTTCTTCGCTCATAGCATCATAGCTGTTTTGTGTAGTCCACTGTAAAAAATGATAATGGCTCACGCAGTAGACAAAAAGCAATTTTTAAGAATTTGAAAATATATTGAGCATAGGCTTAGCAGAATGACGTTTGGTAAATTTAGGCTTATGTTTAAAATTTGTAAGCTTAGGCTTAGTAGGCTTAGGCTTAGCAGTCTTAGGGTTAGTAGGCTTAGGCTTAGTAGGCTTAGGCTTAGTAGGCTTAGGCTTAGTAGGCTTAGGCTTAGTAGGCTTAGGCTTAGTAGGCTTAGGCTTAGTAGGCTTAGGCTTAGTAGGCTTAGGCTTAGTAGGCTTAGGCTTAGTAGGCTTAGGCTTAGTAGGCTTAGGAGGCTTAGTAGGATTAGTAGCTTATAAAGCAATACGTATAATAGAACTAACAAATACTGCACAACCGTACTATAACAGTACACAATGCACAAATGAACCTATTATAATAAGTAACTGACGCGCCGAGTTACGCAACGCACAAACTTTTTCTTAAGTTAATACAGTAAAGTAACGCTTAATGCACTTATATTGTGAAATAACGCCCATTAGGCTTAGGCTTGTATAATGGCACACATTTTTATGATATATATAGTCTTACTACTCCGTAACTACTTCATTTTGACTTAGGTATGAGCTACAGTAGGGTAGCTAGTTTTATTTTTTCGATTGGTAGGGTCGGGTGAGTACTTAAAATATTTTGGGAGTAATTTTTTTTTTATTTTGTGGGGGTGGTTTTCTTTTAAAAATTTTTTTGGGGGTGGATTTTTAAATTTTTTTTGGGTTGATTTTTTTGTTAATTTTTTTTTGGGGGGGTGGATTTTTTAGAAAAATTTTTTGGGTTGATTTTTTTAAAAATTTTTTGGGGGGTGGATTTTTTAAAAATTTTTTGGAAATAATTTTTTTTAAATTTTTTTTGAGGGCGGATTTTTTTTGAAATATTTTTTTTTGGGGGGTGAATCTTAAAAAAAAATTTTTTTTTGCTTTTTTGCACATTAGGTCATAGGTATGTCAATATCTTTTATTAGCATTAAAATTTTTTAAGGGTAGCCTTCGGTCAGCCTTAGGGTGTTCTTTCGTACTAAGATTTGGGTAATACTTACTAAATTTATATGTCTAGGTTAAGATATTAAGCTAGGTGAGGATTCTTAAAAGTTAGGGAACCAGAAAAATCGCTTTAGTCTAGAACAAGGTCGGCGTGGGACTGTCACATTTTTTTTCAAAATTTTTTTATTTTTTTGCTCAAAAATGACAGTCCAACGTTCTTTGAGTATCTCCGCTCCAAGGGCGGTGTATATCTTAATGAAAAACGATCAAGAGTCTAGATTTCAGTAAGGATTCTGAAGTCGCTGAGACCGGGGGAGGGGTGGTGCGCGCTTCAAAAACCTATTGTGTCTCCACTTGCCTATACCTCCAATTCCCATGTCTTGATCTCGGCTAAAGGTGTCCTTGGCGCTGCCTTCAGAAAGCAGCTTAATACACCGTCTGAATGCCGGATGAGTAGAAAGGGATTGGCAGTGATGGCGGGGCTCGGATTCGCGATACGGTTCTTGGAGCGGTGGCGGCGCGCGCGACCAGCCCGAAATGTACCATTTTGGCTGGACTTCCAGTTCGGTTGGGCCCGACCGAACATGGGGAGTTCAGTTTGTAAATGGTACAGAGTACGGCTGGGGCTCCTCTCCTCTTCTTCACAAATGGTGAAGAGGAGGAGAGGAGATGGTGAAGAAGAGAAGGAAGAAGAAGACGAAGAAGAAAAAGAAGAAGAAGCGGAGGAAGAAGAAGAAAAAGAAGAAGCAGAGGAAGAAGAAAAAGCAGAAAAAAAAGAAAAAGAAGAAGGAAAAGAAGAAGAAGCAGAGAAAGAAGAAGAAAAAGAAGAAGCAGAGAAAGAAGCAGAGGAAGAAGAAGAAGAAAAAGAAGAAGAAGAAGAGAAGAACAAGAAGACTCCCAGTTCGGTTGGGCCCGACCGAACATGGGGAGTTCAGCTGGGAAATGGTACAGAGTAGGGCTGGGGCTCCTCTCCTCTTCTTCACAAATAGTCCACAAATGGTGAAGAAGAGGAGAGGAGATGGTGAAGAAGAGAAAGCAGAAGAAGAGAAGGAAGAAGAAGACGAAGAAGAAGAAGAAAAAGAAGAAACAGAAGAAGATGAAGAAAAAAAGAAGAAGACGAAGCTTAGGGTTAGTAGGCTTAGGATGAATAGGCTTAGGCTTAGTAGGCTTAGGCTTAGTAGGCTTAGGCTTAGTAGGCTTAGACATAGCATGCTTAAGTTAAGTAACCTTTTGTTTATTAGGTTTAAGCTTGGCAGTTTATGCTTATAACCTTTATCTCAGGTTGATTATGCAGCCATAGGCATTGGCTTATTCAATCCTAAGCTTGAGTCCAACAGCCTAATGACAAGTTCTTTGCAAAACATGTTTAATAAACCAAGTCTCATAAGACGGTTGTGTAAATGTCATGCTAACATGTCTACACCCGGCTGACTCATAACATGATCGGCAAAGAGTAGCATTCTCTCGTGAGTGTTCCGCTGATTTCGAACGAATTATTAAAAATATGTGGCCCGTGATGGATGGCGGGGATGATTGAAGGTTTGCCTCTTTTTAGCCCCTCCGGAGGCAGCCGGTCGGGCCCCGTTTTTTCGTTCTATTATTATGAGGCGTGGCCATATAATATTGGGACACAAATCGGCTATCAAAAATTTAATTGTTTTTGACAATTGAAAGAAGTTTCTTTTTCGAATTTTAATTGGCACTGGAGGCGTGATATTGATTAAAAACGGCATAAATATTATGACTTTTTAAAAAACTTTTGACTTGTTTGAATTTTTTTTGGGTTTTAAAATTGGACTTGGATTTTTAGGCTTATCACAATATATTAGGCTTGCTTTACAATGTTTCAGCATAGCAAATAAAATTAAGGTTTAGAGCAGTAATTTTAGGCTTAACAAGTAAAATCTAGGCTTGTTGGTAAATTTTAGGTCAGCAGGTATTTTAGGCTTGTTTTACAATGTTTAAGCATAAAAAATGGAATTTAGGCTTAGCACAATATTTTAGGCTTAACACAACCTTTAGGCTTGTTGGTAAATTTTAGGTTTACAAGTATTTAGGCTTAGCTTGAAATTTGGGGGTTAAAAACTAGGTTTTTAGGCTTATTGCACAATTTGAAGCCAATTCTTAAACTTAACGAAGATGTTTAGGCTTGTCAAACAATTTTTTTCTTGATTTATGATTTTTAGGCTTAGCACTGAATATTTGGTTAACGGAGAAAGGGGGGGGGGAGGTGTATGTATATAGTATAAAAGTTAAAGTAGGGTAGGGTAGGGTAGGGTAGGGTAGGGTAGGTCTGTACTATATAAAACACTATTCCGTGTAGTACTAATTTTTTCACACATAATGTAATTTCTAGAGTACCAGTCAAAAATTGGGACCAAAAAGCGTTTGTCGCGGCTGGAGCTGGGCGCCGCGGCGCTTCGAGCCGACTCCGACGCGGCCAAAATTCAAATGGAGCGCAGTCCAATGGCCATAAAATGTTGTTATTTGTTTATTGGCGTCGGAGTCTTTGTCTTCTCGATTCTGGTTACGGTGGCCTTCTTTGCGCTGAGTGGACAGTGTCCCGGGGTAGGTTTATATAAGGTACTTTTTGAAATTTTGAAATATTTTTGAATTTTGACATATTTGAATCGACATAACTTTGTAATAAAAATAAGTATAAATTTGAAATTTGGTAGAAACATGCCATTTTACAACATGGTTTTAAAAATTTTGTAAAAAAATTTTGGGGCCATACTAGAGAAAGCACCCAACATAATAAAGGCACCCACTAATGTTTTAAAGCACCCAGCAATCTTTATTCAAATTTTATTATTATGAAACGTAGCGCTTTCGAAGAGCGGTGTAGAAGTGTCCAATTCGTGAATGGCGATTGTTGTAGCGAAAACTGAAAAAAATATAATAAGGTTCACGGCTACTGTAACTAGATAGTTGGCCACTATAACTAGATGGTTGGCTACTGTAACTAAGAAATGGGCTACTATAACTAGATAGTTGGCCACTATAACTAGATGATTGGCTACTATAACTAGTTAGTTGGCTTTTAGCTACTGAAACTAAATAATGGGCTACTGTAACTAGATAGTTGGCCACTATAAATAGATAGTTGGCTACTGTAACTAAATAGTAGGCTACTACAACTAAACAATGGGTTACTATAACTAAGATAACATTAATACCATAGTAAAATCAAACGTATTCTTTAATTAAATACTAAATTCTTACCTGTTATCCATCTGTATAGCATAGTAAAAGTCTTCACAAACTCGGTAGAAGGTGACTTCTTTGAAGGTGGTTGATATTGGCCTAGGTTGTCAGGTTGTCGATGGATCCATGATCACCACGGTCAGATTCCATGCTGACCCGACCGTCACACGCAGTCGATAAAATATGAATGACCGTTTTCAAAAAAGGAATAACAATAAAATTAAATTGCAAGATTATGCAAAATTTGAATACTTTTGGGTGCCTTAAATAGGATAAAAATTGGGTGCTTTCATTAGTAATAAGGTCCAAGCGGAATCGAACTTTTTTGTTTTTTGACATTTTTGACTGGTCATAACTTTGTTAGAAAAATAGGAAAAAACTTGAATTTTTATAGAAACATGCCACTTTACATTGTTTTTTAATGTTTAGTTTAAACTTTGTTAAAAATTTTTTTTTGAAGTTTACGAGTTACTGAGCGGAATCGAACTTTTTTTTGATTTTTGACATTTTTAAATAGTTATAACTTTGTTATAAAATTAGGTATAAAGTTGAAATTTTGTAGAAACATGCCATTTTACATGATGTTTAACATTTGTTGTCTAATTTTTGTCAAAAAAATTTTTTTTTTAATTTTGAATTTTTTCAAGCGGAATCGAACTTTTTTTGGATTTTTGACGTTTTCAAATAGGCATAACTTAGTGATATGAATAGGTATAAAGTTGAAATTTGGTAAAAGTATGTCATTTTACATGGGTTTAAATATTTTTTATTTAGATTTTGTCAAAAAAAAATTTTTTTGAATTTTTTTTTCTGAGCGGAATCGAACTTTTTTGATTTTTTGACATTTTCAAATAGTCGTAACTTTGTTATAAAAATAGGTATAAATTTGAAAGTTGGTGGAAACATTCCATTTTACATGTCTATTAAATATTTTTATGTCGTTTATGTAAAAAAAATTTTGAAATTTTAAGACGTTGAAGAGGAATCGAACTTTTTTGGATTTTTGACATTTTTAACTAATGATAACATTGTTAGAAAGATGGGTATAAAGTTGAAATTTGGAAGAAGGATGCCATTTTACATAGTTTTTTTAAATTCTGTTTAGTGTTTTTTTTTAATTTTTTTTTAATTTTGATTTTTTCAAACGGAACCGAACTTTTTTTTAATTTTTGACATTTTCAAATAGTCATAACTTTGTTATAAAATTAGTTATAAAGTTGAAATTTGGCGAAAATATGCTTTTTTAAATGCTTTTAATACCTTATTTTAAAATTAAAAAAATAATAATAAAAAACTGCTTTAGGGCAAAATCCCCTCCCTATACACCTACCAGCAAGCCTTTGACAAATTCGCCGAAAAACTGGAGCAACGTGCTCGACCTCGAAACCTAACGGACGAAGAGCTATCACAACGTCTAGTACGACGAATTAACGAACATCCACGTCGTACTTGGACAGCACGCTTCAATATTGATGCTGTTGGCATGGAGGAACAGAAGAAACTTTCCGACCGGATGACCGAGGGTAATAACATTACGACCGACCTATATATGGTAATGACGGACATGTTGAATACAGTAAGACTAAAAGGGATATTTCATCAGAAGTACAGTAAGCACATAACGAGGCTGGCGAGGGTGATTTCTGATGGCTTGCCGGTCAGTTTTGATGCTAGAAAGAAGTGGCCGGAGTGTCAGACCGGGCGGATTTATGATCAGGGTGGATGTGGGTCTTGTTGGGTAAGTGGCGTCTTTTACGGAGTAATTTTTTTTGTACTATATGTATCAGTATTATCTTATTGTTAAAGTAGGGTCAGTAACATACCAAAAAAAATTTAAAAAAACTTTTAAAAAATGCCATTGTTTATGCGATGACATAAAATATTATGACGTTTTAGGCTGTATCAGCCTCATCAGTCATGTCAGACCGCATTTGCATACGAACGAACGGTAAACGAATACGATTATCTGCCCAGAAGCTGATTGAATGTTGCAGTTACTGTGGAGGGTAAGTTGATTTTCATACACTACCGTACTCTACCTTACCTTACCGTATCCTACTTTACCATATCGTACTCTACTCTACCCTACCTTACCGCTCCCTACCGTAACATACCGTACCCTACTTCACCCTACCGTACCCTAGTTTAACATACCGTACCCTACCGTACCGTACCCTACTTCACCCTACCCTGCCTTACCCTACCCTGCCCTACCCTACCCTACCCTACCCTACCCTACCCTACCCTATCCTATCCTACCCTATCCTACCCGACCCTACCGTACCTTACCGTACCCTACTTTACCCTACCTTACCGTACCCTACTCTACAGTAATGAATTTATACCGTAACTATTATAACCTGCCTTTACTATAGATGCAATGGCAGTGTCGAACCTCTGATGCCATTCTACTATTGGTACGAGTCGGGTATGGTAACCGAGGAGTGTTACCCATATACCGTATCTCGTGACTGTGGCTACCCATGCAAGCTCGAGACCTACTTCAAGCCTAAGGGCGTGAATCAATGTTCCACAACGTGCCAGAACGGTCGTACGGAACGACGACGGCACGCTGATTATGTTTACCGTATTGGTACTGTAAATGGTACTAATAAGAGTATCATGAACTCATTGTCATCAACATACGAACATCTAGCCGATAAGAACGGTTGGCCGCGACAGGTTGACGATCTGATGTTAGCCAAGGCCGAGTTGATTGAGTTCGGGCCGTTTACTGTGTGTTTTCACGTGTACGAAGGGTTTCTACATTACTATGACGGTATTTACAAGAGAATCGAGCATCTGGAGCAGCTGCATGTATATGATCATTGTGTCAAGACTGTGGGGTGGGGTAAAGAGAATGGCACTGAGTATTTTGTCGCTGTCAATAGTTGGAGCGAGAAGTGGGCCAAGGATGGTAAGGAGTTGTAATTTAAGGTCTGGCGGGGGTGAGGTTGGGGGAGGGGGGGGAAGGGCGAGGGATAGTGTAAAATACGGTAGATCAATGGTTATGAGATAAGAATAAGACTGAGATGGACTGGGCTGTGCAAGACTAAGCTGGGCTGCGCTGGGCTCTGGTGGGCTAGACTGGGCTGTGTTTGGCTGTGCTGAGCTGGACTAGGGCTAATCAAGAGTTAAAACTAGGGCTAGGCTTAAGGCTATGGCTAAACTGGGTTATACTAGGCTTTTTTAAGCTGGTCAGGGTTGGGATGGACTTGGCCTAGAACTCTGGGCTAGGGCTCTGGGCTAGGGCTCTTAGCTAGGGCTGAGCTGAGATGAGCTGGCTTGGCTTTACTAGGCTATGCTGAACTGGTGCTTGGCTGGGCTGGGCTTGGCTAGGGCTCTGAGCTAGGGCTTTGGGCTCTGGCCTATGGGCTAGGGATAGAGCTGTCTAGTTCTGCCTAGCTCAGCTCAGCAGCCTAAAGCAACACAGCCTACATAGCTTATCCTAAAAGAATTTAACCTAGCTCAGCTTAGCACAGCGCACCACCGCCTTCTCGTTAGCACTAGCCCTAGGCCAAGTCCAAACCGATACCCAAATGTTTTTCTAGGACCAGCTCTCTACCGTGTTCATACCATACAGTAATTAAGCGTGACTATGTTTTAACCTTCTGTACCCGATGGGTCCGATAGGGCTAGAACTCTAGGTTAGGGTAGGGTAGGGGTTTTTAATTGATGACATTTCTTTCTAGGTACCTTCAAGTTGGACTTGGCCATGTTGATGGAGAGCCGTGGGGATATGTATTCAGCTATGGCCGATTTAAATTATTGATCTCATTTTTACTTTGTTATGTTACTATGGTAATTTACTATGGTAATTTACTATGGCATGTTACTAAGATAATTTACTACGATAATTTACTACGGTAATTTACTATGATAATAATTTTATACATATATACATTTTACGCAATAACTTTCTTTACAACTTTCTGTAACAATTTATTTTACACGGTAGAATTCTGTATATCATTGTTTGTACGGTAAGAAATGGCGAAAATATAATTATAATATGTGTTTGAATAAATACCCGAGGTTCTGTGGTGTCGTATGTTGTGGTAGAGCATATTTGTATGGTCATGGACGGAAAAAAAGAGGTGAGTTGAGGGGGGTACGGTAACAAAATTAAATACTGTATGTAAGACTATTGTATAATAAAAATTTTTGACTACTGTATACAAAACTACTGTAACAAGTATTGAATACCGTATATAAGACTATTGTAACAAGATTTGGCTACTGTATATGAGGCTACTGTAATAATTTTTGGATACTGTAATTATGAGAAAGTTCAATACTGTAACTAATTGAACTACTGTACTACTAAAGTACTGTAATAGGTACGCACAGGCTACTAGAGTACCGTAGTAGGTACTTAGAGTACTACTAAAGTACTGTAATAGGTGCCTACAAACTACTATAGTACTGTAATAGGTACTCATGGTACTACTAAAGTACTGTAGTAGGTACTTACGTTACTCCTAAAGTACTGTAATATGTGGTTATGTACGTATAGTACCCTAAAGTATACTGTAACAAATAAAAAAACGGTAAGAGTACTGTAACAAATTGCAAAGTAAAGGGAATACTGTAACTAAAAGACAACTATGAACAATTTTGGTATTGTATACTGGTATATAATACCTGGGTAGCTACGGTAGAGTACGGTAAGAGTAGGGTATGGTATAGCAGGGTAGGTAATACTAGTGCTAAGATACGTATTACTTTACCCTACAGTACTTCATTGTGCTTTACTCCAGTAAAGTATACTGTAGTAAAGTATACTGTAGTAAAGCCTACTGTAGCATCCTATTTGAGTAGATCATTCATAAACGAATCCCATTCTGGCATCAACCCAAAGTCCGGTATCATATCAGCCAGTTCTTGTAGGTGCTGAGTGTGCTTCTGAAATTTTTTTAAAATTTAAAAAATTTAAATATTTAATTTCATTTCAATAATTTCAAAATTTCAAAAAAAAATTTTTAATTTTTAAAATTTCAAAAAATTTTAAAACTCACCGCCAGAGGCTGAAGTAACAAAAGCACATTGCCTAGCCGTGTCTTCACCTCAGGCACTTTATTCTCATCGAACCAGTTGTGTAACTCCTTGATCGACCGTTCCGAAGCCTTTTGAATGATCGAAACCGTCTCTGGAGTCAGCCCAACTGAACCCGGATTCCAGAAAATTATCAGCCGAAGGGCTAGGATCTCTCCTATAAGAATATAAGGTTTAAAGTGACAATATATGAAGTATAAGGTAAGATAGGATAAGCTAGAGCAGGGTATGGTAAGGTAAGGTGGGGTACAGTAGAGTGTGTGAGGATACTTTGAGTACGATAGTATACGGTAGGATACGGAAAGGAAGGGTACGGTAGGGTAAGGTAAAACAGGGCAGGACAAACAAAACAAGGCTAGACAGACTAGGCCAAAGCAGGACAGGCCAGTGTAAGGCAAGGCAAGGGTACAGTAGAGTAGGGTAGGGTAGGGTAGGGTAAGGTAGGGTAGGGTAGGGTAGGGTAGGGTAGGGTAGGGTAGGGTAGGGTAGGGTAGGGTAGGGTAGGGTAGGGTAGGGTAGGGTAGGGTAGGGTAGGGTAGGGTAGGGTAGGGTAGGGTAGGGTAGGGTAGGGTACGGTAGGGTAGGGTAGGATGGAGTAGGGTAGGGTAGGGTAAAGTAGCTTACCAAAAGTTATGTTCATTTCAATCATAGGGCGGATCAATTCTTCCAAAACGCTTATACATGTGTCACCGTACATTCTGAAACAAAAAAATTTAAATTTCAAAAAAATTTAAAAAATGAAAATTAAAAAATTTTTTTTTTCAATTAACTAAAAAAAAATAATAAAACTCACAATTCAAGAGCCTTTAAAAAGTATGGAGATTCGTTGCCACTGATTTGAGGTGTGTTGTCATGTTTAATAAAAGTGTTATTTACAAGTACCAACCGGTCGGTGTAGTTCAATTCAATCGTATGGAAAATGTTGTCCAATAACAGGTATTTCATTGAGAATACTCGCAGTAACTTGGCCTGAAAATTAATTTTTGTTAAGTTTTTTTAATTACGAGAACTGAAAATTTGAATTTTGTTTTTGGCGCGCAATTTTTAAAAGGTCATAACTTGGCCAGTTTACACGCCTTAATAAATTTTCAAAAACTTATAAATACAATACTATAAATAGCATCAACTGCTCCAAAATTACTAAAATTTAGCAACAGTCCAAAAAGTTATGGCATCTTTTCCTCAACCCACCTTCAACTAAAAAAATATAGCAAAAAATTATCTTTGCCATTTTTAAAAAGCCATAACTTTGTGAATTCTAAACATTTGTCAAATTTATAATATTTATCCGATAGCGTACTATCTTGAGTACCGGATGGCACAAAATTATTAAATTTCAAAAAGGGTCAAAAAAGTTATGGCAGTTTCCCTAAACTTACCTTCAAAAAAAATGTAATAAAAAATTTGATTTTGCCATTTTTAAACTGTTGTAACTTTGTAAGTTCAATACATTCTTGAGTTATGTAAAAATCATGTGATACTGTACTATCTTGAGTACCAGAATCGACAAAATCATTACATTTCTACTGTCCAAAAAGTTATGGCAGTTTTTCTGGGCCCACCTATCATCCAATCTTTTGCCTATAAAAGCCGAAGATTTTTTTAAAAGTTTTATATATGTGCCATTTTTAAAGTAAAGTCAAATTTTTTAAAAATTATCATTTACTGTACTATCTTGAGTACTATACACCCAAAAACTAAAAACTTCCAACCACAGACCAAAAAGTTATGACACTTTCCCCCAACCCCACCTACCTTATCATGAGGGTTATTCACGGCCTTGAACTCCTCCAACTTCTCTGCCCATTCGAACATTAGTACCATTTGTACTCGATAGATAGCACTGTAGTCTTCTGGTGTAGCTGGTCCTTTTAGTCGTGTTTCGCATTCATCTGACAGTATCTCTTCCAGGGTTTGACATAACATTGTTCGACGACGACGTCGCTGATCACAGTAATCTTCGACCATTTTGTTTAAGAATGAGGATATCGAGTTGGAGGTTTGAGGTATACATTCGGAGACTCGGGACTGAAATTTTGGATTTTTTTTTGATTTTAAAAATTTTTTAAAATTTTTTAAAACTTTTTGAAATTTCTGTTTTTATGTTATTCTACCCAACCCAAAGCTAGCCAGCTTTAAATAGCGTTAAAATACTCTACCTTGCACTGTCGTACCCTACCGTACCCTAAAGTGCATTACCGTACTCTACAGTACCCTACCGTATCCTACAGTACCCTACAGTACCTATCCGTACCGTATGCTACCCTACCCTGCCACACCCTGCTCTCTCATTTTTTATCACCCCCGCCCCCTCCATTCTTTTTTCCTCCTACCCTCCCCAAAATTACAGTAACCCTCTTACCGTTCCACTATGGCACGACAGAACAGAAAATGCGTTCAAATTGGACAAAGGCGTGAAGACTGAAGACCGAGGAGAACCGAGAAGGCTTTGTGGTGAACTTTTCGATGACTCTCCTAGTGAACCACATTCAGATGTGCTGGTCGTTCGGGACATTCCATCTCGAGATGGACTTGGCTTGCCGTCTCGGCGCGGTTGGACCGCTAAAAAGTGGTGTTTTTAGTGTTTTTTGAACTTTAGGTATCAAATTAAACGTTTTAGGTAACAAAGTACATTTATTTTAAAAAAATATATTACTATATTGTACTTTACATTCTACCCTTTGGCAGGTTATACACTAAAATGGCATAAAATCACAAAAAAACGGCCATAAAGCTAATGGTAGTCCTTAAACAAAATATCATAACTCGACCGGTCAAAAATATTTTTGTACGGAAATTGGTCAAAAGGTACTAGTTACTAATACTAAAAACCAATTTTGCCACTTTTTATATTCACCATTGTTAAAACAAATTTTAAAAAATTTTGAAAAAAGTTAAAAATTGACTTTTTTCAAAAAATCGTATCTCGACCGGTCGGTGGAATATTTTTACAAATTTTGACCAACAGTTGCTATATTGTACTAGTTAGCAGTAGTATAAACCATTTATGTTAATTTTTATATTTGACATCGTTATGACAAATTAAAAAAATTTTATAAATTGCAAAAACTGACCTTTTTTAAAAAATCATAACTCGACCAGTCAATAAAATATTTTTACAAACTTTGGTCAAAACGTGCAATATGGTACTAGTTAACTATGCTATAAAGCATTTTTGAAAGTTCTTCGAAATAACGTCATTATGACAAATTTAAAAACTAAAAAAACATTTCTTGAAAAATGGCAATGTCAGCTTGTTTAAACTGCCATAATTTAACCAATACAACAGCTTTTAATGTAAAATTTTGAGAAAATGTAGCCAATAGTATAATCTTAACAAAAGTCTTACCATTTTTGTCCATTCCTACCATTTTGCACTTTTTTAAGCGACATGCGCGACAAGCACAACGAGCATCTGAAATTGTGACAATATCATTAATTTTGTCCTAAAAAATTGCAAAAATATTTAAAATTAGGTAAAAATTGCTGTAAAAACACACATTTTTGATAAATTTTGGCTACTTCGACCCCGGGCGCTTATCAATTTTCAATCAAAAAGCACACAACTTATACCTTTTTGAAGCTAGAGAGCATAGACAATAGAGAGACGGTTAGACATAGGGGGGAGAACATTGATTATTAATAGGGTAGTGACGCGTTTGTTACCCTACCCTACCCTTCCTTACCCTACCCTACCTCACCCTACCCTACCCTACCCTACCCTACCCTGCTTTACCCCCGCCTTAATCTGCCTTGCCCTGCTCTATTCGGCTGTATTTTGCCCTGGTTTGCCTTGTTCTGCCCTACTTCGCAGTACCTTACTATATGGTTACCTATTTACTATATTCTCTACCGTAATCTTTTTTTACCCTACTCTACAGAAACCCAACCATCCCAAAATAATCATTCTACGGTACTTTTATGACCATTCCACAACGTTTTATCATACTCCCATATCACCATTTTACCCCACCCCCTTTATACCACACCTCCCTTCCTTACCGTAACCCTACCCTACCATACCCAACTTACTTTTATCAATAGCACAATTGCCTCCACGTCGACACTGAAAGTGCAAACTCTGAGTTATAGCACGTCGAAAGAAGGCATTACATCCTCGGCACGACAGTACTCCATAGTGATAGCCATCAGCCTGATCACCACATACTGCACAGTACTCTTCAATGTTGGGCTGGGTAAGATGATTCAAATCATCCACTGAGTTCGGTGACATTACACTGTATAATACCATCTGGGATCACAATTTCATTAATCTGGAAGAATGTTTAGATTAAATTGGATTTTAAGGATGATAAGTATGTTATAGTATGTATAGGTAGAGCCATACCTACTATAAGTTAAAGCAAGGTAAATAATCACAAAAAATAAACGTAAAGTAAATTTAAAAGTTAAAAAGTAATGTAAAATACGTTTTAAAGACTTATTATGTTACAAAAAAATAAAAGCTTTAAAAAAATTTAAATTCACGTTTTCGCGGGCTTTTTAAAAAACCTTTAAAATTAAGTTTCAACTATTTCAAACATTAAAATTTAAAGTCTATTATACTTAGCAAAGCTTAAAATAGCCAAAAATAACAAAAAATTTAAATTTTCAGTTTCGCGGGCTTTTGGCAAAATCTTGGCATTGTGTTTCAAGCCCCAAAAAACATTGTATAAATACCCTAGTACCGTCGTAAGACAGAGAACTTCAAAATGTAAAAAATGCATTTTAGACCTATATACATGTATTACGTAAAAATTTCAAATTTTGACTGTTTCGCGGGCTTTTGGCAAAATCTTGGCATTGTGTTTTGAGCCCCAAAACATACCATATGATAGTGATACAAAGTAAAATAAGCTTAAAAATGACCGTGCACGCCTAATTTTCTTAAAATTTCAACAATTCAAACGATAATTTCAAAAAAAATTCAAAATTTTAAAAAACTGCCATTTTTATTAAAAAATCACTCCAAAACCCCCCAAAACCCCAAAAATAATAGCGAAATGACCTCGACGGGTCACGTGTGTCAATCCATTTTCGATCTTTTCCTCTATCATTTTTAAGCTGTTTACAGCGTGCTTCAGAGAATGTGATCAAGCAGCCGGTTGGCTGATAACAACTGTTAATTTTATAAACATCAAAAAACGTTTAATTAAGAAAGGCGGCCCACGTTGAGATACGTATACAACATGTTTCACAATTTTTGCAAAAAATTTTTTTTTACTTTTGAAATTTTAAAAAATTTGCATTTTTTGTGTGGTCAGAAAGTTTTTGCCATTTTTAACTAAAACAGTGGTTAGAAAAATAAAAAATAGTTATCGACCGATCGATAAATGTCTTAAAATTCAGGTAAAGTTATTTTTTGGTCAAAAAGATTTCTCCATTTCAATATATGATTAAAATAGTAACCGCGTCAAAAAGAATTGGCCGATTTCTTATTCGACGCGTATCAATAGAAAAACGATCAAGTCTTTTTGGCGCAGGGCTTTTCATTGAAATAATGACAAAATATAAAAGCCAAAAAATGAAAATATTAAAAGTATTGACTATCAATGTCATATTGTTACCTAAAATCATGTTTCCGACCGGTCAAAAAGTTTTTTCCATATTTAACAAAGGCTGTAATATTAAAAATAGAAAAAAACTTTTTGACCTCCCCAAAATCAGCCTCCAGCTTAAAAATGTCATAAAATGACATAAAACCACACATATAACCGTAGTAAACAGGTATAGTACAAACACGCGTCGAAAAAGTAATTAAAAACGGTAAAAATGGGATATTACACATGGCATACGCACGATGCCGTGATACATGCAACTTTGGCCCCAGGTGAAAACCATATTATGTCATTTGTGGATTCTTGAACATATATGAATGTTGTTTTAACATAAAACGGCAGTACTGTAGTAGAAAAATGTGTTTAAAGCATGGTTTTGAAAAAAAGTTTGAGGTTTTTGGAGATTATAGATGGTGGTCTTATAGGCCATTTTTCAAGACTAACTGTTGATGATAACAAAAATCATTTAATACGTTTTAAAAAGCATAAAATTTACTATATAATCACTTTGTTTCAAAGTCATACCTAATTTTATAAAAAAGTTATGATCTATTAAAAATGTCAAAAATCAAAAAATTTCGAATCCGGCCAGTAACTGACAGCGTTTTTTAATTATAACTTTACCCTACCCTACCTTACCTTACCCTACCCACTCTAAAAATATATTTTAAATCCCATTCAAATAAGATAAGTTACAAGATCCGAACAACTATACGGTACCTATGACATCTACCTCAACATATATTACGCTACCCATACCTAATACCACCCACTGATTATAAATAGTAAAAAAGCTATAGAAATCAAAAGGTAATCTTCAAGATAATACAGTAGCCACGTACGTGTCTCCGGCTACGTGTTTCAATGGGTATTAACATACGAAAGTGCGATAATACCAAAGTAAAAGTTAAGTAATCGTTAATTACTATCTGTAATTACTACTACAAGTTACTTGCGAAACACAATGTGGTTTTAACGTACTAATTATGAAGACGTGCAAGATCTTAACATAGTATGCCAAAAATCGTTGATTTTCAGCGGTCAAAAAAGTTTTTTTTAAATTGAACTGTGCAAAGACTTAAGTGCCATTTTAAACAATAAAAAAATTTTGACTGTCAAAAAATGCCATTTTATTGTATTCCAAGTCATTTTACACTAGTTGACACAATTTTTTCAATATTTATTATCAGCCATTGTATTAGAAATGGCATTGACAAAAATTGCACTGTGCAAAGACTTTGACTAAAAGCTACAAACTGCCAAAACTTTCTGACCACTAAAAAATGTCATTTTATTTTAATCCAACCCATTTTCAACTGGTCAAACTATTTTTTTCGTTTTCACTGTTACAGTTTGTATTAAAAATGGCAGAGGTAAAAATTGCACTGTGCAAAAACTGAAAATGCTTTTTAAAAATAGACAAAACTTTTTGAACACCAAAAAATGTCATTGTATGTGGATTCAAATCGTTTTCAATAAACCAAAACTTTTTCGTTTTCACCATCACTGGTCATATTAAAAATGACAATGAAAAAATTGCACTGTGCAAAAATTTAAAGCCGTTTCTAAAAATAGGCAAGACTTTTTGACCGCCTAAAAATGTCATTTTATGTAAATTCAACTCATTATCAATCGACTAAAACAGTTTTTGCCTTTTTTACCATCACTGGTCATATTAAAAATGACAATGAAAAAAATTGCACTGTGCAAAAACTAAAATTCCAAAAAAATTTGATCAAAATGCCATTTTATATTAAAAACACCATAAAATTTTGAAACCAAAGTATAAATATGACAAAAATAACCCCCAAAACAGCTACCGATCTAGTTAAACTAACAAAGTGAGACGGTTATCGATTAGAATCACGTGTTTGGAAGATAATAAGTCAACCAATCATCGCTTATTAACTCACATCGTACGTTTACCGACAATAACAACACAAATATAGTCGGATTTGATGTACCATATCCTGCCCTATTCACTTTTTCAAGAATTTTACAAAAAATTTTGGTCAAAAAGTTTTTGCCACTTTCAGTACTGGCAATAATAATAAAAATGGAAGAAACTTTTTGACCGGTCGAAAATTTTTTGAAATAATATAAGACGACAAAAATAACAATGCAACATCTCAAAATAGGGTTTTTTCGTAAAATGTTACCTAAACTTCTAAAATATTCAAAAGTTTCAAATATAAAATGCCGACATAAAGAACCCGCCATACTTTTCCTGTAATTTCCTGTAAAAAATGGCGAGTTCTTTATGTCGGCACCTAATATTAAATTGAACCAAAAGTAGCGAGACACTTTTCATTTGATTTTTAACTAAAAAGTGACCCTCTAAATTGTCAAAAAGTAAAAAAAAAATTTTTTAAATATTAAAAAGTTGTAAAAACACCCCCTAAAACTTTAAAAATCAGCAGAAAACCCCATAAAAAGACCAAAAAATTTAAAAAACACCCCTAAATCATAAAAAATTCGTAAAACCGCCCTTTAAAATATATTTAAAAATTTGTAAACCACTCCCTAAGCCTTAAAAAATTTAAAAAAACAGCCCTTATAAGCTCAAATATTCAAGAATCAAGCCCTCTCTCAAAACCTTAATCCTAGCTATAGCCCTAGTCGTCCCCCCCCCCTAGAAAAAAAACTTTCCAAAAAAGTTGAACTTGGTACCCCCCCTATGGATTTTTTGGAAAAATTTTTTCGACACCCGCCCCCAGACCAAAAGTCCTCGCCCGGCCCTATTTGTAGCCCCAGCCCTAACATCAAAACCCTCCCCCCCCCCAAACATAAAAAAAATAAAATTTCAAACCCCCCCCTCCCATCCCTTAAAAATTCAAACAAAATAAACCCTCTTTAATAACAAACTCTTATTTTGGACTGGAGAAACCCCTCGTGGTCGAGAAGTGGAGAGAACAAACCCGCCGGGGGGAGAGAAACAGGAGCAGCGTGAGTGTAACGTCATTCCCCCTTCCATCCCTTTCCACATTCTTCCACACTTTGCGGCGAGAGAGTGTGAAGAAAAGGGAGGGTGGGGAGAGAAAGTGAGGGAATGGGAGAGAGCGTGGGGATTGGAGAGGGTGAGGAGTATTAAGAAGGCAGGGGGTTTGAGAGGGCAGGGGGATTTGAAAGGGCAGGGGGGATTGAAAAGGTAAGAAAATTTGAAAGGGCAAGGGAATTTGATAAGGTAGAGGGATTTAAAAAGGTGGGGTGATTGAGAAGGTAAGAAAATTTGAAAGGGCAGGGCGTTTAAAAGGGCATGGAAATTCAAAAGCGCGTGGGGAGTTGCAAGAGCATGGGGCAGGAAAAAAATTGATAAAGTGTTTATGAGTGCAGAACATAAAAATGAACCTTCTTTAAAAATTTTTTAAAAACCACAACCTAATTTTTTATAAATTTACCACACCCTCTCTCAAAACCAGAATTTTTCAGAAAAAGCGCAAAAAATACAAAAAAAAATGAAAGTTATACCACCTTTGCAAAAAAAATTATCCACTCCCAAAAAAAATTTTAAAAATTTACCCCGCCCAAAATTTTTTTTCAAAAAGCTCTTTTTTAGTAACTAAGCGGTCTATAATTATATACCTGATTTTTCCTACTCTACCCTCCCACGATACCATCACCCTGCCCTTCCACTTCTTCTAACATTTATACCCTTTTCCCATCCCCCACCCCTTCATCCCTAACACATCCACTCATTAAAGACAAGTTTAAACTCTCGAAACGAACACATGCCATTAACTTTTCCACTTCCATAAAAATGTTTACAATGTAACATGGCCGCGATTAACATATGTTACTCAGTAAAGTATAATCTTTCCTAAAGTGTCCGTACTGCGAAAATAGTACTGTAATAAAGAGAATTCTAGAGGAATATAGGAATTGACATTAATTTCGACACAAAACATAAATACAAGACAAACATGAAAGACCAGGGAGATTAGTGGAATTGGGTTTAAAAGAAGTATTTTAGGCTTAACATAAGGGTTCTAGGCTTATTTGAAGAAGTTTAGGCTTAGAAAATGTTAGGCTTAAAAAAAACGATAGGCTTAAAGTACGAATAATAAGCTTAAAACAAGAATGTTAGGCTTAAAAGAAGAAGGGTAGGCTTAGATAATAAAAATTTTAGGCTTAGACCATAAAAAATCATAAAAAGCTTAAATGATCAAGGTTTGGCATGTTAGGCTTAACATAAGCAGTTTAAGCTTAACATCAGCACTTTAGGCTTAAGATAAACATTTTAGGTTTAACATAAGCCTTTTAGGCTTAACATCAGCAGTTTAGGCTTAAAACAAGAATGAAAGGCTTAACGTAAGCACTTTAGGCTTAACGTAAGTATTTTAGGCTTATCATAAGCACTTTAGGCTTAACGTAAGCATTTTAAGCTTAAAAGTATCATTTTAGGCTTACCATAAACATTTTAGGCTTAACATAAGCATCTTAGGCTTTAAAGCTTCATTTTAGTCACAAAATAAGCATTTTAGGCTTACAAGTTTCATTTTAGGCTTCAAATAAGCATCTTAGGCTTAACATAGACAGTTTAGGCTTATAAATAGAAATTTCAAGCTTAAAGCCTATAAAGTCCAAAAAAATGCCATTTCAAAACATAACCATAAGCAATAACAACATAAACATCAAAATTAATCCCTAAAAACAGTATTTTTAGTACAATTTCAGTTCGAATCCTTTAGCTTTTTTTGTGCACGTTCACCATGAACACGTGCTCTAAAATTAAATTAAGCAGCATTACTTCCTTTATAAGTTCAAAAAGTCGAAAAATGACGAATTATCCTACCCCCAAATAGAAATGCTTACACTACCCTGTCCTACATTGCCTGTGCCTTGGCTTATCTTAGCTTGGCTTAGCTTGACTTGGATTGGATTGGCTTGGCTTGGCTTGGCTTGGCTTGGCTTGGCTTGGCTTGGCTTGGCTTGGCTTGGCTTGGCTTGGCTTGACTTGGCTTGGCTTGGCTTGGCTTGGCTTGGCTCGCCTTGGCTTGGCTTGTCTCGCCTTGGCTTGGCTTAAGTTGGCTTGACTTGGCTTGGATTGGCTTGCCTTGCCTGTCTGTGCCTTACCTTGACTTGCTCTGTTCTCTCCTGTGTAGCCCTGCCCTGCTCAACCCTGCCAAGTTCTACCCTTCCTTGCCTTATTCTATCGTAACATACAATGCCTTGCCTTTACCATCCCGATTCTACCCTACCCTGCCCTGTGGTGTTGTACTCTATGTTCTTCACTGCTCTATCCTGCTCTACCCTACCCTACTTTACCCTATTCTACCTTACTCTACTCTACCTTACTCTACCGTGCCTTACCCAAGTCTACCCTACTCTACCCTAAGATTTTGCCATAATTTTGATTTAATTTCACAAGCCCTTTAAAGCCCATACCCGCTGAAACAATAGCTTTTATCAACTTCAACCCCAAAAGCTTTTAAAAGTAAACAACTTCTTGACAAAGTTTGTAATAAAACCCCACAACGCTGTGTTATCTCAACAGAAATAAGTTTTTTCGACGCAAACCACAAGTCTTCTACCTTTTCTTTCTCCCATTTCTCTCGTTATTAATAGGCGCGTCGTAAATTAGACTAGTTTAGAGATTCACAAGGTTAAGATTAAGAGTTGCGTTACACTTTTCCTGGTCTTAGATGTAGGCTTAGGCTTAGACTTAGGCTTAAGCTTAGGCTTAGGCTTAGGCTTAGGCCTAGGCTTAAGCTTAGACTTAGGCCTAGGTAAGAGCATAAAGCCCTAGCCTAAAACCCCAGTCCACAGGCCTAGCCCCATCCTTAATCATAGCCAAGAGCCCTAGACATAGCCCTATTCTCAACCCTCTAGCCTTATGTTAGTTCTAGCCCTAGCCTTAGTTTTGCTCCTGGCCCTATCCTTAGCTCTAGCCCTCGATCTAGCTGGTTCTATTTTTTATCAAAATATCTGCCCTAGACTATATTTATCTTAGCCCAAGGCCTTGCCTATTTTAGCCCTATCCCTAGTCTTTGTGAATTTCCAAGATCGATCGAAACACAAATTGATCTCTTCGGATCCATCCTTCCAATCGCACTGATCAAAAAGGTTCTTTCTTTAAATTCAAAAAAATCTTTGTAAACTCAAAAAAACTTTTAAAAAGCGTTGAATTTTTTTTACCCTACCCTGGCTACTCTAAGCCTAAAAATTTGCCAAAAATTTTAAAAAAACCTTTACACAACGCCCCCCCCCCAGATCTTAAATTTCATTTTCCATACCCATACTTTTATAAAAAAAATTGAATAATTAAACCCCGCACCCTAAATCAAAATCCACTTTTCCTGCCCATGCCTTTAATCAATAAATTAAAAATTTTAAAAATCACATCCCCCTGGCACTCAAAATTTCATTTTTTACCACGCCTTTAAAAAAACTTTAAATCGTTTGCTTCCTTTATTTTACAATCCACCTTTTTACCCATGCCCTCGATGAACAGGCCAAAAATACAAAAGAAACTTTAAATAATGAAAATCGATCGACTGTTCCTTCCCCCAGCCTTCAGCTATCATTAAAACAATCAGAGAAACGGGAAAAAGCGCAAAAATTGATGGATCGGGGCCGAAGGAAGCCCCACCACGTGTTCCCCCCTAATATCCACCCCCTGGGGAGGGTGGGGGTAAGTGGGAATGGAAGGAAGAAAGAGAAGAAAGAACCACGAAAATAGGAGGGGAGGGAGGGGGACATTTGAAGGGCCTGTTGCAGAATAAAGAGTGCAAACAACTGAATTAATTAAAACAAGTGTTTTGTTACAGTAGGCGCAAAGACGTAAGCAGGAAGAAAAGAGCAGTTAGGCCTAATTTTAGGCTTAACATAAAAAGTAAGCTTAAAATTCCCTATCTTATCCTACCGTACTCTTGTTACTCTACCCTACCCTACCTAACCGTACTCTACCCTACCCTACTCTACCCTTTTTTACCCTACTCTAGTCTACCTTACTTACCTCTACCTTACTCTTCTCTACCCTACATTACATTACTGTACCCTACGGTACCTACTGTGTCGTACTGTGACGTGATCTATCCTACCCTTCAATATCCTATCTTACCTTACCATACCCTACCCTACCACACCCTACATTACTGTACCCTACCGTACCTACTGCGCCGTACCGTGACTTGTTCTACCCCACCTTACCCTACCCTTCAAAATTCTACTCTATCCTACTCTAGTCATGCTCTACCCTTCTTTACCTTAACATACTGTATCTTACTTGTCTTACTTTAGCCTACTCTACCCTTCTCTACTTTAACTTCCTTTACCTTACACTGTCCTACTCTAGCTTACTCTATGCTTTACCGTACTCTATTCTACTCTACTCTTTTTTACCCTACCCTACCCTTGCATACCTTAAAGTGCCCTAAATTGCCCCATTTAAACCTATTCTAGCCTACTGTACCCTACCCTACTCTAGTTTATAAAAGGTACAAACTCAAATTTCCAACCAGCCCTGATATTAACATACTACTCTAATATCCAACCGCTGTAACACACTTCCTCAATCAGCAATCGTACAACCTAATGTCACAGCCAATACCCCCTAATGTAAACAAAGTTATCGCTCATTACAATTGAAACCCGACTTGGAAACACTCTTTGTTTTTGATGATTTCTGTTTTTGCACATCGTACGATCCGCAAGGGCACATGGTCACGCATCAAAGTACTTGAAAACAACACGTGCCATCTTGTTATGACAACATGGTCGACGCGCTACCAACATGTGGTTTGGCTACAAGTGTAAAGGGCTTCAAAGTGAAGAGGGAATACGAAATTAAAATTAGAAATAAGGAGGTAATAACAAATTGGCAAGAGTTTAAAAGATAAATGTATAGATTACGGTAGGAAAAGAGGTGTATTACGGTAAAGGCTAGAGATAAAGCTGATTTAAGGCTAAAGGCAGAATTGATAATTGAAGAAAAGCCTGAATATAAGCCAATTCTAGCCAAGTCAAGTAAAGCCAAACCAAGCCAAGCCAAGCCAAGTAAAGCCAAGGCAAGGCTAGGCAAGGCAAAGCAAGGCAAGGCAAGGCAAGGCAAGGCAAGGCAAGGCAAGGCAAGGCAAGGCAAGGCAAGGCAAGGCAAGGCAAGGCAAGGCAAGGCAAGGCAAGGCAAGGCAAGGCAAGGCAAGGCAAGGCAAGGCAAGGCAAGGCAAGGCAAGGCAAGGCAAGGCAATACCTCGAGGAAAAACATTTCGACGTCCCCCAATTAATTTAAAAAAACCAAATTTTTATATTTCAAACAAACAAAATTCAATTTTAAACTGTTCGACTTGATATAAAGAGCACAATGAACAAAAACCAACGTGAATGCAACGTTATGCAAACAAAAATCAGGCAGTTTTTCTATTCTTATATCTAATAAACACGATAAGAGTGGCAAAACAACAGTAAAAATGTAGTTTTAACACCCTACCCTGCTTTAATATATAGTATCCTACCCTACCCTCCCTACCCTACCCTACCCTACCCTACCCTACCCTACCCTACCCTATCCTACCTTACAGTACCGTACCGTATCAGACCTTACCTTACCTTATCTTGCCCTACCCTGCACTATTCTATTTTACACTGTCATACCCTACACTACCCTACTTTACTTTATAATCCCCTACTCTGTTCTGCCCTACTCTATCCTTAGTTATTCTATATTGTAGAATCTTATCTCTCCCCCCCGCACCTAAACCAAACTTTTTAAAAATATTTCGAATTCCAAAAACAAGCTTTTAAAACTGTAAAACTGCAAAGTATCCCCAAGAAAATTAACGTGCGACGAACATAAGGTTGAAAACGTGCGACGAACATAAGGTTGAAACACCGTTCACGCTGATTTTGATCTGTTCAACCCTTTTCCCAATCCCATAGCAAAACGGCCGCCCTAAGGTCAACAGCACTCTCGTTTCAACGAAACTTCCGAGTGGGGACCGGGCCTACCGTAAGATTATAGAGCCTTTGATAGTTTTGACAATTATCACTTTTTGCAAAGAGTAGAAGGAAGAGAGAGAGTGGTTAGAGAAAAAGAGAGAGAGTGAATGATAAGGGGTAATCAAGAGTTTTAGAAAATCATGCCCTACCCTATCGTACCCTACCTTACCCTGCCCTACTCTGCCCTACTCTGTCCTACTCTACCCTACCGTAATTAAGTATAGCTCTTTGGCTATCCTAGACATAGTTTTGGCGAGAAAAAAACTAAAAATCTCATTAAAACCCTAGTGACAAACAAAGAAACTTTAGCTGGACTAGACAAACAAATACTCATTTCAAACTACAAGATATCCACCACGTTTGCTATACAAACATAAGACCAAACTGTGTCAGAACGGTGCTTAGAATATCATACCTCCTTACTCTAGCGTACCCTACAATACAGTACACTACCCTATCTTACCTTATCCTGCCTTACCCCACCCTATCCAACCCTACCCTATCTTACCCTCCCCACCCTACCCTACCCTACCCTACGTTGCCTCTATCTATCGTACTCTACCTTATGCAAGCTTGCTTTACCGTACTCTACGGTACCCTACATTATCGTCTGCCTACCGCACCACACTCAACTCTCCCTAAATCTTACTGTACCTTATCAAAGTCCATATTATGCTGATATGCTCATATATAATAATCTACGTCGCAGCACCTTACTTGACCTTATCTTACCCTACAAATACTTTATCTTTCTCTACCAATACTTGTGCAGACTAGTCGTAGCCTACTCATTATATATGTCGTAGTAGATACACATATGTCATACCATCTACTATAATATAAGCTAGCTTTTACAATTAGCATATCCCCTACCTTCAGAGGCGTCGCTAGGGGAAAAGGGGGGGGGGGTTTCCTCCCCCAACCACAAGTATACTCATACCATACCCAACATGCTTAACCCCCAAAATGTTGCAAAACAAGACCATTAAGTTCAAGTTCATCAAAAAACAATAATATTAATGAAACGCCCTTCATCAAGCTCCAAATAAACACCCCTCACACCCCGACTTTTTCGGCCCAAAACGTGGTCACGGTGCGGCGAACAGTGCGCTGTGATCACGCTCGCAGCCGAGGGGAAACAAACATCACGTGGTGAGAGAAGAGTCTTAGCGTTCGCGATGAAACAATTGTTTGTGCCGTTTGACTCTTCTTTGTGTCATGTGCAAGTTAAACGAACAAAGTGATAAATTTCGCTACAAAACTGGGAAGGGGGGGGAACAGCAAAAGGTTTACGATGGTCGAGATAGAGTAAGGTTACTGTGGGGTTGAGGAGAATGTAGTAGGAAGTAAAAAGTATTATAGTAGGATGGGATAATTCGTAGAGTAAATTAGGCTAAGGCCAACGCAAGGCATGGTGCCCTGTACCCAGGACCGTACGAAAAAAAAGGGGGGGGAGGGACGTACGAAAAAAAGGGGGGGGGATTTTTTGTGAATTTAAAAAAAATTCAAAAAATCGCCACAAGTAGTTGTGCCGATTCCTTCAACCCCCGCCCCCAGACCAAAAATGCCGACCCAGCCCTACCTCTACCACGCCTTGTAACCGGGCATGGTAGGGCAGAGTATGCATGAAAGTTGAATGCCCTGTACAAGGCAGATCATTGCAAAGCACATGGCATAAATAAATTTTCCAATACCCTGCCCTGTGTCCAAGCCTGAAGGCAGAAAAAGGTACAACGAGATACGCTACAACAAAGTAAAAATCTAAAAAAACATATAAAACACCAAATACCACCTCCTACAGTAAATTTTTTTTATTAATAATAATGCATATTAAAATGCCATTAAAAGCCGTTCTAACCCGAAGCATTAAGACAATCACAAAGTATAGATAAATATCATACAAAACTATTAGGTGCCGACATATAGAACCTGCCATACGGGCCTGTAATTTCCTGTAAAAAATGGCGGGTTCTTTATGTCGGTACCTAAAGAAAAGAAAATTTTAAAAAATTATTATGTACAACTTTACTTTGAATAAAAATTCGGCTTCAAAATCAGATATGTTATTGTAGATCAGTCGGAATTGCTCGAATCTCCGTTTTGGTGGCTCAATCTAAATCTATAACAAGTTATTACTATTGTACTTCAAAAAATTTCTTCATTACACAGGTTGTGGATAAGATAGTATAATAGTAAAGATAAGGAAGAGTATGGGTAGAGCTAGGCGTCAGTAGGAGTAAGTATAGGTTAAAGCGAAAGGTAATTGTCCAGATAGAGGTATGGGTAAGTTGTAGTAAAATAGAGTAGGGTAGAGTAAGAACAGAAGTAGAAGTACAAGTTGAAGAAAAGAGTATGACTACCTAGATTAACGTTCAAAAACAATGGCAGAAAAAAGTGATACCTCGCAGTAATATAGAGTAATATCCCAACCCTCGCAGTAATTTATTGGGTCGTTTTACACCGAGGCAAATATTACAAAATTAACATATATTACATAAGAAAACATTGCGTAATACAGTTTCTTGCATTTTCTCTAAGGCTATCTAAACCATCAATATTAGGTAACAACGCAGAAATTTGATGCAATCTTATATTGATATAGATTTTAGAAACATCACGCGTGTATTAAGAGTAGGACTTAAGATGAAATAAGAAACGAACCAGACCGACCTTGATCTAAATTTAAATCGAGCCAAGCCTGAAGATCAAAGTCCGGCCCGTTCCTCATGTCTAGAGTAGAGGTAGGAGTAGAGGTAAGGATAAAGATAAGGGGTAAAAATAAATGCAGGGGTGATATTATGTAAGAATAAAAACGAAAATAATGTTACCTTTTCTTCCTCAATCGTTCACATCGTCCACACCTCCAGCTGGTGTACTTCTTCAGCCATTTGTGGTAACACTTCTTATGTGACAAGCTTCCACACCCTTCGCACCGCGAAATCTTGTCAATTTGGAAAGGAAAAATAATGTCTTTGGGTTGCATGCATACCTGACATAGGAAGCCTCGCTGCTGGCATATCTAAAATTTATAAATTTTTATTTTTTTAATTTTTAAAGTTTTTTCAAAAAAAAACTTTTTTTTTAATTTTTCAAAATAACTTACCAGACAGCTCAAGACATGCTCGATACCCCGTTTCTCCAATGGCTCCAAGATTTCGATCAAATTTCCATTTTCAATTCGTTCAAAGTCGATTATGGAGTAGATGGATACCTTCTCAAGCTCTCTGTATCTCGGCGGTATTGACTCGAACATGGTTCTTAAACTGTAAAAGCATAGCTTAATATCTTATACACAATCTCTAGTCAGCATTCCTATCAAAAACTGTCGTATCTCATTAAAATTGACAATAAAATCGGCCGCGTCAAAAAGAATTGAACATTTTATTAAGTAAATCAGTAGAAAACTGTCCAACTCTTTTTGACGCGAAATTTTTCTTTAAAAAGATGACAAAATAAATATGAGTACATATAAAAATATATTTGAAAAGGTCATAAAATGACCTAAAAGTCCATTTTTAATCTAAAAAATTTTTTCAGCTTGATTGGTATAGCCTGTACTCTATAAGATAGAAATCGGTACTATTAGGTCGTTCAAAAAATGTTGTGCCCTTTTCCAAGCAAATTTTAAAAATTAGAGAGCCCAGAATTACTTGAACAACCCAATAGTATTGATTTTTACCTTACAGTACATTAACATGTTATAATATCCACTTACATTCCATTCCTAGTCTCAATTTCGGTACTTCTCGGACAAAGTTGTATGAATTGCCATAGGTGTGAGATTACCAGTCGGATTCTCCTCACTTTTCCCAAATTTTTGATTTTCAATGTTAACCTCGGTTCGATGGCAAAGACGTCGTAGACAGGTATAGACTCGTTTTCGTGAAGAAAACTTTCGGCTACATCACATACTGGGTATTCTCTGTAAAAAAATCATTTTAAATTTCAAAAAAGATAATGTCATTAAATTTAAAAAATCGATCAAAATCATGACAAAAGTGCCATTTTTAGCCAAAAAACTTCAAAAAATCAGCAAAAAAGAATATTAAAAACATCAAAAAAGTTTTTAAAAATCAATATCATACTTAAAATTCCACTGATGCAATATCCTAGCCGGTATCCGCGCCTTCGCACCTCTATGACAACATTGGCAAAAGATCTTGTTGTAGTAGAAACAAACTCGAGCCCTTCTTTCGTATAACTTGTCCATCTTTCTGCCACATCCTTCACAGCAATTGTTCTGATCTTTGAGCATCGTTTGAAAACTAAAACTTTTTCATAATTTTTTAAGATTTTTTTAAGTTTTCAGTAAAAAGCAAAAAAAGGAAGTAGGTGAAGATAACCTAAATCAAAAAACAATATAAATTCTGTAAAACTTACTCTCGAACCTCTTCCAGATCATAAATAAACTTTCGTTTCAAAGGCCTCCATACGGGAGCTCCACGCAAATCAGTCCTAGATCCAATGGCTTCGTCCGGAGGCAAAGGCATGTATTTGGCCATGTCCAACAACTAAAACAAGGTCTTTAATGTTAGTTCCTGCATAAAAACTATTTTAATTCATACTTTATTTTAAGAAAACACTTAAAAATATTTAAAAACCATAAATTTTAATCAGAAAATACCAAAGACCTTATCAAAAGACCAAAACTTACCTCACTTGGCCCATTTCCGTTCTTGATCATGTTCACCCAGTCTTCATCCTCAGGTTTCACCCTTTTCCGATCTTCATAATAATCAACCAATGCGTTTACCACCTCATCAGAATCTTTGTCCATCCTTTTACGCCCATCTGAACTGATCTTCCTCTTTGATTCATCAAGATATTCATCATTTTTATCTTGCACATCAAGTAATGTAGAACTTGTACATGGTTGATCATTATGAACTGATGAATCATTCTGTACAGTTAATTCGGTTTCGTTCATATCCACTAAAGACTGACTATGCTCTTTGTGTGTTATTGCCCCAGGATCTTTGGTGAAATCAATGTTTTGAGTGAATCTTCTCCATCTCTCACGTTCGGAACACATTATGTACATATCACTTAAATATAAGTGCACATTTTCCTAAAATAAAACAATTTGTTACTAATAATGGCAACTAGAGACTTGGCTATCTACTCATAAAAACAAAATGTCAGTTTTTCAACTTTGGGGCAATAAAAACTTCAAAACAATATTATCCATGCTGTCCTGATTTTAAAATTAATCAAAATCTATAAAATCGGACAAAACCAGCTTTGAAATTAATCTTAAAACGTTCACAAAAGAAAGTAGAATTTTTTTACCTCCTCAGCGATCAATACCACCTAAAATCAAAAACAAAATAACAAAAACCAACTTACAGTTCGATATCCAGCATTGCTCTCAAAAAACGAAACATCGCCCAGCTCTTGTGTCGCTTCAATAGCATCCACATACTCCCAGCCTTCATCGGATGGCGGCTTCTGTAAATTAAAACAACAGTAAATCATTTCCCAAACGAAATTCGCACAGTTCATGCCCTGAGGGCCAAGGAAAAGGACCTACGTTTCGTTTCTTTTCGCACAAAAGGCTCAAGGACCGCGTTCGTGGCCTTATTTGTGTGCATTCCGACATCGCCGTTGACTCATCGAAATCTTTTTTGGTTTTGATTTCCGAAATTTCCTTCGTTTTTCGTTCTTTTTGATCTAACAAAATACGAGCATTTTGCGCCCAGCTTTGTGCGGCCTGCATGGCTGAAAAATAAAAAGACATCTTATACGATGGAAAGTGTAAATATAAATATTGTTGAAATTTTTGAAATATCTGTGAAATTTGAAGATTTTCGTAAATATTTACGGATTTCGAAATTAAAATACGATTTTTTTTATTTTTTATAAGTTTTATGATATTATACATGATGTTCAGTGATAATACTATAACAAGTCAAGAACAAGTTTTTTTACGTGCAAAACACAAACTAGGAAGTTGTAGACAAAACTAGATTGACAAATTATCAATGATATTGAATTCCTATAGTTTAAAACTTTTTGAACTTTTACTTAATTTGGCTTTCAGTTTTCATAACTTCACTGTGATGGTTAGGATAATATTTTTATGGTTTTGGTGAAAAAACGGCAGTTATTTAGATAATCTATATTATCAGGAGCTTTTTAAGGATGTGCTGAGAGTTTTCGACAAGAAATGCCTTAGGAAAACGGACAGTTTCACGCTGAAAAAGTTAAATTCGTTTGGGGACATCAGGTTTTCATAGGGTGTGTAATATTGAAGATGACATTTCGTATCTTAAACGACCGAAATTGGGTAAATTTTGTAAAAATTAAAATTCTACAGATGTTAAAGAATATTTAGATGGCAAGGGTTTATCAAAATTTTTAAAAGTTTGCAGCTAAACACCGCTGTAAAGTTTTCTAACATCAACTTTTGTCATGGGTAATATAAAACTTGATTTTGGTTTTAACGGTTAAAAATTAATGTTTTGTTTTTAAAATAACATTTTAGACATACTAGGCTACAAATAGATATCAAAATTTGTTCAAAAAGTTGTGTTTTTAAAGTTTTACAGCCAGGAACATCAAGTGATGTCACGGTGAATATAAAAAATTATCTAAAAGTCTTAAATGTTGATAAAACTCAATACATAAAACACAAAAATGTTATAATAGGCTCTCTTAACATTATGTTTTGTCAATTTTTTATGTTTTAAGTTCTTCCTTTCTTCAGCGTGCGTTTTAATCTATGGTAACCGTGCTTCGTGTTTCGCTCCAATCTTTTACCTGTGTTCTTAAGGGTCGCTGGAACAGGATGGACACTCCACATCAGTTTGAACCGGTGGATGTTTCTGGTAAGGGGTTAATTAGTATTTTTGAATATATGCGTTGGTTTTAGTTGTTGGAAACATTTAGGCTTGGCAAACTGTTTCAGGCTTATTACGTAATATTTAGGCTTATAACTAATTATTTAGGCTTATCAGACAATTTATAGGCTTATCTAGTAATACTTAGGCTTGCAACGCAAATTTAGCCTTATCACACAATTTCAGGCTTAGCAACACATATTTTAGGCTTAGCACGCACACATTTTTAGGCTTATCAGCATACATTTTTAGACTTAGCAGCACACATTTTAGGCTTATTACATCATGTTTAGGCTTATCAGTACAAATTTTAGGCTTAGCACCACACATTTTAGGCTTAACGGCACAAGTTTTCTAGGCTTATATTTTACTTTCAGGCGTCCGAAAGCAGTATTTGAATGCGGCCGAGCCCTACTTCCTGGAGCAAAACTGCTCCACAGATCCGTTCCATCAGTTCCACGTCTGGTTCTCCAATGTTCTACAGCAAAGTAACATCACGTACGAAGAGATGAACGCTGTGTGCTTGTCGACTTGTGTGTAAGTTAATGTATTTTTATTTTAAATGGTATTTTTTTAATTTTTCTCGTTTTAAATGGTAACTTTTGTTTATATTGTTACCTGAAATAACAAGTTTTATTCAGTTTATTACCTAAAATAGCTTGTTTTTATGTTTATTGAGTTATCTCGTCTACATTATGTATTTGATCGTATTTTACAACCATTTTTACTACGATATTATAAAAGTTACAGTGGTTCATCAGGTGAAAGTTACAGTAGTATACCAGAAAAAAGTTACAGTACTTCATTTTGCAAATATTTTAGGAATAACAAGCCTTCGTCTCGTATGGTGTTGATGAAGTCCTACAACGATACTGGATTCACATTTTATACCAATTCCTGTAGCAGAAAAGGCCAAGAAATTGCGGCCAATAACAATGGAGCCATGATGTTCTACTGGCCGTTTGTTAATCGACAGGTATGATTTTCAATTTGTTTTGGTTTTTTAGTTTGGTTACTGTAGGTATAAATGACAGAGTAGGGTAAGGTAGGGTAGAGTATTGAAAGCTAGAGTAGGGTAAGGTAAGGCATGACAGGGTAGGGTTAGGGTACATTAAGGTAGTACAGTGTAGGGTAAAGTAGGCCTGCGAAGGGTAGGGTAGAGTATGACAGAGTAAAGTTACCTTTTCAAGACAGACTTATTAATGTTTACTGTAGTATAATATAAAAATGATTTCTGTAATTAAATTTTTTCAGGTCAGAATCGAAGGCACGATAACCGAAGTGGCTCCAGAAGAAGCTACGAAATACTGGGATTCAAGACCAACTCACAGCAAAGTTGGCGGATCAATCAGTAACCAAAGTCAAGTGGTCGAGAGTCGGCAGGTAAAAAAATATTTATTTTTCAATTTAAAAAATGAAATTTTGAAAAAATTTTTTAATCAAAATTTTTTTCAAATTTTTTTTAATTTTATAATTTTAGTTCGTATTTTACACAAATTTCAGGTCCTAGAAGACCGTCGCCGAGCACTGGACGAGAGGGTCAAAGCTGAAAGTGAGCAAATCCTGGTCAAACCTCAATCTTGGACCGGCTACACCCTGAAGCCAAATTACTTTGAGTTCTGGCAAGGACAATCGGACAGAATCCATGACAGACTCAGATTCAAACTTCAGGAAAACCAGTGGATTCGGGAGAGGATTCAGCCTTAAACAGTACTTTATCTTGTAATTTATTATCTTTTTAACTAGTCTTTGTATCAGAAAACAGTGATTGAAGTAGCTACCGGTAGTTTAATTAGTTAAAATGGTGCTATTGTTGTTTATGTAGTATAAAATGGCATTTTAAGTGTTGGTTAAATCTAAAATTTTTGTGGTCTGATCTGCTATTGTAACTAATAGTTTAGGTAATAGAAAATGAGTTTTTTAAAAATACTTTTAACAGAATTGTACGCATTCAAATTATTTTGAAGATGTTTTTGTAAATTAATTCTTGCCAATTCCTAACTTAACACCAATAAATCCTATATTATACTCACATTTTGATGTTAATATCACCTAACCTTCAAAAAACTCTAAATTCACATAAATCCACTCAATATATCTCAACATTTTATTTTACAAAGATTAGCGAAACAAAAAATAATAAAAAGACACTAAATTGGAAGCATCTATCAAAAACAATAAGATATAACAAATACAAAAGCCGTTTCAAAACATTCAAAATATATGAAAAGAAGATCCCGTTTGACGAACTCATGAATATAGAAGATGAAGATATATTTTCTCAGTCAATAAATCAACAATTTAACATTCGAACTTGTGTGGAGTGGCACTGCCTTGCTTGGATTGCGAGTCCGCGTGGCTTTCGTACTTGATTTTTCGATTATGAATAAACTGTGGATGTGATTCTTCCCATACTTCCCGCAGAATTGTCCTGAAATGATCAAGTTGTTATTACAAATGTTTAGCTTGACTATTTTAAAGCAAAAAGGCACTACTTCTATATTATCCATGCTCTATAGCGCATAAAACAACTGATAAACTAAAAAATTATAAAGATATTGCTTCACATACTCTAAAATACCATAAATAAACAATAGAAAACTTTCCAAACATTTCCTTTTAATAAAAAACATCATTTTTCAATCATGATGAATATAATACACCTCTTGCAAAAAGTATTTTAAAGCCCCAAAATGCCTAAAATTATACAAAAAATTAAAAAACATACCCAATGCATTTGTTAACTTCCATTTCAGCAGCTTTTGACGTCCATAACGTAATCTTCGAGCCCTTTTGTCTGATGTTACAGACTGCCCCACATACTGAAGAAGTGTACTCCCGAAACCGGTTTCCAATTAGAGCCACCAACAACCTCTCCCACAGTTCATTCAGACAGTCTAGTTCACTCTTTTGAATCTGAAGTAGAAGCCATTAGTTTAAGTTACAGCTTATTATTCTGACTTTTAATTATATTACTTTAGCTCCTTGATGCCAAAGGTTAACATCACAAAAAAAGATAACCCAAACCAAGCAAAAACTTTTCACATACCTGTAGCACTAACCTCCCTCCATCTTTGTTCTCATCAACCTCCCATACCGGTTGAACGTTGTCCCTGAATAGCGCGTAATCACAGTTGAACATGGCTGAAGGCGGCCTGATATGATCCATCAACCTAAAGCCAGAATTCAAACAAAAACAAGTTTAACCTACGCCCAGAAGCTCTCCACACTCTCAATCTGACAAACATCGTGTAACCTGGCCAGCCAATCCAAGTTTTTCTTAGCGTCCAAGTACCAAAAGTGCCACACATCCTTTAGTGGAAAAGAATGGTTAAGTACGGAGTCGGCCGAGATCAATGGTCCTTGAGACTAAACAACAAGAATCCTTAGTTTCTCCAAAAAGTGTTCTTATAGAATTTTTTTAAATAATCGAAAAATTTTAGATAATAAATCGATTTTTTGATCAACGCCCCAGAAGAAGTGCCTAAACCAACAAAAACGGCGTCATATCAGCTCAATATAACATTCATAGTCTTGAAATCCAAAGGAAAAAGAAAGAAAACACCAACTTACGTCTACAGAATCGTTTCCATCCTCGATTTCTTCTTCAGGTTGCGGAGTTGGAGCTATTTGAGCTTCGACAGCACTCATTTTCGTGTTGATGGTTGAGTTTTTGAAATAAAAACTGAAAACAGCACCACCGGTTACCTCTGAGACGAATATACTAAATTTCACGAAAAAACAAGCGCGGAATTTGCATAAAATCAAATATTTTTTGACCGAAATATTTCGGACATTACGTGTTTTGTACCGTATTTTAACAGAACGCCACAAACCGGCCTTGTCCCGCCGCGAAAACAATGAAGCGCCAATGATGATTTCTTTTTTGTGTGGAAAAATAAATTGTTGTTGAACTTGGTGAATACTGTTTTACAACAATGTTCCGTAACCAATACGACAGTGATGTGACTGTATGGAGTCCTCAGGTAAAGGTTTTGTTGTTGTTTCTGTTATACGTTTAGATTTAGGTGGTATCAAGGAGAAAAGAACGATTTTCGAAGGACTTTCTTTGTTTTTTTGGTAGCTAAAAGTTAAATGCAAGCTTTAAAAATATTTTCTTTTACTAAAATAGTATGAAGTGAAACTTTTAATGCTTGAGATAATTTTATGTTGCTTTAGGGACGTCTGCATCAAGTCGATTATGCTGTGGAAGCCATGAAACAAGGTTCTGCGACCGTGGGGATCAAGAGTAACACACATGCTGTTCTGGTAGCCTTGAAGCGAGCAGCCAATGACTTGTGTTCTCATCAGAAGAAGGTTTACGAGCTGGACAAACACGCTGGAGTTTCGATTGCTGGTCTTTTGTCTGATGGTCGTATTTTAGCGTAAGTTAATATTATTTATGATTTTTATGTGTTTAGACGTTTTCTCCAGACTGAGTGCTCTTACTGGCGATGGGACTACAAAGAACCAGTGCCAATCCAGGTTTTGAACAACAGGATCCAGCTCAAACTTCAAGCCAACACTCAGTATTATGGTAGACGGCCTTTCGGTGTTGGAGTTGTTCTTGCCGGTTATGATGTGAGTTGAAAGTTTTTCGTTGTTTTTATGTTTTAGTAGGTGATTTAGAGTATGAAGAAGCGTAAAAGTAAGATTTGAATTAATTTTATCTATGTTTTAGAGAAATGGCACACATATTGTCAGAACAGACCCATCTGGAGAAGTTGTTGAATGTTTGGCCGCATCTATTGGAGCCAGATCTCAAAGTGCTCGAACATATCTTGAAAAGAACCTCGACAAGTTCAAAGCATGTAAGTTAAATTGTAATTTAAAATTTTTAAGTGTTTTAGCAAGAGTTATGTTATGTTATACATCTCCAGACTCAATCCTTATTTGAATAAGTTTACTGTGAAAATTTAAAAGTTATATAGTTTTAACAAAACATAAAAATTTAAATTTCAGCTACGCTAGACCAGTTGATTGAACACGCCTTGTTGTCATTGAGAGACACCTTACCTAACGAAGACACCTTGACCATGAAGAACACGTCGATTGCTATTGTCGGCAAAAACCAGCCATTCAAAGTGATGGATGACGAAGAAGTAGCCCCATACCTAAGTAAAATCAAAACTGTTGCACCTCAGCCTGAGGCTGCTCAATAATTTATGTTTAATTTACCTAAAATAAATCGTATGTAATTATTTTATGTGAAGTATTAGCTAGTAATATACGGCTTTCAATTTGGTACTTGCATTTTTGTAGGGTTTACTTGAATTGGTTGAAAGTTTGGAAATTGAGGGCGGGGTGAAAACGGTGCTTTAAAGTTAATGCAAACGTTTCTTTCGTATAAAACAGGATCGCGGTCTGCAAAAGCCAGGACGCAGCCGGTCATGTATCCCGCGTAAAATATTTCGTAAAAATAATATTTCGAGGTTGAAAACAAGGTGAGATGACGTTAATCACCCTTACCCGTGTATCTGAACCTACTCAAGGCGTTCGCCATGAACATACACAGACAAAGTGTGTCTGGGATGACCAGAACTTTGGTATTGGCACGTTGTACATCACAGAAAGGTAAAATTTTGTGGTTTATGTGAGATTTCTCGGGGAAAAGCTTGTGTTTCTTTTAGATTTTTTTAAAATTCGTATTTTCTATTGTTCTGGGTTTAAAAATACCGGTTTTAGTGTTGTTGTATGGATCAAAGATGGTTCTGAAGCTGGATTTACATTGACTTATCAATCGATTGGTGTTTACGGCCAGACCTCTTCGAACGACCCGGATCAAGCTTTGTTCATGGTGGTGGATCTCAACAGAACAGGTAGGAACGTTTGATTTATTAATTTATGTGTTTAGATGTTCAAATTGCAAAACAAGCTAATGGAGAAGCTGAGGAGAACGATGAAGAAGATGAAAACCCTACAGCGTCTGTCAGATTCTTCCCAGAAGATCCAACAAGCTGTAAGTTGATTAAAATATTGTGATTTTATTGTTTGATATGTTTAGCTTAGTTTTGTCAGTTTTAAAGGCTATTTATTGGAACTTCTTTCAATTTCTTCATGGATAATATAAGATTTTTAATATCTTTTGTCAAAACTTCAATTGAATCGTTGAAATTCTTTATGATGACATTTTTTTTCACTATATTACTTTGCTACTTTATTATTAACTTGTTTTTAGTACCATTCCTCTTGTCAATTCTTCAAGAATGCCAAGCTTTGAACCCGGACCCAGAAGATGATCAAGCTGATGATTATGGAGAGCACATCTTGATGGAGGGCAACATTAGTGACCTTCAAGCTTCTGGAGATTGGTATACACATGAGACGATGGACGATGAGGTCCAGTTATCAGAGCAAGGTCGTGAGAACTTGGAGAGAATTGTTGGGACCTTGAACATTGGTATGTTAACATACTTTTTGATGTTTTTATTCTTTTTTTGTTGGGTTGAAGGATTGATTTTTATGTCACACAGTAGACAATTAAGTATTCTTTGATACTTATTGAAAGGAACTTAAAATTTGGGAGTGTAATATATAGTTTTGACTAAAACGAAGTAGTTAATCATGACCGAAAAGGTTATTTTTGATTATTACTCCTTAATTTTTAAAGTTTCTATAGTTGATTTTGGTATAGAAAGATAGCAAATTTACTGTGTTATACTGTTCAACAAAGTAAATCTAACATTTCTACTGATAAACTTTATTTTCAGACCAAAATGGAGGTGACCAAGACCAATCCCGTGAGCATTTCATGGAAGAAGACTAAGCACGAGCCAAATTAATTATTTCCTAATCTTCAAACCCCTAATTTATGCTTATCTTGTTACGTTGTACTTTTTTCAAAGTATTAAAGTTTAATTTCTGAAACTTTTTGAGGGTTTACTATGTTGTAGTTGGCTATGGTTTTTATAAAACTTTTATAACTTTTGGTGGTAATTATCAATTTTGAAAAGAAGGGAAGCAGTGAAGGAGTTTGAAATGGCGTTTATGGCCAGGGTGTGGCGGCTGAGATATTTTTTTGGGCGGGGAGCGAATGGACAAAAAAAATTTTTTCGAAAATGTTGAACTTGGTCCCCCCTGTCAATTTTTACAGAATATAACATTTTTTTGATTTCTCTGCTCTTTCTAGACTATTATGGTCCTCCAGGCATTGACCATGGTTTTCAACTTCAAAATTTTTATTTTTTCGACCGGTCGATAATTTTCAGTCGATTTGAAATTCGAAAATCACTCATAAAACTCAAAACTTATCCATAAACTTAAATTATTACCCAAAAACTGTTAAACCCATATGTTACAAGCCGTTTTCCCAATATTGTAGTTTGAATTGTCAATTATTAGGTAACGATAAACCCCCGTGTTCATTTGCCTTTATTCGATTAAATTTCGTCGCTGGAAACGGGACCGGTTTGTAGCCAAAAAGCGAGCGCAAACAAAAATTTTGTTCATTGATTAACGTTTTGTTTGTTATTGTATTATTCGAGAGTTGGGGGGTCAGAACAAGGGGATTACGGTAATTCGCTTGTTGTTTCGACAATGCAATGTTCGTAACGGTGTTTAGGTGGTTGATGGAAGTGGAAGGGGTTTTGAAATTGCGAATTTTGGGTGGAAAATGGGTTTTTGAGGGATTTTAAGGTTGTTTTTAGTGTTTTTGTAGTGGACTTTCAATATTTTTAGTTGCTTTTGAATGATTTTTGGACTTTTGATAACTTGTTAACCATCTTTTAAGTTCAGCATATAATTTTTAAATTAGCGGAGAATTTCCAGGCTTATCACACGATTAGAACTTTCTTACTACACGATTTAGGCTTACAACTAAATTTTAGGCTTGGAAAACAAGTTTTGGTTTAGAACACAAATTTTACGCTTATAACGCAATTTTTAGGCGTAGCACACAATTTTAGGCTTAGCTGAAAATTGTTAGGCTAAGCACATGCTTTTTAAGCTTAGAACAGCTTATTTAGGCTTAAGAAAGGATTTTAGGCTTAGACCACAATTTTAGGTTTAGCACACAACTCTTATGCTTAGAATACAATTTTAGGCTTAGCACACAAATTTTATTAGCATAGAATATTTAGGCTTAGAACGTAATTCTAGGTTTAGAACAAAATTATAGACTTAGCAAGCAATTCCTAGGCTTAGCAGGGAGCATTCAGGTTGGGCACACAGTCTTAGGCTTAACAATAGATATTTAGGCTTATCACGTGAATTCAAGGTTATCCGTGGAAATTTAGGCTTATCACAAAAGTTTTTAAGCATTCCACTAAATTTTAAATTTATCAGTCTACTTTTGGACCTCATTTTTAAGCTTAACATAGAAGTTTTAGGCTTAGCAGAGGGTATTCAGTCTTGGCACTTAATCTTAGGCTTAGAAGTGGATATTTAGGCTTAACGCGTAATTTTAGGCTTAGCTCATTATTTTAGTCTCTGAACATTATTCTTTTGAGATAATTCTTTTGTGATTTGTTGTTTATTACCTTGCTTAGAAGGTCAGACACGAAACATGTTTGCCGAACAGACTACAGTTATTTTTAAATTTGAAATTCTATAATAAACCAGCGGTAGTTTGGCGGATTGTTTACTAAAATCGGCGAGGGTGGGGAACATCAATGACGTAAAATTTGTTGAAAATCATTTAAAAACTTTTGCATTTTGAAAAATGTTTAAAATGCTTTGGTGAGCAGTGCCGGAGGGTTTATTTTTATGTGGTAAAAGGCTAAAAACTGGAGAGGAGGAAGAGCTAGGCCTGTAAAGAGGCCGGGCCGCGTTTAGGCGAGAGTTTTGCCTTGTGCGTCCGGTCCGGACGGTTTTGATTTTTGAATTCATTTTTCCCACCAAACTCATATCTCGAAAACTATGTTAGACATCAAAAAACTAACAGCATCTACAAGGGTCAGCACCATTCCGAATAGGGGGTTGGGAAAAGTTTCAGAACGATGTGACCGGTAGGAAAAAAGCGCGGGAAAACAAAATTCAAATTCCGGACTCCCGCGTTGGGTCCGATCCGGGGAGAACTCTGGCTACGGCGCTTGGGCCTACATGTTCCAGCTTGGCCATGCTTTTTCAAATTTGTTTTTGCTCGCGCTTTGCGTGGCAGGCCCTTTTTTAGGTTTAGCAGGGAGCAGTTTAGCCATTTTTTCAATTTGCTTGATTACCAAAAAAAAATATTTTTTGAAGTTGAAAACTTGCAAAAGCAACACACCTTATGATTCAATTTGTTTCTTTAGTGTAAAGTTGTGGTTTTACTTTCATAATAAGGTTTTAAACTGCCAAAAAGTGCAGAAGTCGTTTTACAGTGATTGATCTTTGATGGGAGTGTAATGTAAATTCTTTGTTATCATTTTAAGCTTGCTTAGCCTGAAGTTCTTTACTAAGCTTAAACATGCTCTGCAAGCCTAAAATCCTGAAGTATGCCTGAAAATTGTGGATTAAACCTAAGGTTGTGTTATTAGGCTTAGCAAGCTGTGATAAGCCTAAAACTTGTGTGATAAGGCTAGAAGTTGCGTGTTAAGCCAAAATGTTGTGTGCTAAGCCTAAAAATTCTGTTCTAAATCAAAAAATCCTGCTCTAAGCCTAAAATCGTGTGGTAATTGTAAAGAAACGTTGCAAGCCTAAAAATTGTGTGATAAGCCTTAATATTGAACGCGAAGCGTAAGATATTGTGCTAAGCCTGAAACTTGTGTTTTAAGCCTAAAAATTCTCTGATAAGCCTAAAAGTTGGTTAAGTCTAAGTATCCTTTGTCAAAACAGGAAATTCTGATAAGCCTACGAGTTTTTTCTAAGACTAAGAGTCTTTTATAAGCCTGAAAGACCTTCTTAAGCCTAAAGGTTTTTATTAAGCCTGAGAGCGTTTTATTGTGCCTAAGAGTCTTTTTTATATGGTTAAGGGTCTTTTTTAATCATAAGGGTCTTTTCTGTGGCTAAGGGTCTTTTTTCTAAGCCTAAGGTTCTTTCCTAAGCTTAAGAGCCTGTTCTATGCCTAAGAGTCTATTTTCTAAGCCTAAGAGACTTTTTTACGTTTAAGACCTATTTCTAAGCCTAAGCGCCTGTTCTATGCTTGAGAGCCTATTTTCTAAGCCTAAAAATCTTTTCCAAGCCTAAGAGCTATTTCTAAGCCTAAGAGCCTGTTCTACGCTTGAGAGTTTCTTTTCTAAGCCTAAGAGCCATTTCTAAGCCTAAGAGTCCTTTTAAACTCTAGGGCCCTTTTTTAAGCCTAGAAGAGCTGTGCTAAGCCTTTCTGCATTTCTAAGCCTAAGAGTCTCTTCTAGGCCTAGCAGCCTTTTCTAAGCCTGAGAGTCTTTTTTAAACTCTAGGGTTCTTTCTAAGCCTAGAAGAACTGTGCTAAGCCTTTATGCGTTTCTAAGCCTAAGACTCACTTTTTTAAGCTTAGGCGCTTTACTAAGCCTAAAAGATTTTTTTAAGTCTAAGCGCCTTTTTTAAACTTAGAAGTATTTTATAAGTCTAGAATTACAGTGTTAAGCCTACAGAAACGGGTAAATATAAAAAAGTAACATAATATCCTAAAAGTACCATTATAGGATAACAAACAGTGAAATCGCTTGCAACTTATATAATGACATTGGGAATTCGCCTCGCTGCTTCCTCATGACCATCAAAGTTATTTAAGCGCGTTTACTTTCCTTCGTGACGGAAATTACTCCAATTTCTGGTTTATACGATACGTTATTACGCCCGTTACAGTGTAATAGTGGGAAGGGATCGTATTTGAATGCTATTTGATTTTATGATATGTTTTTCAACGTTTTTACTATATGTTATGTTATGGTTTTGTAAGAGGATATGATTTTTAAAGAATATGTAATAATAAGTTTTGGAAGTTAGGGAGAGAGAGCGGAGGGGGGGAGGGGGGGGAGGATAAGGAAAGACTACCCGGATGGAAAAGTTAAGGTACGATGACAGTTTTTGGTCTTACCAGAGAAGTTTAGGCTTAGAATAGCGTATATAGGCTTAGTACACACATTATAGGCTTACCACAGACGTTTAAACTTAGAACACACTTGTTAGACTTACGGCAGAAGTTTAAGCTTAGGAAAGAGTATTTAGGTTTAGGACAAACTTTTTAGGATTATTACAGGCGTTTAGGCTTAGAATAGCATATTTAGGTTTAGCTTACTCTTTTTAGGCTTATCACGGAAATTTAGGCCTAGAAGAGAGTATTTGGGCTTATGACACACTTTTTAGGCTTACCGGACTGTTTTTAGGCTAACCACACAATTTTATAGTTTAGTATGGGATTTTTAGGCTTAGAAAACATTATTTATTCTTACTACTTATTAGGCTTATAGCACAATTTTAGGCCTATCGTTCAATTTTTAGGCTTACTATTTAATTTTTCGGTTTAGCAAATATTTATTAAGCTTAACACACAATTTTTAGGTTTAACACTGAGGTTTAGGTTTGGAAAATCAGTCTTTTGGTTTAACTTAAAAGTCTTAGGCTTAATCTATAAATTATATAGGCTTAAAAATTAATAATTAAATTTTGTGAAGAATTTTTAGCCTTAACATTAGCCATAATTTTTTAGGTTTATATTACCTTACTTTACGTTATTTTGTGGCTATATTACTCTTTAAAATCAAAACTTTTTGCTAAACTTAATATTTCTAGCTAGCCAAACACATTGTTGCCAATTCATAATGCAGCCACCAGGCTGGAGTCGAATATTATGGTTGTTATGGCCGCTTATCGCAACGTATACCAAAGCTCAAGTAATAACTCAAAATGTGGCTCGAATTCAATCGTATACGAACTATGGTCAACATGATAGTCAAGGGTCATCATTACTGTCATTTATGCAATTGGTACGACAGCGGTCAGCTGGGAATCAGATTCAACAGGTAAGGGGAATATTTTTGTCTCGCTTCCTTAAGATTTTAAAATTTTTTAGTAAGCAGGTAGGGTAGGGTAGGGTAGGGTAGGGTACGGTAGGGTAGGGTAGGGTAGGATAGGGTAGGGTAGAGTAGGGTAAAGTTGGGTACGGTAAAATAGGGTGGCGTAAGGCAAGCTAGAGTTAGGTAATGTTTAAAATGTATATGTAAAACCCATTTATAAAACTACCTTACTCAAACTTTTTAAAATTTTCGTAAAACCTCCTATGAGCAAAACACTTTTCTAAAATTAAACTCCCCCCCCCCTCTCAATTTTAAAAAAATTATTTTTTTTTGTAAAATACGTTGTTTGCACTTGTGATGAAAATTGTAATTTCAGTGCCCATGTGTCCACTTACCAGGCTCAGACAAGTGCATCACATACGATTCTCGGTTTCAAGCTGTCAGTATCGAAGAAGCTATGATATCCTTCGTTGATCAGACCATGAATGGGTATAATACTCGGAATAGTGCTAGTAATGTTATTGTGAGTTTGAAATTTTTATTTTTTTTTTAAATTTAAATTACGAAAAAAAAATTCTTAATTTTTCAGTCAGGAGCTACATTCGCCTGTTCTACCCAAGAATGCCGCCAATGTGTTGCCATTTTGGCTGTGAGGTTACGTCAAATTGGTATCTTGAGACGACCTTTAGCGTTCCCGTTCCCTGTACCAACAGCAGACCAGATAGTACCATCACTGTGTCCTAGGCTAAGGCTTAGTCGAAGTCATTTTGTAAGTCACCCTACCCTACCCTACTCTTTCCCTACTCTACTCTACCCTACCGTATCTTATCTAACCTTACCGTATCCTACAGTACAGTACCGTACTCTACCCTACCCCACCGTTCAATCCTACCCTACCCTAATTTTCCTAAACTTTAGGTACCCACGCCTTCAGCCACAGTCCCATGGGCGGTGACGGCCATTTCCAACGCCGCCGGCATAAGAGCGGCCGTTTCTGCGCGTCCGCGGACGCCGTTCCACGCGCAGGTCGAACAAGTACGTAAGTGGCTAGCTGCCAATCCCAATTTTTGTGGTTTTAGCGGCTTAATGAACAGCGTGCTGCTCGTGGACTGCCATTGATAACGTCGGTGATTAGGACTAGTGGTACACATGACGCGTCAGTTGGTACTGGTGGAGGTGGTACTGGTAAAACTGGCAGTACTGGTGCAGGTGGTGCTGGCGGAGGAAGTGGTGGTACTGGTGCAGGTGGTGCTGGTCGAACTGGCAGTACTGGTGCTAGTGGTGCGGGCGGAAGAGGGGGTGGTACCGGTGGCTCATTTGGTGCTGGAAGTGGTGGAAGAGGACAAGGATCAGGCCAAGCTGGTACTGGTGGTTCTTTTGGCACTGGTGGTACAGGAGGCTCTGTTGGTACAGGTGCTGGGGGTTTTGGCACTGATGGTACAGGAGGCTCACTAGGTACTGGTGGCTTTCCTGGCAGTGGTAGAGGACAAGCTGGTCAAGGTGGATCTATTGGTACTGGCGGTGCAGTTGGTCGAGGTCCAAATAATGGTCAAGGTGGCCGTGGAGGTCTAACTCGAGGTCAAGGGACGTCCGGAAATGGCCGCTCTGGTCAAGTCACGTCTGGTGGTAGAGCTGGTACAGGTGGTCAAGGTGGTACCGGAGTTCGAACAGGCGGCCAAGGTGGCGCTGGCTTTGGAGGCCAAGGTGGTACTGGCTTTGGAGGTCAAGGTGGTACTGGGAACCCTACTAGTGGTCAAATTACTGGTCGAGGTCAAGCCCAATTCAACGGTCAAGGTGGTCGTATTGGTACTAATATTGGTACTAATGTTGGTGGTCGTACAGGTACCAATATTGGAGCCAACATCGGTTCTAATATTGGTGGTGCTGCTGGTACTAATATCCGTGGAAACGGTGGTACTAACTTTGGTACGAACCCTGGTGGCCCTATCAGTACCAATTTTGGCGGAGATGGCATCCGCACCGGCGGAGAAGCATCAATCCCACCCCGTGCTCAGATCCCAAATTTCCAGCCCAGACCAATCCAAGTACAGCCAGCTCAATCGCCCGCGCCACGATTTCCGAACATACCTCGACAAACGTTCCAGCCTCAGTTTCAACAGCCTCAACCTCAGTTTCAACAACCTCAACCTCAAGTTCAACAATTCCAGCCTCAGGTCCAGCAATTTCAGCCTCAGGCACAACAGTTTCAACCTCAATTTCAACAAAGCTTTCAACGTAAGTTTATACATAAGAACTTTCTTTACAAAACAAAAATGGCAATAACTTTCTTTGCAAAGTCAGAAATTGCAAGAACTTTCTTTACAAAACCAAAAATGGCAAGAACTTTCTTTAAAAAACAAAATGGCAAGAACTTTCTTTACAGAATAATAAATGGCAAGAAATTTATTTCCAACCTCTATATTTCAAATTTAAATTTTCAGCTCAGCCCTTTAACCCGCCCTTTGGCCAACAAGGCTTCGACCCATTGATCGGCCGACAGATCGGTCGAGGAGTGATCGACGCCGTCCAAGGTGGTCTAGGCGCCTCTTCAGCTGGTACACCTTTCAATACTGGCGGATTCGGAGTCAGTCCAGCCCCAGCGGAACCAGCTGGTGGTTTTGGTGCACCTGGTGGTGGTTTTGGTACACCTGGTGGCGGCTTTGGTACTGGTGGTACTGGGGGTTTCGGTAGTGGTGGCTCGGGCGGATTTGGCATTGGAATTGGCGGTGGAGGGGGTGGATCAGGTGGTGGGAATAACAATGTTGGTGCTGGACTGAGTGGTGCACTTGGTGGATTTAAGAAGAGAACCAAACGAGAGGTGAAGCCGCAGATTTTGGGTAAGAGTTAACCTTGAGATGGCTTTTTTTACAGTATTACCTAATAATTACAGTATTCTTTTACTTTACAGTAACTTTTGAAAGCTACAATACGTTTTTGTTTTAAAATTTTATCTAAAATTACAGTATGATGTCATTTTACAGTACTATCTAAAATTACAGTATGCTTTCATTTTACAGTAACTCCTTCATGTTACAGTACATTTTTGTGATTTCCAGGCGAAAGATTTGTCATAAATTGTATTGAGAAGGGCGATGCTGAAGACGAAGATGCTGACTTCCTCAGCTTATGCACATTATGTTGGACTTGGCGACAGTTGCCCGAAGACTACTTCCCTCGACTGGTCAATGAAATGGTTTGCCAGGAAAACGAGTTTTGCTTGTCTGGTAGGTTTATACATAGGTTTATGTATTTATAGGACAGGGCTGAAGAAAGGGCAATGTTAGACTAGAGCTATTGTAAGGGTTGGAAGGCTTTCCAGGGAATATTCGGGCTTAGCACACAACTTTAGGTTTAGCGTAGAATGTTTAGGCTTAGCAGAGATGATTTAGGCTTACCACGCAATTCTAGGCTTAGAAAGAATATTTAGTCTTAGCACGCAACTTTAGGCTTAGGAAAGAACATTTAGGCTTAGCAAAGAAGATTTAGGCTTAGGAAAGAATATTTAGGCTTAGAAAAGAATATTTAGGCTTAGAAACAAATATTTCGGCTTAGCAGAGAAAATTTAGGCTTAGTAAACAATATTTAGGCTTAGAAAAGAATATTTAGGCTTAGCCCAGCATTTTTTGACTTAGCAAGCATTTTTAGGCTTAGAATAGAATATTTAGGCTTATTACGCAAAATTAGGCTTAGAGCTGACAATCTTAGGCTTAAAATTGCTAGAAAGCAATTTCTAGGCTTAGGGAAAAGTTTTTTTCAATTTTGTTACCTAAAATTTTTTCCTTTAAGGCTGGGGAGAATGCCATCAACGCTACCGCAACATGGACGTTTTGCGACGAGTCAACGGCGACTGGCGCCCAACAACAATAACAACCGCGAGTTGTTGTGATTGCAAAGTGAAGGCAGGCTCAGAAGCCCACGCCCTGGTGGTGGGCGAGAACATACGAACATAATCTCATGGTACATACGACACATCTCACAAAATTCTATTTTTCGTATTTTACAAAGCTATTAAATTATCGAATTCTATTGATTATATCGTATATTATCGATTATTTCGTATTTTATTTATATTAAGCTTGGTTTTTTAATCGTAATTTAAAGTTTTGACCATTCTTTAACGTAAAATACCAAATAAAGTAAAGAATTCATCGATAAACCCTGTTATCGGCAGTTTTGAAGCCATTAGACTTGTAGGTATTGAAAATATGAAAGAAAAATTAGTGTTGCCATTCATTTTATTACCTAAAATAAAACCTATAACTTCATTTTTATCAATCCCAAGTTAAAAATTGTTCTCAAAACAGATTGCCGAAGGACAAGAGACAAGTGTCCTCGCAAGAATCTAAAAATGTGCCAAGTCTTTCTTTGTTGCAAGATTTGGGATTTTAGATTCATGGATAAGTTTTTCGATGTTATTTCGAAAAATTGTATTTAAAATTACATTAAAGTTTAAGTAAAAAGGTTAACAAATGTTTTAACGACATGGTTTTTAAGCAACTTTTATAAACTGTAACGGTTTTTGAGGTTTTTTCTTGTTTTGAATGTCTTTGACTATAACATAATATCGTTTATTACATTTTTTCGGTAATGTTGCTTGAATAGCTATTAATTTTTTGTATTGTAGACTTTTCCATGCTCTACTAACTCTGTAACAAACCAAAATGGACAGTGAGTTATTTTATTTTTGATTTTTACATTTTAGGTATCTATGATAACATAAAACTGAATGTTGCGCTGTAATTTGATGTTTTTTTTACTTAAAAGTTGGAAAATGGTTTGGGGTAGATGGTAAACAGTAATTTGTTGGAGAATGTGTGAATATTCTTATGTAATTTGACATTTTGTAGGTAACAATGATGAAGATACCCAGACCTCAGGGATTTTTTCAAATTCTGGAAATGCCAGCGTTGTGGTGAAGTCTATGTTGCAGTCAATTGAAAATGTGAGTTTTTACTTTTATTTTCTTATGTATTTAGGGTCAAAGCTTTAAAGATTCAGTATTTATGGCCAAGTTATCTTAACCATGGTATGATTTCATCGCAAAATATAAAAAGGAGCTGTTTATCTTTAAATTTGTCACTTTTCAGGATTCCTTTAATTTTTCGTCATTATCAGACATTTGGGGAGATAATGAACAGAAACCGTTGACTTCGTTGAAGTCAGAACAGTCATTGTTCAGCTTCGAAGATTATTCATCAGACAAGGAAAATTGTTTCGATCAGCGATCGTATGCGGCTTGTTCGGTAAGTTTTTGAGATTTAAGTAATAAAAATAATTAAAAACTGATTTTTTAAGGAGATATACATTTTTTTAAATTGAAGTTAATAGAAAAGTGAGGCTTTATTTATATTATCTATGATGTAATGAGATTATTTGTCATTTTAGACATCTGGAAGCCAAGAATACCGAGCTAAATGGTCGGAGCTGCAGGACAATAACAATTATGACAAATTAAATCAGTAAGAAAAAGTTTTTCATTTAATTTGGAAGTTTTAAAAATTAAAAATTTTTTTTTCGAAAAATGAAATTTCTAAAAAATTTAAAAAACGAAAAAACTAGCATAAATGACATTTTTTAACATATTTCATCAAAAAATGATATTTATGACGCTTAATTTCAGAGAACGAGCCTTGAGATTACCAGATTTGACCAATAAGACTCCGCTACGGCCGCGGACCGGGACTTTCGGCCGGAAAATTGAGTTGAAATCTAATCATTTTGAGCTGAAGTTGCCAAGAACTGAAGGTTTTCATTATAACGTCGAGTTTTTTGTAAAAGGATTGCCTAAATATATGAAACGGTGAGTTCTTTTTACCTATTTTGGAGGTTTTCTGAGCGGATTCGAACTTTTGATTTTTGACTTTTTCAAATAATCGTAACTTTTTTGACAAAGTAGGTATGGAGTTGAAATCTTGAGGGTAGATGCGTCTTTTTATGCTTTTTAAGTTGTGTTAATTTGATTTTGTGTCGCAATTTTAAAAAGTTGTTTTTTTTCAATTTTAACTAATTTTAGGGCCATTTTTGACAAAATCATCCAAGTCAACTCGAAGCTTTTTGTCAAAAATCAAACTGTTTTTGATGGAATCCAATCCTTGTACACAAAAAACGTTCTAGACTGGATTGAAGGAGATGGTGCGATTTTATCGACCGGTCAATTCATGTTCAACAATCGCAAAGACTGCTTCAATGTGGCAATCAAGTTCGAAGAAAAACTTTCATTTAAAGACTTGGATGGGGTTTTTGCAAGTCGAATCTCGATGGTTAGACGCGAAATACCACGGAATGTTCAATTGGCGGTCGATAAAATCATGCGAGCCAAGGGCAATTTGAAATATGCGACCGTTGGTGACATGTTCTACGAAAAACGAGCCGAAGCCGTGACTTTGTTGGGCTTGGGAAGAGAGTTGTGGTACGGATTCTATCAACTTGCTATGCCGATTGAAAGGAGTTTATCTATTAATATTGATTGTAAGTTTTTTTTCGAAAAATATAGGGAAAGTGAGTGTTTTAGGTGATAAAAGGTATAAAAACGTGGATTTTGAGGTAATTTAGGTAATAAATATTAAGAACAGGCTATTTTTGATTAAGGAAAAGACTAAAGAAAGATTTTTTGGTCTAAAATTACGCTGAAAATACGGATTTTGGTCTAAAAATAGATGGAAAACTTTATGTTTGTAGTAATTTAGGTAATAAATTTTTAAGAAAAAGCATTTTGTTGTCAGAGATTAGGTAAAAAAAGTCATTTTCTGGGTCAAAAAGTTTATTGAAAGTTTAATTTTATAAAAGATTTTTTAAGTACGAAGCTTTTTAACCTAAGACGTACTGTTTTCAGTATCAGCAACTACTTTTTATTCCTGCCAATCCGTGTTAAAACTCTTGGCCGAAGTTTTGGAAGTACCATTAAGATCACTGCTTGAGGAAAGGAAACCAATTCAGGAAAGTCATAGAATCAAGTTTTTGAGGGAAATCAAGGATCTTAAGGTAGGTATTGGGTCGTTCAGCCTAGAATAAGGTTGATTTTAACAATTTTTTTTTATATGGAAAAAAATTTAAAATAGCTCAAAACTTAAAATGTGGGCTTATATTTTTAAAAAATTAAGAGTAATCGATTTTAAAATACCTAAAATTTTAAATTTTTAAAAATTTTTACGAATTTAAAATTTTGAAATTTAAATTTTTTTTTATATTTCAATTTACAGGTAGAAGTAACTCACATTGAAACATACCGTCGCAAGTACAAAGTCATCAACGTGACGAAAAGGACGGCCAATTCTCAGACATTCCCCTTGGACCTAACTCCAGATTCTACAGTAGACATTACAGTGGCCGAGTACTTTCGAAGCAAGTACAAGAAGAAATTATACGCCTCACACTTACCATGTCTACAAGTTGGGAAAGAGTCGAAACATACCTTCATGCCGTTGGAAGTTTGTGAGATAATGAAAGGACAAAGAAGCGCCAAGAAGTTGAACGATGTTCAAACATCGAAAATGATCAAAGCAACGGCTATGAATGCGGTCGAGAGGGAGAAGAAGATCGAGGAGCTGGGTAAGGTTATGGTTTTTAATATTTGAACAGATTTTTGGGTATAAAGTTGGTTTTTTTTATCTAAAAATGTGAGATAAAAGGAGGATTTTAGGCTCTTGGGATTATTTTTGCACCGTGCAGGTTTTTACACTGCCATTTTTATTGCGAACTATAACAATAAAAATGGAAAAAACTTTTGGGCTGTTTTAAGATGGGTAGAAATTATATAAAATTGATTTTTTTTTCAAAAAGTACAATTAAAAATGTCACTTTGGGGCGGTCGGATATTTTGCACTGTGCAATTTTTCCCCATGTCGTTTTTAATGCATTCGATGATTCTAAAAATGGAAAAAGGTTTTATACCGTTTTAAAAGGAGTATGTTTTTTATAAAATTGATTTTTTTTTGAAAATGTACGATTAAAAATGTCTGTTCTATGAGATTGATTTTTTGCACGGTGCAATTTTATTTTTCGTATAAGCACTGATTCTAAAAATTTTAAAACCTTATAGATTAAATTAAAATAGGTTGAAATGAAATAAAATTATGATTCTTGGCGGTCAAAAAGAGTTTTCCATTTTTTACGATGAATTAAAATTTTTGCACCGTGCAAACTAAAATCATATTATTTTAGTCCTCGAATCCTCGGAAGTCTCAAATCCATTTGCGGACGAATTTGGCTTTAAACTCTCATCCAAAATGATCCAGTTCGATGGCCGCGTATTAGAAGCGCCATCTTTACTGTACACCAATCCATCGGCTCATCGTATCTTCAGCTACAAGGCTACAATACCGTCGAAAGGCGTATGGGATATGAGGAACAAGCACTTTGTCAAAGGCGTTCATGTGGACCACTGGGCAATGGTCTTGTTTGTGTCACCGGGTTTGGTCGATAATGACAAAATTTACAATTATGTCAACAGTTTGCATACGGTAGCTGGTATGGCTGGTATGTATATGAATCCGAATCCAGTGTTTTGTAAATATGCTGCAGGAGTCGATCAGATTGGAGCGATTTTACAGTATCTGAAGGCTACTTTCAAGGGTAAGGGATTGTTTTTTTGGGTCGTTGGGCTGGTTTATGGGGCTTTTGGGCTTGTTTATTGGGGTGTTGAGGTAGTTTAATGGGTCTTTGTTCCGATTCTTTGTTCTTTTTTCTTATTTTATTTGTTTTTGATTTATTTTGTTGTATTTTTAACTTGTTTTATTGGGATTTTGGGCTTGTCTAATGGGTTTTAGTTCTGTTTTTGCCTGTTTTTGGTGGTTTTTGATCTATTTTGTTGGCTTTTTCATCTTATTTTTTGTTTTCTAGGGTACGTTGGTGTGGTTTTAGACTATTTTCTTGCGTTTTTGACTTGTTTTATTGGTCTTTGATCTAGTTTTAGTTGTTTTTGTTCTATTCGTATTAGTTTTTGACCTATTTTTATTCTTTCAGATTGTCTTTTGCAGTGATTCATCTAGTTTTTTTTGTTTAGTATTGTTTTTTATCTATTTTTTCTTACTGTTGGTCTATTTTTATTTGTTTTTCATTTACTTTTATTTGTTTAAGATCTATTCTCTTTATGAAAAACCCTTATTTTTAGACCTCCAACTAGTGACAGTCGTTCTACCAGGCAAAACCCTAATGTACGCCGAGCTGAAACGCCTAGCTGACACAGTTTACGGTATCCCAACTCAATGCCTAAAGGCTTCGAATGTGGTCAAAATCTCGCCACAAACCCTGTCGAATGTGTGCCTTAAAATCAACGCCAAACTGGGCGGAGTAAACACGATTTTGAAGCCGGAATCGCGGCCGAAAACCGTCTTTGGAGAACCGGTCGTGTTCATGGGCGCGAGAGTAACACACTCCAGTCCGGATGACATTAAAAAACGACCCAGCATCTCTACAGTAACTGGCAGTATTGATGGACATCCAAGCAAGTATGTGGCTTCGGTACGGACACAGGCCAGGGAGGATTATGTGGTCGATATGGCATTTATGGTAGGTGCAGGGACGTCGCTACGGATTTTCTCTGGGGGAGGGGGAAGTCGAAAAAATTTTTTTCGTCCACATGTAAGGTACCTGTGGACCGATTTTTCAAAAAAAATTTTTTTTTTGTTTTTTCGCGTACAGGTCCTGTTGAATTTTTTTCGGATCGGCTTTGGGGGAGGGGGTACCCCTCCTTACCCCCTCCCCCAAATGACGTCCCTGGGTAGGTGGGTGGAATGGTAGGGTGTGTTAGGGTAAGGGACGTTAGGGTAGGGCAGAATGGGTTGTGGGAAAGTAGGGTGATATAGCAGTATAAGGTAGACCAGGGTAGGCTATGCCTACGTTTGCATTAAGCCTAAAAAATGTAAACTAAACCTAAAACTCTTTGTTTTAGTCAAATGTAGTGTAGTAAGCCTATATACTATGTTTTAAGCCTAAAATTGTGTATTAAGCCTAAAAACCTTTGCTTTGTTTAAATATTTGGTGCTAAGCCTAAATAACCTATTTTAAGCGTAATATTTATGTGTTAATCCTAAATTTTTCTGCTATGTCTAAAATTGTATATTAAGCTTAAAAGTCTTTTTTTTGAGCCTAAAAATGGCTTGGTAAGCGTAAGAATTGTCAGCTAAGCCTAAAAGTTTTTTGATAAGCTTGAAAAATGTTTCCTAAGGCTAAAAATTGTTGGCTAAGCCTAAAACTGCTAATTTTAAAAACTATTTTATTTTAAAATATCTTTTTTAGGTTCGAGAACTTTTGGTCCGCTTCTACAAAAACACCGGCTTCAAACCAACACGTATCGTAATGTACAGAGGCGGTGTGTGTACGTCGAAAGCTCTAGAGGTACTAAGATACGAACTCATTCAAATGCGCAAAGCCTGCATGATGCTGGAAGCTGGGTACGAGCCGGGTATTACCTATATTTTGGTCGAAAAAACTCACCACACCCGATTGTTCGCGGCGAATCCGGACGACAGAATGGGCAAAGCATCTAACGTGCCGGCTGGTACTATCGTCGATACGACTATCACTCAACCAGATGAATATGATTTTTATCTGTGTTCACATGCTGGGGTGCAGGTAGGGTTTTTAGCGGATATTTGGGGTGTATTTTAATTGGTTTTGGTTGAAGGGGGGGGGGGGTGGATTTTTTAATTTTTTAAGGGCGGGGTATTTTTTTTGGGGTGGATAAAAAAATTTATTTTTGGATTTTAAGTTTTAAAAATGAATTAAAAAACATCTTCAGGGCACCTCAAGACCCGCCTACTACCACGTCCTCTGGGATGATAATAAACTCAGCGCCAACGAACTACAGACCCTAACTTATCAACTGTGTTTCACTTACGTACGGTGCACCAGAAGCATCTCAATCCCAGCACCAGCTTACTATGCACATCTGGTGGCAGCCAGAGCTCGCCTTCATTTTCAACCGGTCGATTCGGACGACTTTGCGGAGGAAGGCGAAAATCTCCCGGATTATAACAAGAACGTTAAAATCCATGAGAACATCTCTAACTCGATGTATTTTAGTTAATTGGTTACTGTATTTTTTGGTTTATGGTCACTATAATGGATTTTGTGTAAGGGTACGATTTGGTCGGTGATTGGGTATACTGTAATACGGGTGGTTATTGTGATATTTTCACGGTTAAATTTAATGTTTGGAAAGTTTTATATTTTACCATTTTTATTGTTATTTTTGTTTTATTAACGTTATTTGAATATTCATGTTATACATCTTGTTGCTCTTTTTGTTTTATACTAATCTTTAGTTGTTTTTCTTGTTTAGTTTGATAAATTGTTGCTTGTTATGTGAGGTTTTTGGCTTTCGTAGCGACAAGAATTGGTTCCGGCACGAAAACAAGTAGCGACCAATAATACTTTTGGCCTTCAGCTGCAAAACACTACTATATTGTGTATTTTCATGTTAAAGGGGACTTTAACAGGTGGTCATGTATACTTTGTTTAAATACGGATGAATTTGAAAAGGAAAAGTACAGCTTAAGAGTCAGGCAGGACCGGGTGCTGGGGGGAGGGAAACCCCCCCTCCCCCCTCTAGAAAAAAAATTTCAAAAAAAGGTTAAACGTGTTCCCCCCCCCCTGTGGATTTTTAGAAAAAAGATTTTTTTTACCCTCCTTCCCCCCCCCCTTCCCCCCCCCCTCCCCTCTGACCAAAAATTCCCGCCCGGCCCTGGATTTAGGTAATTAATTTATCGTTTAAGGCCTATAAGGCTGTGAACCTCAAAACTGCGTGACTAAAACCCAAGTATGTCACTTTTAAAACACACAAGCGCGAGTTACAATTTTTTATGGGTACTATTGATGCTACAAAATGAACTTGTTTATCAATTTTGAGTCGATCCTAAACGAGGCAGTTCAGATACCTTCCTTGCAATAAAGCTATTGTAATATAAAAAACTTCGCGCGCTTTTTATTAGCAAGCAAGGAGAATACGGGCTTTTGCTCATTGTTTGTCGATATAAACCCCATTTTGGCACTCGTTATAGAGTTAGTGAACGTAACTTAACTCCATTTATTTGATATGGACATGTGGTTGAAAAAACTTCCAAAACAGGTATCTTTACTCAATTATAATTAGTGACTCTTGCATTTTCTTCTTATTAAAGTAGTAGTTTTTAACATAACATTATCCTCAATGTGTTGTAGTAGTTGAATGTTTTACAATCCTTAAATGTCATTGGTTAATTCTGTATAATATTAAACTATGGCTGCAAATTTTCGACAGTATCGAGAGCATTGACACTGTGGCTGCAGTAGCATCAGTCGGTAAGACGTTTTACAAATGGATCAATCGAGACTTCAAGTCGATGTGTTATTTTGATGGCATCTACAGATTTAATGGAGAAACTTGGGCCACTGCTTTTAGTTTGTAAGTTACTTTCTAAGCCCTTAGCCTAAACTTAAGCATAGCTTTGAGTGTAACCCTTTGCCAAGCTCTAGGCAATACCCTAGCTCTAACTATTTTGTAATTTACAAGGAAAGTAACCTGCCTGTCCCGCTCCGAATCAGCTCAAAATTTTTATACGAATTCTTTGTACTACTAATAGTATCCATAACAAATTATTGCTCTCTCTTTTGTTTTAAATTTAAATTATTTTGGTTTCCCGCCAATTTGGCAAGTTTGGCATTGTTTTTCAAGCACTTTCTTCTACTTTCCAATCAAGCTACGCTTACAAATTTAAAAATGTAGGTTCATTTAAAGGTATTCTACTAGTATATCAAGGAATGATTGTTCATCGGCCCCAAAATTGGTTCTTATGAAGAATAACTCCCCAGCAGGTAAATAATAATTCCCCATAGAAATGAGCTACAATCATTCCCCACTTATTCAAATTTTAAGAGTTTTTTTTCAATTTCTCATACTTTCATTTTGTTTGCTGAATTATGGTCGGACCGCGAACTTACGAAGAAATCACTTATGAAATTGCCAAAAGTAAAAAAACAACCGTTGTGTCCCACTCGGTATTACTATCATGCCCCACCTGTGTTACTATCATGCCCCACCTGTGTTACTATCATGCCCCACCTGTATTACTATCATGCCCCACCTGTATTACTATCATGCCCCACCTGTATTACTATCATGCCCCACCTGTATTACTATCATGCCCCACCTGTATTACTATCATGCCCCACCTGTATTACTATCATGCCCCACTTGTTTTACTATCATGCCCCACTTGTTTTACTATCATGCCCCACCTGTTTTACTATCATGCCCCACACTTAGAAAACCCTTATTCACTTTCCCATTGCGCTTTGAAAGTGTATTCATTATTCAAAACTTGGTTTACACTTTCAAAGTTTATGCAAAAAATCCCTATAGAAGCAACCGATTTCCCCAGAAATCGTCATTCGAGCCAAGTTCCGACGTCGTCAGCCGGTCCCTTCTCCAGCCCCTCATCGCGCGATGGTCTCATCAGCTCCAACACTTGGGTCGTTGCCAATCTTCACCTGTGCCAAGCTTCTGGACTAGTACAAGTTAAGTTCAACTTAACTTGGTGGGGAATGATTTTGCGCTTGGGGGAATGATTGTAGCTGGGGGAATGATTGTTCATCGGTCCCGAAAAAGTCAAAAAATGACAAAGTTACAGTGAACAGACCATTAGTTATTGCGTCGATCAAGAGCACGAGCTAAAAAACATAAAATTAGTTTTTTTAAACCTATTATTAAATTTAAAAACTAAAGATTAACCCGAAATTATCGGATCAAAAAAGAATATATTAGGGTCAAGTTATACGATAAAACAGAAATTTCGCAAAAATCAGACATTGTTAAAAATAAAAAAAAGGAAAAACCTACCTTCTTGTACTTTCTTAATAAAACACGATTTACAGCACTCTTTCCTTGGTGTCTTAATCTCACAGAAACCGCCATTGTTGACGTATCTTGAACACACGGGTATAACGTTTTTGTTCTCGTCTTTCGGCCGGAGTCGATTGTAGTGGATCTCACACACACGACATAAGTTAGTATAAACTAAACTTCAACGTTTTCTACCTCGTATTATAATTTATAGCACCTGGAATATAAAAGCAATCACTTGATATGTTCATAGACAAAGTAGGTATACAAAAATAACTAAAATAGCCTACATGTTGAAGTGAAATACATAAAAATAGACAGAAAATAAGCTTAAAATATTTGACATCGTTACAAAAAGACAGATGACGTAGTTCTGATGATTAAAGTCTGATAATATTGAGTACAATCATAATGGAGGGTTAGACATGTAAACTACAGTACAACATCCATAGATAATATAGTAACCTGAATATTCAAAGATAATAGTACAAGAAAGGTATATTAGTATCCATAAAGCCTATTCACAGTCCATATTGATGGCCTCCACGCACCGACCGTCCACCAGGATTTGGACCTCCAGCTCCTCACCTCTCACCTTCACGACATGAATCAAGCCTTGAAGCGGTTGATTGTCATCTGTCAAGGGTTCGTAGATGTTCGGGTAGGTTAGTACGTCGTTGGCCATGTAAATCCGGCTTCTGTTGTATGACGCCATGTACTTGGTGGAAGCGGCACACGGCTTCAGGATGACAAGATCGGTCACGTGTTCTGGTCGAATGCCTAAAACAACAGATATTAAGCCTAAAGATGATGTGTGCTAAGCCTAAAACATTTTGTTAAGCCTCAATACAAAAAAATTGAAGATAAGCCTAAAAAAGCTGGAATAAGCCTAAAATTGCGTTACAAGCCTAAAGAATGTTTAGTAAGCTTAAAAATAATGTGCTAAGCCTAAATATTTGGTTACAAGCCTAAAATTGCGTTAAAAGCCTAAGGACTGTGTGCTAAGCCTAAAAATGAACTGCCATGACAAAATATTCTTTTTTTAAGCCTAAATGAGCCGATCTTAAATTTAACTTCTACGCCTAAAAACACCATAATAAGCCTAAAAACGTTCTACCAATAATAAAATGCACTGCTAATCTAAAAACACAATCATAAGCCTAAATATGTTCTACCATTCCTAAAATCTGATGCTAAGCCTAAAAATACAATAATAAGTCTAAATATGTTCTGCCATTCCCAAAATTTATCACTAAGCCAAAATTTAAAAACCTACATTCATTCGGACAATTTATGGCGATGACCCTGTCTCCTCCCCACACAACCCACTGCTTGATGCCTTTGCCTCGGAGAATGTGCGTCACTTTCACGCCGCCGTAGGCTTTGACATCGTAGCTTTGGCGGATCATGAATGGCGAATCATGGCCGGGCACGATGACCAGTGGGTCCTTCTCTATGACCTTTCGTCTCGATTCTCCGTATGCTTGACGATCGGTCACGTTGTCGTACTTTGGATTTCTGAAGTCTTCTTCACTCTCGAATAGATCGCCTGAAATAAAGATAATATCTGCGAAATTCACCTTCTGCGTACTTTTTGACCTCAACATTCTCAAAAACCGGCTCTTCTACAAACTTTTTGACCTCGCAATACCCAAAAACGTACATTTCCACCCACTTTTCGATCACAAAACCACACAAAACAGAATAAAACTTACCAACTATGGCAATAAAATCGCCACCATTCCCCCTGACAATGACGGCCAAATCCTGTTCGGTATGTCCTTTCAGCTCCATGATCTCGACGTCATCGCCGAGGAATGACGTGTTAGCTAAAAGTTCGCGAAACTCGGCCGGTGGAAGTACTGGAACACCTTTAAAGTCGGCCAAGCGGCCACTATGCTCGCTGTGCCAATGTGTGATCAAAATGGCATCCACACCACCTTCGATATTGTTCACTGAAAGCGAGATTTACAAAATCAAAATTTATTAAAAATTTAAATTTCAAAATTTTTTTTGTAAAAGAGTCCTCCAACTACAACTTTTTCCATATTTTTAAAAACCAAAAAACAAAAAAAAATTTTGTGAAAAAGTCCTTCCCAAAAAAATTTTTACTAAAACTTGACTATCCCTTAAAAGCCCATTTCCTCTTCCAAACTCACAATACGTGCTCGGAGCTCCACAATCGACCAAAAAAGTAACGTGGTCCGAGTGTACCTGAGTGACCGTGCCATTGGCGGTGTATCGGCCCTGGTTGTCGGTCCGCGCGTACCCCTTCGATTCTGGGATTCGTTGGATCTCATCGCGTAGAAGGATAGCTGTTGGGGAAGGTAATGCCAGGAGTTGAAGGACGTTCAGGACTTCGGAGCATCTCTACAACGTGGAAAAGATAAAGTGTCAGAAAGGTTGAAATATAAGATATTGAACAAGTCTTCCAAAGTTTATTACCTAAAATTTTTAAAATCCTCGTTTTTAAAAAAAATTTCGAAAAAAATCAAATTTATTACCTAAACTTCCAAAATCATCTCAATTCCTAAAAAAAATCAAAAAAATTCAAATTTATTACCTAAAATTCCAAAATCATCTCAATTTCTAAAAAAAATTTCAAAAAAATCGAATTTATTACCTAAAATTCTAAAATCAACCGTCTATTACCTTCTCCATGCCCACATTAAAATGTCCGAATCCCGAATCTAAGCTCAGGTTTCGTTTTGATGGCACAAACGCCTTGTTCAACAACGGAATGAGGCCACTTTGGAAGTCGTATAGCATCTGAGCAGCAGCTTTGTATGTGAACGAGTTCGACGAGACCACTTCAATCATCAGACAATCCCAAATTTCAAAATTCAAAAGCTTGTATAGGGACAGCCTGGAGTCCTCGCTGATGTAGTCTCTCAACCAGTCGTTTTGGATTTCCTCGAAAAAGTTGGATAAGGTTGGGGAAAAGTCCTGAGGCTTCGAGTGGTTCATTTGGAACCAGTTTTGGGTCGCGTATCCCTAAGATTTCATTTTAAAAATAATAAATGAAAAAAACTATTAAGTTCTTGCTATTTTAAGCCTAAAACCTCTTTTATAAGCTTCTTTTACAAATTATAAACCCTAAAAAACCCCTCCCCAACACTACTTTTCAATTCCAAGCCTAAACGTCACCTTACCTGAACCTTTCCATCAATAATACTCCTGAACGATGTTAACAAATGTTTTGCCCTCTTCCTCCACTCAAGTCGATACAAATCCGCACTCTCATCAAACGGTCCTCTAGCCAAACTCTGTAGCCCATCTGACCCACCCAGCTCTATGAACGCGTCCTCTGAATTCCACTGAAAAATAAGTCAAATAATCGCATCAAAAACAACAAAAATACAAGAAATTGTGGTTCACTTTTATACGATGAAATGTATCCCTCCAATAACACGAAAAACCGTCTAAAACCTACCGAGACCGGACTAATTCCACTCGCCATGATAAGTGTAGCCGCGGAAGCGCAGGATAAAACAAAATAAACATGCCTGACTTCTAGGCGGACGAATCTGGCAAAGATCAGCTCCGTCGTCCAGCCCTGTACAACCATAGTTATGAAAGTAACGGGAAACCCGACCGAAAAGAAGTCTACACGCCGCACAGTTAACCCTATTTGTGTTTGTACCACAAATACGGCAGTCATTGGTCATACTAAAATTAAAAATTAAATTTAACTAAAATTAAAAATTTTCTATAAAAACCCCTGCCCCCCCCCCTCCCCATTCCCCCAAGAAAAGAAACAAAAAATAAAATTTCACAAGAAAAGTTTGTCAAATCAGGAAGGATATGACAAAACATTCATGGGAAAGGGCCAAAGTGGGCTATTTTGGCCACTTTGAAATTTGAAAAAATTTGTTACTCGCGGCAAGCGAGGGCCTGCGCAGGTTGTAGAAATGGTGTCATGTTTTTCGTTTCGGTTAAGTTTAATTTTAATTTTTTGGTAAATTTTAGAGACCTTGGCGGTCGAAACAATAGTTTTGGACAAGAAGATAACAGCTTTTGCAACCGATGTTTTGGAAAAATTATATTTTCTTACATCTAAGAGACATTTTATTCACTCATAAAATGGACGACATGTTTTCGGCGACTTGAAGGATGCCAAAAAACTTTGTTCATCACCTGCCTGTAAGTTTTTAATGTTCTTGTTTTGTTTTTAAGTTTTATGGAAGGATGGAACGGTGGAATAGATAGCAGAATAGATTTAGAAGGTTTATGAGGTTAAAATTTGAAAGAAAGTTGAGGTTTAATTATAGATTCTTGACGTTACATTGTGTTAGGTAGCAGAAAAAATTAAATTTAATGTTTTGTCTTGATTTTAGGTTATATTTGTTGATCTAAGGCTTTGTAGAAAGCAAATAGTTTAAGGAATTTTTATTTTATACAAAGCAGCGAAAAAGTTTAGCTTCGAACCTAGTTTTTTGAGGTTATATTATCATAGACATCAATATGTCCAGATTTTTGGTTTCTAATAAATTTTACTTTGTAAATTAACTTTTATTAAAAAATTTCAGCTAGGTTTAAAATATGTGCGTCACAAGAAGAGACTGCCGAGTTCTACAACTTGGTAAAGGACGTTAAGCCTATCAACGATGTTAACAAGGTGATAGAACCGAAGACACCTTATAGCGAGCCAAAAGGACCGATGTTGAGTAAATTTCGGATTGTAATTGAAAAGCTTGAAAACGACAGGTTTGATGAACTCGTAGAAGGGAATCCAAGGTATTTGGTTAATACAAGTGGCGAGAAACCGACAATTTTACATAATGGTATCAGGTGTGTGGGTTAATATTATTATTTTTTAGGCTATTCCTTTAGAGAATTTCGGTATTTTTTAAAATTACATGGTAGAACAAGTTTTAAAGATAAAACACGCTTCTTTATACATAGCCTACAATAAAAACAAACATTGACTGTATTTTACAAACAAATCATAAATTAAGCCAAAAAAGCACAATTTTTTCCAATTTTTAGCCAAAACACTGCCATTTTAAATTTGACCTACTCACAAAATCATCCAAAAGATGTCCACATATCATATCTATCTTATACTAGCCACCATAACATCGAAAACTTCCAAAATCACCTCATTTTAGCTTAACATCACCACCTCCATCATCATCTACTACAATATCGAAAAACCCTCAAAAAGCACGCCTCTTTCCCCCAAAATAGTTCCATATCTACTACCAAAACAACTCACACTGGCCCTCTACTACTCCATGTGTACAAGTTGCCATCATGTTTCGTTCTGGCACCATACAACAGGTCTACGCCCTCTGGTGGAATGTATGCTCCAACTGAGATCGCGGCCAAAGAAGCTGCTCCTGGTGCACCACCAGTTGACAAGGCTGGTCCATTGTTGCCTGCTGATGATACAAAGGTTACTCCGTCCATATATACAGTATCGTTGAGTAATTCTATGATTCGACCGGTATTTGGGAATCTGGCGGCTTCTCCGTTCGAGTAAATGGTCACTTCTACGCCTACTTCAGCGCACTTTTTGAACTTAAAATAAGATTTTTTAGTCAAGTCAAAGTTAAAAATTTTAAAAAATTGTTTTAAATTTCAAAAATATCCAATAATTACCTAAAAACCTAAAAAATCAAAAAATCCTATCCAAAATCCCCAAAAATCATAAAAATCCACCCCAAACACCTCCTAAATCGCCTTACCGCCCTAGTCAAAGCCTGCCCAGTCTCCACAGACCCAAGCCGACCATCGCCAATACAATATATAATTTTTGCTCCTGGAGCCAGCCCGTTCTTCTCTGGCGCGTCCGGATAATTAACCCTGTAGTTAACCAACAGCGTGCACATGTCTACGTTACTGTTCCAGTAGGATTCCTAAAAACATAAATTAATTTCATAAAAAACCTATTGTTCATTAAACCTTAAGATTAACCCGACATTATAGAATTGAAAAAAATAAAAATAATTTAAAGACAAGTTATACGATGAAAAGTTATTCGTTAAAATAATTAAAAAATAAGGCAAAACAAAAACCTACCTTCATGGTATTTCCTGAGGAAACAAAATTTGCACGAATTGGTCCTAGGTCTTTCACAGTAGCCACCCTAGTTAGTAAACCTCGAACAGTTACTGATAACATCACTATTTTCATCAGACGGAGAGACTCTAGTGTAGTGATCTCTACAAACGATACATACGCGTAAATGTGTTTTTAATCCACACACATGGCAGTTGAACATGAGTTATATCTGAAACTTCTACAAGATAAATAATTTTATTCTTTAAATTTACCCCGCCCTATAGACCCCTAAAAAACACTCCCACTGATACAAAAAACAAAAAATAAAAATCCCGCTTTCCCAAAAAAGTTTATCACATCAGAAATGAAGGTATGACAAATACATTCATGGAAAAGGGCCAAAAGTTGCACTTTAAAATTAAAAAATTGTCATCCGCGGCACGGTGTTTGCGCAGTCTGCAGAGATTGTGTCAAGTGTTTCATTTGAGTCAAGTTTAATTTTTACTTTTTGGAAAATTTTTGATCGCCAAGATAGGAACAGACCTTTGCTGTATATACACCAGATTTGCCTGGACGACATGTTTTCGGCGCCTTGAAGGATGCCAAAAAGCTTTGTTCATCACCTGCCTGTAAGTTTTTAATGTTCTTGTTTTGTTTTTAGGTTTTATGGAAGGATGGAACGGTGGAATAGATAACAGAATAGATTTAGAAGGTTTATGAGGTTAAAATTTGAAAGAAAGTTGAGGTTTAATTATAGATTCTTGACGTTACATTGTGTTAGGTAGCAGAAAAAATTAAATTTAATGTTTTGTCTTGATTTTGGGTTATATTTGTTGATCTAAGGCTTTGTAGAAAGCAAATAGTTTAAGGAATTTTTATTTTATACAAAGCAGCGAAAAAGCTTGGCTTCGAACCTAGTTTTTTGAGGTTATAGGTTATATTATCATAGACATCACTATATCCAGATTTTTGGTTTCTAATGAATTTTGCTTTATAAATTAACTTTTATTATAAAATTTCAGCTAGGTTTAAATTATGTGCGTCACAAGAGGAGGTAGACGAGTTCTACAACTTGGTAAAAAACTTTAAGCCTATTAACGATGTTAACAAGGTGATAGACACCTTATAGCGAGCTAAAAGGACCGATGTTGAGTAAATTTCGGATTGTAATTGAAAAGCTTGAAAACGACAGGTTTGATGAACTCTTAGAAGAGAATCCTAGGTATTTGGTTAATACAAATGGCGAGAAACCGACAATTTTACATAATGGTATCAGGTGTGTGGGTTAATATTATTATTTTTTTGTTTTTAGGCTATTCCTTTAGAGAAATTCGGTATTTTTTAAAATTACATAGTAGAACAAAGAGTTTTAAAGATAAAACACGCTTCTTTATACATAGACTACAATAAAAACAAACATTGGCTGTATTTTACAAAAAAAATCATAAATTAAGCCGAAAAAGCACAATTTTTTTCCAATTTTTAGCCAAAACACTGCCATTTTAAATTTGACCTACTCACGAAATCATCCAAAAAATGTCCACGTATCATATCTATCTTATACTAGCCACCATAACATCAAAAACTTCCAAAATCACCTCATTTTAGCTTAACATCACCACCTCCATCATCATCTACTACAATATCGAAAAACCTTGAAAAAGCATTGCGGCCAAAGAAGCTGCTCCTGGTACACCACCAGCCGACAAGGTTGGTCTATTGTTGCCTGCTGATAAAGATACAAATGTTACTCTGTCCTCATATACAGTATCGTTACGAACTTCTATGATTCGACCGGTATTTGGGAATCGGGCGGCTTCTCCGTACGAGTAATTGGCGACGTCTACGCCTAGTTCAACGCACTTTTTAAGCTAAAATAAGAATTTTATAGCTAAATAAAAGTCGAAAATTTATATATCGGTGATTTCAAGAGTTTATAATAGCAAAAAATTGGGCCCCGTCGCGAAAACAAGTAACGGCCAATAACTCTTTTGGCATTCTGTCTTAAATAGTTTTTTTTTCAAAAAACCTGAACGGAGCACAATATAATTTGCGCTCAAAAATATTTTGAAATTAGATTTTGTTCTTTTTTATGTTTCAAGTAGCGTTTACAAGTATAAGCTAAATATTTGAAGCATGTCGGAGAACAGGAACAAGATCTTTGCTGTATATACACCAGATTTGCCTGGACGACATGTTTTTGGCGACTTGAAGGATGCCAAAAAACTTTGTTCATCACCTGCCTGTAAGTTTTTAATGGTCTTGTTTTGTTTTTAGGTTTTATGGAAGGATGGAACAGTGGAATAGATAGCAGAATAGATTTAGAAGGTTTATGAGGTTAAAATTTGAAAGAAAGTTGAGGTTTAATCAAAGAATCTTAAAGTTACATTGTGTTAGGTAGCAGAAAAACTAAAATTTAATGTTTTGGCCTGATTCTAGGTTATATTTGTTGATCTAAGGTTTTGTAGAAAGGAAATAGTTTAAGGAATTTTTATTTTATACAAAGCATCGAAAAAGTTTGGCTTCGAACTTGGTTTTTTGAGGTTATATTATCATAGACATCACTATATCCAGATTTTTGGTTTCTAATGAATTTTACTTTATAAATTAACTTTTATTATAAAATTTCAGCTAGGTTTAAAATATGTGCGTCACAAGAAGAGGTTGACGAGTTCTACAACTTGGTAAAGGACGTTAAGCCTATCAACGATGTTAACAAGGTGATAGAACCGAAGACACCTTATAGCGAGCCAAAAGGACCGATGTTGAGTAAATTTCGGATTGTAATTGAAAAGCTTGAAAACGACAGGTTTGATGAACTCGTAGAAGAGAATCCAAGGTATTTGGTTAATACAAGTGGCGAGAAACCGACGATTTTACATAATGGGATCAGGTATGGTGGTTAATATTATCTTTTTTTGTTTTCAGGCTATTTCTTTTGAGAAAGTTGATATTTTTTGAAATTATATGGCAAAAAAAGGTTTCGTGAAGGGTTTTGAAGTTAAATGACTTTATTTTAGGCACAACGCTTTACATGTAGCATGTATCAAAGGCAATTTGTACGTGGCAAGTCAAGTGTTGAAGCTGGTATGTTCTCCCGAGTTTATGACGAATGCTTTTGGATCAGATATTGGAATAGAGGATAAATGTACTCATTTTTTGGATCTTTTCTTAAACTTACCCGATAAGAATACCCATCAAACACCATTGCATTTGGCCTCGAAGAATGGTCATCCTGACATTGTCAAGCTACTCATGGGCTATAAACAGCTGGTAAAGGAGCCTTTGAATAAGTAAGTTGTCTTTCCATGGTTAAATTGGGTTTTTAGGTATAAATTGGGATGCAAAAGCAATACTTTCTATATATGCGATGTTTTAGATATAACATTACATATTACTTTAGGTACGACGAAAACCCGGCCGATCTTGCCGCCTCAGGGCTTCGAGGAGCTTCAGAATTGGAAAAACGTCGTTGTGCGAAGCTTATCGTCAAATACCTAAAGTCAACTATGTACTACATAGCATTTTATCGCCTAGTCGGCGAAGTAGGCCGACCTCAACACGTGATCTTTGATGAAAAACCCCCGCCGGACTTATATGATATACCCGAAGCTGATCTCAAGAGATGCTTACGATCGCAGATTGTGAATGTAAAAGGTTTTGAACAAGGGATTCATACTGTAAAACACTTTGAAAGGGATAATATTGGACCATCAGGTGATTTTATTGGAACTTTTGCTAATGTTTCAGTAAATGGATCGCTTTTGAATAACGATAGCTCACCTGCAAGTGGGTCTAGTATGGGGAGGAGGAAGGTGATGAGAGAGTTCTATTTGAGCTGCTTTATGGGACCATTTGTTGGCGAGGAGGATTGTCACGAATGCTTTTTGGTGAGTAAAGTTCATTTTGTTTTGGGTTATATTTTTGATTTTTTTACGATATTGTAAAAAAGGGTTCTGTAAATTTAAAAATTTTTATTTAGAAAGTGCTTCTTTTAAATTTTTAAAATTTTAACATTAATTTTTCATTTAGAAATGGAAAGAATCAAAGATAAATCTCTGCTTGACCAGGCCTCTGGACGGCTACGAAAGGGTCGGCAAAGAATTGGCAAACGAGTACAAGGTTCAATTTGTCAATCTTCAAAATGAAACGGAAGAAGACATCGAAGCAGGTGATGAGTTTTATGATGCCAACGATCATTTTGTGGATCAACCGGGTCTATCTGGCATAACTGATCAGAAGCCTATGGTCAATGAGGAAAAACTTGAAGAGCAAAAAGAAAACATTGCTCAAGGGAATATGGATGTAGAAGCACCTCAAGACGACAACGATATCTTCTACGACGCTCCAGCAAATCAAGATCTCGACGATTTGGCCGATATTTTCGGCACAAAATGCCATCTACACAGCCCACTTAGCAATGGAAATTGATGATTTTAGAATTTTGTCATTACCCATATTCTCAGTTTTACATATCAATGTGTTTTATAATGCTACAAATGTACAGTAAATGAAGATATATGTATAGTGAATGTTTGTCTTTAAGTTTGGATTGGATTTTTGAAGTGTGGAATATTGTTTTTAGATTTATTACGTAAATTTAGGCATAGATTACAATTTTAGGCTTAACACAGGATTTCAGGCTTACGATTAGCGTAAAAAGTAGAGGTTTTTCGGGTATAAAACGTCACTCGCAACCTGCAGAGTTCGGGCGCGCGCCTGCTAAAAACAAATGTAATTGGAAATCGTGATCTTTACAAGTTTTTTCACCTCTTTATCACTGTTTTTGAATGAAATTAATAAACTTTGAATAAAGAAGCTGTATCCTTACATTTTGTGAATTGTCTAAAATTATAGGGCGGATCGTCGTTCATTAACCATTCTCACTCGCCGGTTCATTTGTCAGTTCAGGTCGCAACGCCTGTTTTGGTGTGGAGCGTCGGTTCGTGGCATCGTAACTCCCGTTTTACACCGAAATAGTGGTGTTCATTGTGTTAGAAGAATTTCTTTAACAAGCGGTAAGTTTTTGTTGAATATTTTCTGATTTTAGGATATTACATTTGAGATCAGGTAGTATACCTCGGTAAAACAACAATATCTCAAAGATAACAAAATGTTTTGGTCTGCACTTTTGTGATAAGCTTAAAAAGGGTCTTGTAAACATTTTAAAAAGATTAATTGTTGTTGTTTCTACGAAACATTTTATCAGTTACATTTTTTATCTACTAAAGCTGTTATTGTTCAACAATCATTTATTTTTAGTCCAAAACAAGATGGTGGAAGGACAATTGATTAACCAAGTTGGGAAGGATTTGGAAGGACCATTTCCTTCTCAAAATTTAATACCCAAAGTTTTAACTCAACAGGTTTGTTTTAAATTTGAGTTTATATTATAGTTGATCGGCTGGTCGAAAATAAATTAAAATGGTTAACTTATAGTTATAAAAAGTATAATTGCTTGATTTTAGGTACAATTCTTGAAAAAATATCCCGAATACGATGGTAGAAATGTAGTGATCGCGATTTTGGACACGGGTGTGGATCCAGCACTGCCGGGAATGCAGGTAATGGTCTATCATTAATTTTTTGAGTTTTAGGTATCGAAACGGGATAAAAGTGTCAAGAATTTGTTGTGAAACGAAAGAGTTATATCTACTCTACTATCAAGCGAAAGATTATGTGTATCGAACAAGTTAATTAAAAGTTTACACCGCTAATAACTTATATTATAGTATACATCAACTGGCGAACGAAAAGTGATCGACTGTTACGATATGAGTGGAGCTGGAGATGTCGATACATCAACTGTGAAGAAAGTAGAAAGTGATGGTACTATTACTGGTTTAAGCGGTCGAAAATTAAAGGTAAGATTTGATTTTAAAAGCTTTTATAGAAGGATAATGTTACTATAGGCATTAAGAGCTGACATATAGAAGAGAGATAAATATAGTGAATAATTTAATCATTTTAGATCCCTGAAAAATGGAAAAACCCATCTGGAAAGTATTATTGTGGTATCAAGCCACTGTATGAGCTTTACCCCTCTGGTTTGGCTTCTCGGATCATGGTAAGGTTTTGACTTATATTATCTTTGATTTTTAGGTAAAAGATCAAGGGAAATTGTTAAGAATTGTTAGAGGAGAGTTCTTACTTTGATATAAGTGTAAAAATAATTTTTAAGACTTTTGTTTTGACATGAAAAGGGCTGTATATTATTCATGAGTTATATATGGTCATGGTTAACATAAAATGATCTTTTATGAAAAGGTTGACAAAAATTTAGAGTAAATATGCATAAATATAGTCGAACAAGGTGTTTACTACATTAGTTGTTTAAAAACTGGATTAACAGGCGTTAATAAATATTTTTGGATATTAACATAGACTAGTCTGATATTAAAATAGCCTAAGCTTATGTGAACGTATTGTAGATTTTTATAAAAATAACATCTAATTACAAACAAAATGACCTAAACTACCTTTTTCAGAAAGAAAAAAAGGAAGAAAGCCTGGATTCGGAGCAAAACCTGGCAGTCGCCGACGTCTTAAGACGAATCCAAGAACACGAAAAAGAGGTCGGCGGAACGTCCGAGCATTTGAAAGACAAGCTGGAGCGAGAGAATTTGAATTATCAGTTGGAATATCTGCGATCGTTCGAAAAACAAACCGACGTTGGCCCGATCGCCGATTGTTTGGTGTGGCACGATGGAGATAAGTGGTATGCCTGCGTTGATACCTCTTTTCGAGGAAGGCTGGGCATGTGCACGGTCTTGACTAACTACAGGGATTCAAAGGAATACGCGTTTTTTACGGATAAAGGTAAGATATGATTTTTTTGGGCTGGGTATTTAGAGATTTTGATCATTTTGTTTGCGACAAAGAGAATTTTTTTTGAATTTTAGGTAACAAAATATATATATTTTCTTAATTTTAAATAATACACGTGATTTTTTGCTAATTTTAGATAACAAAAAATGATTTTTTAAATTTTGGCTTATAAAATATAATTTTTGATAATTTTAGGTAACAAAAAAATAATTTTTTAATTTTACTAAAAATTTTGATAATTTTAGGTAATACGAAATACTTTTTACGATTTTTTTGTAAATATTTTGATTTTTTTATTTTTAAGTGATAAAAGTGATTTTTTAAAATTTTATATAAAGAATTTGATCTTTGATCATTTTAGGTAACAAAAAATTTTTTTTAAAAAATTTTTAGTAACAACTTTAATTTTAGATTATTTTTGCGCATTTTTTGTAAATATTTTGATTTTTTTTCAATTTTACTTAAAGAATTTGATTTTTGTTAATTTTAGGTAAAAAAAAATTTTTTATTGATTTTCTAAAACTTTAACAATAAATATCACTTTTTTTTAAATTTCAAAAATTCCAGACAAATTCACATACACAGTAAACATTCACAACAGTGGAAAGTTGCTGGAGATTGTAGCTTGTTGCGGAGCTCACGGATCTCATGTTGCTCACATTGCCGCGGCCAATTATCAGGACGAGCCAGAGAAGAACGGCCTGGCTCCAGGAGCAAAAATTATATCCTTCTGTATTGGCGATGGTCGGCTTGGATCTATGGAGACTGGACAGGCTTTGACTAGGGCGGTAAGGCGATTTAAAAGGTGTTTGGGGTGGATTTTTATGATTTGTGGGGGTTTTGGATAAGATTTTTTTGAGGTTTTTAGGTGGTTTTAGGTCATTTGTGAGATTTAAAATGATTTTTTTTTAATTTTCGACTTTTATTTGGCTATAAAATTCTTATTTTAGCTCAAAAAGTGCTCTGAACTAGGCGTAGACGTGGCCAATTACTCATACGGTGAGGCCGCCCGATTCCCAAATGCCGGTCGAATCATTGAAGTTCTTAACGATACTGTTTACAAAGACGGAGTAACCTTTGTATCATCAGCAGGCAACAATGGACCAGCCTTGTCGACTGGTGGTGCACCAGGAGCAGCTTCTTTGGCCGCAATCTCAGTTGGAGCATACATTCCACCAGAGGGCGTAGACCTGTTGTATGGTGCCAGAACGAAACATGATGCCAACTTGTACCCATGGAGTAGTAGGGGACCAGTGTGAGTTGTTTTGACGGTAGATTGGAAGCTATTTTGACTGTTGGGCGTGGTTTTTGCGAAATGAGGGTTTCTCGATATTGTAGTAGGTGAGGATGGGTATAGATGGTAATTTTAAAGTTTAATGAGGTCATTTCGGTAAACTTTTGATGTTTTAGTGGGCAGTGTAAGATAGCTATGATATCTGGGCATTTTTTACAAGGTTTTATCGTTAGGTCAAATTAAAAATGGCAGTGTTATGGCTAAAAATTGTAGAAAAATTTGCGATTTTTTTGGCGTTTTTTGAATTGTTTTGTAAAATACGACAATTTTTGTAAAGATTTTAATGCCTTGTAGTAGTCCAATGTATAAAGAAGTTTTTTTCAGACCAGACGGAGCTATCGGAGTCAACGTTTCAGCTCCAGGCGTGGCGATAGCCGGCGTTCCAAAGTACAAACTTCATGGTGTGGAACTGATGAATGGAACTTCAATGTCATCCCCCAATGCCACCGGTAATGTGGCCTGCTTAATGTCAGCGTTAAGAGCAACCAACGTACCAATTTCACCATATCGTATCAAAACGGCACTGGAAAACACGGCTCATATGCCGCAATCGACCGATATTACCCCTCTGGACATTGGAAGTGGCCTATTACAACTTGAAGATGCCTTTAATTGGTTCAAGAATGCTGACTCGATTCCAGACAGTATTTCAACAGTAAAAGTTACAGTATCCGATGTGACTCAAAGTGCGAGCGAACATGGAAAGTACGGTGTCTACCTACGAGAAGCCTACCAAACGCAGAAGGTATCGGACTACGTGGTTACAGTATCCCCAGAGTTTAAATTATTGTCTTCGAATGATGAGAAGATTGACTATTCAAGAAATATCAAGTTGGTATCAAATGTGGACTACCTGGATCATCCTCAAGTCATGGTCATGACCAATCAATCAAGCAACTTCCAGTTGAGGGTGGACCCGACCAAGTTGGGTGTTGGGGTGAGTATGGCATTTTTATGGGGTTGGAGGTTTGGTATGGTGATGTAGGAGAGCTTTGGATCAGTATGGTACTATATGGGTTTCGGAATTTTTTTGGTACTATAGATGGTTAGTATGGTGCTATAGAGGTTCTATGAGTTAGTACGGTACTATATTTGTAGTGTTATGTCAGTATCATACATACTATGTGGGTATATTGGGTCAGTATGTTGCTATAAGAGTACTATGGGTTAGTACGGTATTATATAAGTACTGCTGGGCTAGTGTCATACTGTGTAGGTATTTTGGGTCAGTATTGTGCTATATGGGTATTCGGGTCAGTATGTACTTATTTTGCAATGAAAATGAGCATTTAAAATTTTTTTTTTGAATTTTTAAAATTTTTGAATTTTACCTATTTAATTTGGTCTCTATTTCAGTGTCACTTTACCGAAATCTACGGAATCGACGCGGACCGACCACAGCTAGGCCACCTATTCAAGGTCCCAATCACCATAATCAAACCAATCATATTATCACAAAGCGATGACTTTAAACTCAAACAATCGTATGGAATCGAACCCGCCAAACCCCTGAGAATCTTTGTCAAAAACCCAGAAGGAGCTCAGTACCTGAAGCTGAAACTGAAAACCACCAATCCTGAAACGGTGTCGAAACTATACCTACATGTAGTCGATCAAACCCCAGCCTACTCGTACAGAGAACGCGAAATGAACAAGGTCGGTCGAAAAAAGAAATCCCGCATTGTCAGTTTATTTTTGATAAGGTTTGGGCATTTTGGTAGTGGTTTTTAGGGGGTGGTTTGAGGAAAATCTTGGTTTTTAGGTAGGGTTTTAGGGAAAAAAGGTTAATTTTTAGGTATATTTTTGAAAAAAAGGTTAAGTTTAGGTATATTTTGAGCCAAAAAAGGTTAACTTTTAGGTATATTCTGGGAAAATAGGCCAATTTTAGGTATATTTTGAACAAAAAAGGTTAATTTTAGGTATATTTTGAGAAAAAAAGCTAATTTTTTTAATTGCTAATGGAATCTTATCGCTTTTCATGTTATAGTTTTGCGCATTAGAGCCAGGCAATGAACACGTATTTTACAAAAGGGCGGCCGAAGGACGAACGACCGATATCACCATGGTTCTACAATGGAACAATGTGGAACGAAAGGAGATTGTGGATCTCGAACTAAGCTATCATGGTCCTAAATCGGAGATTCCGTTGTGGGTAGGTGATTGAAATGGCAAAAATTTTAAAAAATTTCGAATTTTGGGTCATTTTTAAAACCACCTCTATTTTAGTACACAAACCAAGCTGCCCATGCTCTGAAAGTTTCAAACGCTTTGAGGTACGAGACCCTAGCACCAGCCGTCTCGCTAACCCACTGCCGGCACAGTATCAGAGCAACCGAAGCCAAAGTGGCACCATTAGGCCCAAGGGACCTGTCTCATGATGGAATTCAAATGTTTGGACTTTATTTGACATATAAGTTTAATGGTAAGAAAAAATTGACTTGTTTTCTTGTAATTTATGAACGGGTCCTCTTGCGTAAAATGGGATAAAATGTTATTTTTTGGGCTTAAAATGGAGCAAAAGGTGCTTTCTGGGCCTAAAATTAGTTAAAATGGTATTCTTTGTATGTAAAATGAGGTAAAATGCTCCTTTTCGGTCTAATATAATGTAAAAATGGACCGTTCATATCTAAAATAAGGTAAAATTTCATTGTTTTCAGTGTCAAAGCCTGCCGAATACTCGTTCTGGCTACAAGAACTAACGGACTACCTCTATGAAAACCCATTCGACTGCATTCTTGTCCATGTTTATGAAGGAAGAAGGTTCATTCATTCGAGTTCATCATTTCCACAGAGGGTAAGAAGGCTTTGAAATGATGTTTTAGGTCAATATAGTGATTTTTTAGATGAAAATTGGGAAAGTTTTGATGTTTTTTGATTGTTTTTGGCCTTGAAAGTTGTAAAAAGTTATAATTTCTGCTGTTAAATTAGATTTAAAAATCAGTTTTAATCAATGAAGTATCAATCATAATATAAAAATCAATTTCAGTACTACAAACGCCTAAACAAGGGCGATCACCGCGTCAAAATCCAAATCCGCCACAAGAACGATCAACTCCTCGAGAAGTTCAAAGACTCAGTCCTCGAACTCCGATGGAAACTCGCCTCACCAATCACCATCGACTGCTACAGAACCCACGCCGAAGCCGTGAAATGCGACGGCAAAAAAGTAACAAGCCTACCGATGCGGCCAGGCCAACAAACCATGCTCTACTTTGCCCCAATCCCCGAGGACAAACTCCCAAAAGGCATTCATTCAGGCGACGTCATCAGCGGATATTACACTCTAACAGCCGACGAAACCGCCAAGAAATCGGTACAGTATCTGGCGTTGATGAATGTCAGCGAAAACAACACGAAAAAGATTGGCAAAGCCTTGAGTACAGTAGTTGTGGAGGCAGGAAAAGAAAAGGAAAAGTCAGCGGCCGAAAAGTACGAGGAAAGTGTCAGAGATCACAAGATTAAGTTGTTGTCAGGATTGAAAGATGCTGAACTAGCTGAGAAGGTCTACAATGAATTGTTGGAGAAACATTCGGAGCATTTGCCACTGCTGATTGCACAACTACAGAGAATCCAAAGCGAAAAGAAGAAGGATATAGGAAGAGTGAATGAAATCGTACAAAGAGTTTTGGACCTCGCTAAACCGGCCGAAGTATTACAGTTCTTTGGAGGCAAAATCGAGGAAAATGAAGAGGAATTGAAGAAAAAGAAGTGAGTTTTTATGGTGGGGTAATATTTTTTGGGCGGGGTAAAAATATAAGTGTTATATTTTTCGGGCTGGGTAAAAATATAAGGGTAATATTTTTTGGGCGGGGTAAAAAGATAAGGGTAATAGTAAGAAGCAGACGGATAAAGAGTGCTTAAAGGATAGATAAAGTGTGGTTTTAGTTGAAGAGGCACTAGGTATAGTTTTGATGATGAAAAAAGAGATGAATAAGGATGATTGATAGGCTTTAAAAGGGCAGTTTGAAGTAGATAAAAGGTATGAATAAGGTGTTTGAAGAGAGGAAAAGGTATTTGAAGAGACTAAAAAGGATGATTTCACTAGAAAAAAGAGGTGATAAGCCTTGATTTGAATATCACAAGATAAGAACGATAGTATCAGATAGTTTAAAAAGTATTGTCGCTTTTGAACATCGAACAGTTTGTGAAAATGAAAAGAATTTTAAAAAACAGAAATTGACTGATCTTGGTTTGCAAGCTCTGCTTACAGTAAGCCTTACCGCCACGACAAGGCGACCAGTCACGGTAAATAAAAAATGTTTTTTTATTTTTAGTTTTTTTTTATTTTTTTTTTTGATTTTTAGTTTTTTTTATTTAAATTTTATTGTTTTTAGTTTATGAAAATTTTTTTTTGTTATGATACGAAAATTGGTTAAAAAAGAAATTTTTGATAAAAAAAGTAACTGAAAATGAAAAAAAGTACTATAAAAGCAACAAAATAACCGAAAAAGAATTAAAAAGTTAACCGGAAACATAAAAAACAAAAATATAAACCTACCTTGTCCTAATTTAATTAATATTAGCCTTCCGCATCCTTATTTGAATCGCATTCACCCTGTGCATACACATCTCATGGTGGTGGATCCATTTCTTCCTGTGGAACGCTTGCTTTCCCATCTTCTCCTTCTCCAATTCCTCCGCCACCATCCTGAACTCTTCCCGCACTTCATCCAACATCCTTCTGAAATCCCCTACAGTTGGCCTCTGAGCTGGCACAGCAGGCGGCAGCATCAGAATACTGTCAAGTGCAAGGGATTCTGAAGTGACAGTGTTGCCTTCAGAATCCCTTGGCTTGACAGTACTCTGGGCCTCCATCGTACTGGCACTTCTCTTCATTGGCCGCGGTGCTTTACTTACCTTATTTTGTTGGATTCGTCGAAGGCGATCTTGCTTCCTCTTGTCCCTTCTTTCCTTTTCTTTCTTCTCTTCTTCTTCCCGTTCTTCTCGTTCCTTCATTTCTTCGCACATCCGTCGCAGTTGGCTGGCTAGACTCTTCGCCGCGTGCTTGACTCTGCTGGATTCGTACTCGTCCCACGGCAGCCTCACCGGTTCGATCTCCGGCTCTTCTTGGTCATCGTCGTCATCTTCATCGTCTTCGGAATCCGGTTCAACCGGATTCTCGACCTCAAAAAAGTCGGAATCCATGTCATCTGGATCCTGATCTCTATAGAAGTCGGAATCCATGATACTTGGACGACGAACTCTATAACAGTCAGATTCGTCCTGATCTTCAGTGAAACCGGAATCCAGGGATTCTGGATTCTCGTCTTCAAAGAAGTCAGACTCCATCTGACTTTCATAGAGTTCGTCGTCTATGTCTTCCTGGTCTTCGTCTTCATAAAGCTTAGAATCCATGGAGACTGGATCCTCGACTTCGTCGAGGTCGGAATCCGGCTGAGCCGAATCCTTGTCGCCGAAGAAGTCGGCGCCGACACCCAGAAGCGCCATGATCTGTTCCTTTGTGGGCGCTTCGTGCTTCATCGTCCACTCGGCTTCAATGCTCTCTGGGGCGTACATGTTGTAGGCCGACATCTTTCTTTTTTTGTTGATTCTGAAATAGAGAAAGGTGTAATAAAATAAATTAAGCTACCGCTCGGTAACTCGTCAAAACATGTATACTGAATTTCGTATCATGGTTTCGGTGGCGATAGATAGGCAAATATTAATATGATGTAAAAGGATCAACTTTAAAAAAAGACGCTCTAGGCTTTTATCGCGGAGTTCCTTCGAGATAAAAATTTGTAAAAATCTTTGTACGTAGGCTTAATAAGCTCTCGAGGGACTATTATATAAGGTTGCGCGAGGTCAGAGTTCATAGGTTTTGGCGGGGGAAATAAATTGATAAATGTTTTTTAATTGGTTGAGTTTTGTGCATGATATTTACCTTTGTCAGTATAATAACAAAGGTTCAAGAAAAATGGGAAAAATTGCAAAAATGAGATTTGAACTCACTAAAACTGTCTAAAATGAGTGAACTTTGACTTCTATATATCCAAATTTCTGTATAACGAACAACTTTTAATCCCCAGCCAACACTATACCATGCATTTAAAGTTCCTGCTTAACAAAACTTCGTTATAACGAGCAAATTTAAAATTTCCTATATACAGGAGTTTTTACTGTACAATAATGTTTTCATGACAAATTACAGTGGAACTCCTGTATAACGAATCGCTCGGGGATTGGAAATTTGTTTGTTATAAAGGAGTTTTGTTATACAGGAGTTTTAAATGCACTGTGCAGTGATAGACGGGGATTCAAAAGTTGTTCGTTATACGGAAGTTTCATTATAGAGGAGTTCGTTATACAGGAGTTCCACTGTATTAATAAAACACCAGTAAAACAGAACAAACACCTTTAAAATCTTAAAATTAAAAAAAAACTTTGAATTAAGAGCTAAATTAAAATGCGACCGCTCAGCAACCCCTAAAAACTTGTATACTGATTTCAAGACGACGTACCCTGTGGCATTTGGCCGGCACGCATTAGTTTAGATCTTATGGGTACCTCAGGAAATTTTTGAGATAAAAAATGGAAAAAAAAGTGTGTGCATACGCTTTACTTTAGTCCTCGGGGCTGATGTAATGCCGCGCGAGGTCACAGTTTATGGGTTTTTAAGGAATTAAATTGATAAATGTTTAAAATTGGGTGATGTTTCTACATGATATTACTATACTTTTAATACAGAAAATAATTTATTACAGTATGTTTATCAGTACAATAATAATTTTTTGAAAAGAAGTTTGAAAATGCAAAAGTAAGGTTTGAAATTATAAAAATGGTCTAAAATAAGTGAAGTTGGCTTTAGAAACAAGTGAGTTGGGGCGCATCTTCATTAATATTGGCTTCAATAATGAGAAGAATTTTGTTGATTTTTGTAAACGTTACTAGTAAGAAGATTAAAAATTTATGAAAATGTTTACTGAAGGCTCTAAACTTTAGTCAAAACTACATCATATAGGGCATGAAACTTTGCATACAGTAATATTTTGACGGAAAGATCATTAAAAACTAGTAAAAATTCACTAAAAACCAGTAAAATCAGCACCAGCATCTTTAAAATCCTCAAAACTAACTTTCAATAACCCTTAAAATCCCCCAAAACTTTTTATAAAACCCTAAAATCACCAGCTTAAATAATATCCCACCGCTCAGCAACCTAGAAAAACTTGTATACTAATTTTTAACACGACCTACTTGATAGCTGGCACGCATTATTTTGAGATAAAAAATTGAAATTTGTGTGCATAGACAGGCTTTATTTAACCCTCTGAGTCGATGCAATGCTGCACGAGGTGAAGGTTTTTGAAAAATAATTTGGTAGGAGATTGATAAAAAATTTTCAATTTGGGTGGTTTTAGGAAGAAATGGCATGTAAACGTTGAGAAAGTGAATGGGGGTCGATCTCAAAAATTTTTTTTTGTTTTAACCCTGCCTTTTCTAGAGATCTGTTCCGACACCCCTGCCTATAACAACATAATTTTAAACTTTTTGCTTTATAATAGAATCAATTTTTAACCTTTTCAATCTTCAGAGACATGACCAACCGAAAACAAGCCATAACCAAGGCTCTTCAGCTCCAAACCGAAGCCTTGTTGGACGTTCATCTAGCAGCGACCAAAGTCAAAATCCCACCGTGCTTCCGAAACCTTCAAGCCAAAGTGGATTCCGAATCCAAGGAATCCACTCCAGAGCCCGAATCCAAGGAAAAGGACTTACAATCGACCGGTAAAGAGTCAAGTGATACCCAGTCTACCGGAACTACGGATGAGGCTCCAGAAGACAGTACCAAAGCTGATCCACCACTGTCCGAGCCGCCTCAAGAAGGTCAGGAAGGTGTGGAGAATAAGGTGGATGAACAGGGAGTAAGTTGGGCTTGGGATGTTGTTGATTGACATTTTTAAAGTAAAAAAAATTGAAAATTAGGTTAAAAATAGGGTTTTTGGTAAATTTTTTTAAAAGATGAATATATGTTTAAAATGACGCTAAATGTTTAGCTTACTGTCCAATGTCAATTTACATTAATATATTTTGTCATTTTTAAGTTATGGCTAAAAAATAAGTCCGCGTCAAAAAGAATTGGCGTTTTTCATATGTAAATCAAGCGATAAGCGGCCAGTTCTTTTTGATGCGGTGGCAAATTTTGAAAAAATGTCTGTTTATGGTATGAAAGACGCAATAATTTTTAAAAATTCTTTAAAATGGCATGATTTCACTTTTAAGATGTCATGCTGACCCTTTTAAACTGTTATGATGACACTTTTGAACTGTCATGATGACGCTTTTGAACTATCATGATGACATTTTTAAACTGATAGATAACTCTTTTTAACTTTCACGATGACAATTTTAATCCGTCATGATGACATATTTAAACTGTTATGATGAAACTTCTAAATTATCATCGTGACAAATTTGAAACGTCATGATGACAATTTTAAATTGATTTTTTTTAGTTAAAAATTTTGCCATTTCAGCCAACTGTCTCTCTGGCCGAGATCAACGCCGCCTACAACGAGCTGATGAAGTACGCCGACCACAATGACTCGACCGTTCTCCTAATCACGGCCAAGCACGCTGTTGCCCACGAACGCTACGGAATCGCGTTGAGATGCGTGAACAAGATCATCAGCGAAGGGAAGTCGACTCAAGAACTGCAAAAAGCTTTGTTCGAGCTGGCGGACACGCTCGGATTTGGCCATGTAGCTCAACAATTGAAGAACGAGTACATTGTCAAGTACTGCATCAACGATCGACCTTTTTAAATTGATGTTTTTGAATATTATTTTGGTTATGTTTTGTTCTACGTATTGTTGTAGCTTTTTTAAGGTGTTATTAAGGCTACCTTTTCTTTTGTCTTATCACTAGCATGTCTTGTTGACCTAACTACTGTTTTATTTTGAGTTGAAAAGGCTTCAAAAGCCCGAATTTTAACAAAAAAAAGCTTAAAATTAACCTATCATCTTATTATGTATATTGTAACCATGTTCAAATTAACAATGTAGAATAACGATTTATCTCATCATGTCAAAATGTACATGTCAATTTAAATTAACACCGTTATACCGACTATCATTATATTATCATAGGAATAAACTTTGTTGCAAGGTGGACAATTTTTGAAGTTTTAAAAAATTGTGGATTTTTTTGAATATTTTGTTGTGTTAACTTTGTAAACTATGAAATGAGGTATTTATTCTGTAAGTTTCAGGTTGATACCTATTTTGAGAGTTGAGTTATGATTAGTTGAAAGTGTCGAAAATCAAAAAAGTACGAATCCGGATGGAAACTGTCGCTTATTTTTGTACATAACTTTGTTGATAGTGTAGGTATGTACTTGAAAATTGCTGTGAAGGTAGAGTATTATATTCTTCAAAGGTTTTTTCAACTCGAACTTTTATATTCGAAGTGGTTTTAAAGTTACAGTAAGTGAAAATGTCGAAAATCAAAAAAAGTTCGAATTCGGATGGGAACTGCCATTTATTTTTGTACATAACTTTGTTGACAGTGTAAGTATGTACTTGAAAATTGATGTGAGGGTAGATTATTGTCTTATTCAACTCGTTTTTGAAAAAAATGTTTAAATTTAATGTTATTTTGAAGTTACAGTAGGTATACCATGTCATTTACCTCTAATTTTCACTTTGTTTTGAATTTTTTTGTAAAATACGTGTCTCAAAGCAAACAATTTCGATTAAATAATATTTATTACCATTCCGATACACAAACTTTTGGACTACAAAGCTGGACTGAGAGTGGAAATCATCGAATTTGAAAAGATCCCAAGCGCTGCGCCCGCCAAGCCTAGCCAGGCCTGTTGGGCTGAGAGAAACATTTGACAAAACGCAAAAATTTTACAATTTGAAAAAGTAGTCGTATCTTTAAGTCATAAAGTAAAAAAAATCAAAATTTTGCCAAAAAACATTTTTTTTGACAAAACTTGACCTACTACAATATCCAATATATCTACTACAATATAATACAAAAAACATACCAAAGAATAAAAAGAAAAGACTCGAAATCGACTGACAAATTTTAAAAACTTTGCGTTTCAAAATTTTTGTTACAAAAATCTACCGTAATCTAACTGGCATACAGTAATATGACAAAGGTACAGTATGAACGTTACAGTAAGACATATCACATGGTTGGTTGAGAAAATCGTATTTTATAGTTGAGCTTTATGAAAAATGAACTAGACTGAAGCGATTTTTGTTCGCCGGTCAATAAGTTCGTAGAAATCGACCGTTCAAGTCGTTGATCGACGAGATGAACAAGATCAGTTTTCTAGTAAATATCGACCGGTAAACTGATCACTAGTGGGTGGAAATCAAAATTACATAGTAAATGTAGTCTAAAATGATAAAAAAATTAGTGGTCAATAAGTTTTGGCACTTCTTCATCGATTTTAAGGCCGAAAATGGCTGTTTTTCGCCTAAAATCAATCAAAACTCTGCCAAAACTTTTTGACCTCTTAAATTTTTTTAGCCAAATTATACTTTACTTCACTATGCAACAGATTTTGTGTGGTAATTTACAAAAGTTACATTAATATACGGAGAAAATTGATATTATACTATACCAATATTTTTTCAATTTTTGGACAATATGAACTTGTAAATAAAGTTTTTGCATAAAAATAAAGAAAACGTCATTATTGTTTCACAAAAGTTTTAAAAACCATATTTAGGCGGTCAATCAGTCTTTTCCATTTTTTGCACTGTGTGTGGTTGAAAAATGGACAAAACTTTTTGACCAATTCAAAATTTTGCCAAAAGCTGTGACATGACACATCTAATGTTATATTTGACGTTCATGCTATTTTTTAGCTTTTAACTGCCTTAAAAATTGCAAAAACTTTTGGACCAGGCCAAACATGGCTTAAAACCGACAACTTTTGGTCGTTTTTTTGCTATTTTTCGATTGACACGCCTTTCAAAAAGAGTTAAAATTAATAGCACAGGCTAGTAAAATACCTTTACAACAACATATCATCATATAACACAGTTAAAAATTGACTAAAACACTGTAAATTGAACAAGATCGCTTTTCATGACTGAGTCTTATCGAATATCCTTGGAATGCCAGAGGGAATGTACCAAAATAATCGAGAAAATTCACATCCCCTGAGGCCAATTTTGGAAACGAGATCCAAAAATTGAGTGAGAGAGATCGCGGAACTTTCAATAAGGCTACAATCATCAACAAAGTCAATCGGAAGGACTAGCAATGTAATGAATAATATAAGGGTTGAGTTGGAAGGAATGAGTATATCTATTGTTATCACGGTAAAAGAAGATGGTTTTTTGGTGAAATAGATACACAAGTCTTCTCTGAGCACTAGGAGCATATTTTGTTAAAAATGTGTAGTTGGGTAACATTAAAAATGTCATTAAAAGTCTAAAAAACTTAAAAAAATATGCTCAATAATAGGTGGTCGGGAGCGTAAATTTAGGTATATCTTTTGATTAAATGACAAAAATAAACATTTGTTTTGACAAAAATGTAAAAAAATGTCATAAAAACATTTGGTATAAACTATTTTTTCTAAGTAGTACACTTGGTACACTTTTTGAACAAAAAAAGTTGGCAAAACTTCAACTTAAAATTTTTTCAAAAAAAAGTCAATTTTAATGCTTTTTTTGTGTGTTTCATCACTTCAAAAAGCTTTTTTTTAATTTTAGCTCAACCATAACATAAAAAATGTCATTTCTCGTCATTTCATCCAATTTTCATACCCAAACCTATGTTGCCAACCAAGTGCTGCGGTTTCAAAAAAGCGAAATAATTTGAAAAAATTGAGAAAATTTTGATAATTTAGCGTTGAAATCATGATGGGAACGGTGGAGATGATTCTTGCTCCAGAGAGCACGCGAAAGAGAGAGGGAGCAGAGAGTGAAGAGGAAACGAAAAGAGAGTTTTTCGGTTTGAGATGGTTGCAGACAAAAAAAACAAATAATTTACATATCTACCGATCGTCTATGGTTAAAAATCTTCAGTGAACAGGTTGTGGTGGGTAGGGTAGGGTAGTTGATGGTGGGTAGGGTAGTAGATGATGGTTGGTAGTGATAACGGTAGTATATGGTAGTATGTGATAGCACATGATCATTGTAGAACAAATCATACTAAAAGTCATGGTAACCACGCTACACCATTGCTTCCAAATTCAGTGCCATAGTATAACATATATACCTTTACCATACTTGACACTATCTACAGACCAACAGTCCATTCTGTAGCCGTATACCATTAAAATGACAATACTTTTCCAATTCACAGCTTTCTTTCACCAATTCAGCCTCAACTTTGACTTTATACTGTAGCATCTACCGTAACCCATAAAATCCAAAGATACCATAAATTGAAAGTCAACAGCCTACTGTATCTTCACAAAAAACTTGACATTTCAATTACTGCAGTAATCTACCGTATTCACCATTTTCCATCAACATATCCACCATCATGTTTGAGGTCGACTTGATCTCACATTTTGACCTGTAAATACCGTAATATTAAAGGGAAGTGAAAAATATTTCACAGTGTGATAAAAAAGATATCCACGGAGGTACATACAAAAAAGAATGGCAATCGAGTAATTGAGGACAAAGATATGCATCAATTTATGTAGGTAACACACGAAATTCGAAGCAAAATCGCTAAAATTTTTTGAAAAAAAAATGAATTTTCAAAACTACTGTGCCATTTTAAATAACACATAAAATACAGTACGATTTTACAGCCCTTTTATTACCCAAAAACAAGAAGAACTTGTTGAAAAATCTCGATTTTAATATGAAAACCGCGGAAGAAAGTTCGATTTTCGCTTGAGTTTTGTTTGTAAACAGGACCATTAATTAACTGCCGGAGGGGCGATGTTCCTATCCCGATTCCGCTCAAACTTGTCATAAATCACAGCAAAGATCTACTACCTGTATTGTGATGATTTTATAGTTATATGTGTTTTTATCAATGAGATATCGTTAAAAGTACTGGCAGTTTTGAGTTTTTCTTAAAAATTTGGCCAAAGTTTCTGAATGTTTTTTAAAAAAACCGTATTTTACGCCATTAAAATCAAAGTAAAAATAGTTTTTACGTATGTACTAGATTGTTATCAAGCAGTACAACAATATTTTTATAATTTTCAACCAACCCCTATCATAAAAAATGGCAAAAACTGCGTCCAACTCCCAAAAAACCGCTTACAGCCCAAACATGTTTTTGAAATTTACAGTACTCAAAGTAGTACCAGAAATGAAAGTACCTTCTAAAATGGTGCTAAATGTCCTAGAATAGTATAAGATGTGATTTGATGTCAATATCTTTTGTCATTGTTGAGTTATGACCAAAAAATCTACCCACGTCATAAAGAATTGGACATTTTCTTATATAAATCAATAGAAAAGAGACCAATTCTTTTTGACGCGGTCGATTGACTACACTTTAAACCGCTATAACTTACTTATTACCCCATGTTTCCTCTGTAAAACACCTAAAATACTGTTCCACAACAAAATATATTCAATTTTCGACCAAACATCAATGTTAATATAGCAAGAACACCAAGTTTTACCGTAGTAACCTTGTATATATACCAACGTGAATCCACGTCGCCAAATATCAAGTATAAACAACATAACAGCCCAAATTATGGTAATCCGACTGTCAGTGAAGCCGACGGAACATACGACGATAATCTCCCTACTTTCACCCACCTCCTCCCCCCCCCCTCTTCGGCTGTTAAAAAAGGGGCGGGGCTTGGTTTAAA